CCGGTCAGTTCTTCCGAAAGTTGAGCTTTAAAGTATCGACGCACTAGCAATGCTATAATCACCGCGGTTCGATTTGATGCTATTGCACCATGCAGAGTGCATATACCCAGATTTTATCCAATCAATCTTTAACCTATAGGTCTAGAAACAAAGGGTGCAGGATACTCGACCTACCGTATCGTTTACTACAGATATACCACGTAGCATGGATTACAGGAGCCAGCAACCTTCAAAGCCAATTCCACATCTGAATCCTTCCGCAATACGGATGCCTACCGTGTCATAATGGCACAAAGCCCATGTGTAACATCCTATCCCTTGGACTTCATCACGGCTCATTATACCCGATTAGTACCATTCGCGTTCTGAGGCAATAAGACTACATGGCCACCGTGTCAGGCCTCCGTTCCAACAGGATCCGGACTGTCACTATATTCATATGACCATAGCATCAGGTTTCAGATTCTCAGCAGGAAGCATGCGTTATAAATTTTATTGGGTCTCGATTTGAAGATGACTCTTCCAGGACTATTTTGCCTCGATGCCCAGACTAGGTTCGATGGATTTACAAGGATACCTTTATAGGCCTATAGCCTAGATACCCTGAAGGGATCCTCTCATAGCTCAACACCCTTTACAGTCACAACTGAAACAAGGAAGCAAAAAGGCGAGATATCCGATGATATTCGGAGGTAGGTTATCCCGCTTCACATCAAGCATGCCTTCCTTTATCATTATTGGTGCGATTCAGACCTATCACCGTTGCCCAAAAACCCACTCATTCTGCGAGGCAAACACGTACGAGCCAGTACGTAATTTGCCCCAGCGCCAGGACGGAGTATCGCTGCCAACTGGCTTATAAAAAACTCTTTTTAAAAAAAATCTATTTCGGAGTCGGGTTAGTCGCCCCGTTATGGGGCGCCCCAATACAGCGGCTGCTATAGTTTAGAACATTCCTACTCCAGCCTGGTTATACGATATGTACAAGTGTTGATCGTGTTGTATTTTCTAGTTGATGTTAGGCCCGGGACTAGGCATAGATGACGGCAGGGATGTTGCTCATTCTATAGCTCTAGTGACAAAATGGTATAAACGGGTCTGGACTCATATCGTTTCGGGCCTATTGTAAAGTTGCTATAATATACTTTTGTATGTCCATATTTCAAATCGTGTGGAAGGAATATGGCTGATCGGCGAAGTTCTGTCAGCTTTGGACACAAAATGGTAGGTGTACACCATCATGCATCACATGATACATAATGACATCGATATAGATACATGCACAGGCGGGAGAAATATTACTTTATGTACCAAAATCCTCCAATTATTCATGCCTCTCCTAGCTCCTTCCTGGTTTTGATTTATAATTTGCGGTTCTGAACTAAGCCTTGCGAATATCCTGGCGTGCTTTTTAATACTCGGAGATGAGATGGGATCGAATCGAAACCGGATCTTGAAGAATCGACAGGGGACCCCCGCACGGAATAGCTCTGTGGTTTTCTATAGCGGCCTCGGTACCGGCCGATATGTAGGTCCATGCAACACCGGATATCATACGGAGTAATGATTAATCGATTCAGCGAGACATGCGAAAAGGGCAATAGTTTATCGACGGCTACTGAGGCTTAGATTAGGCGGACTTAACGGATATTCAAATTGAATATGTCAGCAACATGCTTACCTATGGCATTATTTTACTTCTAGTAGTTTCTAAATCCTATTCGGTTTCTTGATCAATTAAGTACTGTGGCGAGTAGTAAAACAACGTACACCGATCGAAACTAAAATTTTGTGTTGAGCCCATGCATGAGAAGTTCTGATTCGAAGTCTAACGATGGCATGCTCACCCGGCACAAAAAAGTCTAGTCACGAGACTACCATCTGGGATCGGTCGAGACTGCTATTGGAATATATTTTGGATTGCAGTGCTGGGGGATCAATCAAATATATACAGGCTTGCTTTAAATCGACGTATCAGTAGCCAGTCAAAATCAAGGTAATTTCTTAGTACCATAACGGCCTTCTTACGCATTTTGGTAAAAGGGTAATTTATTCTCAGGTCCTGGGCGAAGATAAATGTAGGCTTATAGAAGTTTAGGTTCAATTCAAGGATAGACATATATACACATCAATATTTAATATATCAGGTGTGAACTCTAGTACAAATACAGGAAATACGTATCATAGTACTTATGGTTCCGTATCGCCTCATGAGACTATAACATGTCAAATTACAATTCAAATCCTCATGATCTATATCAATCTACCCCATTTTCGATTCGAATATTCAGGGCTCGTTAAGAATACATAGTAGATAAATTCAATTGACGTACCACGGCCGAGGAAACTACGTAGGAATTTACTAGCTTGACCAAAACAGAAACGTCAGAGAACCTTGGCTAGTGGGACAAAATTCACTAGTTTCTTTGTAATGCTGCTACGTAGATATGTGTAGTTTTTGGTTACAGGCGAGGAATCGAGTGGTCTGGGAGGCGTAGCTGATGACAGCGTTGCAATGATACCCCAACAGCCAAGGAGATACACGCAGAAGGAGTCCCCACGAAAGAAGTTCTGATAGACGTTGCATCGCTGCCCGCTGAGCCGTCGATGCTGTTATATATATTTTGGATTGAGGTCAAAAATAGTCGTATTATCAACCCCTCTGGAGTAATGGCAACCCCATGCGGGAAGACGGAAGATGAGTTTGAACGACGGTTTATGACCACTTCTTATTCGCTAACCTTCTCCTAAAAGCTGGAAAAGTGGTAGTGGTGTTATGATTGTCAATGTTTCAGCGGTTCCCATATATTCCTTAGCTAAGGAATAAGGTGGTATGGTATCGATTTTTCGGTATGATATCACGATTCCTGCTACCCATTGGCTGTAAAGTCGTGGCGTTGGTAACTCCTAATAATTTCTATTTGAGCTTGCACCCCTCTTGCCTCTAGATTGATTTCTGCTATAATTTTATAGGGTTATACTAGTTATTAGATGAAGAATATGAGAGTTACAGACAGTCAAAGACAGCAAATGTGTGTATTGGATCATCTCCTATCAACACCAACAACTCAGTGTAATAATGCATGACCGATTTGATATCTGACTATTTAGATAACCTAGTTTCTACACTCGGTAGCATTGGTAAACAAACTTCAGCCGAATTGGATTTTACCTTCTAGTTTAACACCTGGCAATAAGTACGGCATCCAGGGGTGACACTGCAATTTACGACTAGATTAACTTAGTTTGCAGTCACCAATACCAATCTTGGGTGACATCAGCCCGAAGGCGGTATTAAAACCCTAAGTATGTTCTGAATTATCACTGTAACTAAGGCTTCTTGTAGGATAAATACTGAATACTGTGATTCTAATACGGTAACAGTCACTAGGTAAAGTGAAGCATGTCCAGAGCGCCTTTGAGGAACCTCTATGGATTATAGAACCCTACCCTAGACTTAGTCTAGTTGTTTAGACGGGTGCTGAACCCTGGACTGGGGAATCAGCAGTCAAATTGTTGCTGCCTTTAGCCCTTCAATCGCTAGTTAGCCGACCACCCACGAACAGACGGCGCAACAAATATTTTTTATAGTTATAATGTACTTCTAACCCAAACATATATACCGTCTTTAGACCATATCTGAACGCAGGGTTGGCGAAACTCTTTCCTTTCCGAAAGGTATCATCCTGAGCTTATGGATTCTTAAAAGATTTACTTGTGCCCGTATACATGCACGTAGGGGGTACGAAGATGATGGTTAGCGGATGTATCTCATAAACTTGGTTATAGGATATAATAGAGCTAACGGCTGTTAGAAATTATTTTGTTGTGTTGGGGCAGTTCTAGATCCGAGACGTCGAGACTGGTGTTGAAGGTTGGAAATTGCTGGAAATGGTGGAAATGGTGGAAATTGGGGAAATATATTTAAATTGGGGAAATTGTTTTATTTTAGATTCGATCCCACCCATACTCGCTTCAATGCCAAGCTGTGGGCTGGTAACACAGGTTGGTTGGCCAAGTTGCTCGGCTAAGAGATGTCTTCGTTCACCGGTTTCAACACACTTCGTTAGTTCGTTTTCGTTAGACTTAAGGATTGTTGCGTTTTCTGTGTTGTCATAATGGTTACACAAACATTGACTACCGTTTTGGGGCTCTCGATCTGCTTCTTAGCTAGCCCTTTGCAAGCTTTAAATGCCTACAGTTAATGCTGATTGCAAATGAAATGGCAAGGTTATCTTATTATGTAGTCTTATATCCTGGTTTAGATACAGTCATTGCCAAGGGCTAGGTCCAACCGTATCCGCAGTATAAATTTATACAAGCTCAATTTACAATTTATATGATATCGATATATATATCATTGTCTCAAACCAGATTTCGCAAAACTAACTTAGGTGCATATGTGACAAAAAGAACAAATGTATTCAGGAGGGATAACCAGTCGACCCCGTATCGTCCGGAGATATCTACGAGACTATCAAAAGTCGGTTTGCGTTGTTGCAGGTTGAAAAAAGTAGAGGCCTGTATGAAAATGCCAGCATATGCCCGTTATATTAATTATAGCGCTAGCTAGCCTGCAACGAACATCAGATTCTTAACCCCAGTTGTAAAAGTTCCTTATGGAGTCTGAGAACAAGATCAGTTCTACTAAGTAAGTAAGTAGCTGTCTACGCCAATATGATTATATTACTAGCCTAGTTTCAAGCTTAGACCTTTCTATTTATATATCCTGCTAAAACGGATGTCTGGTAATTAAAATTCTGAGCCCCAGAAAAGAGATAATCTGATTTTGAAACCCTTCTCGACGGAAATTGAAAAGTAACGCACAGGAAACATGATATGAATTCAAAAAGAAAAGCGCTAGTCCCGAAAATATAATGAAGTAGCACGCAATGCATATACAGGAAAATGTTATAAAAAAGAGAGAGAAAAAAGGAAATGTTTCAAAGTTGTAAGTCGTTTTATTTCTGCCCGTCCTAGATCTACACCTTCCACAACATCTACATCCTCCTGATCCCAACCTCAAACTGATCCGGATCCGCGAGTAGATGCTGCGCATCCGCGTCCCCCTCTAAGTCAAGGGGTCCGTCATCCGCATTTACAGATATTCCTCGAGGGCCCCAATGCTGAGGAAGCCTACTTGTGCTACGATGATTGTAACCCCCATTCTGCACATCAAAATCTCTTAGTTCTTCTTGATGGTCAACGTGTCTATCCCCACCGAGAATGCGGCTAATAAGCCACCCACGTCCAACTTCGTCCTTGTCTATTAAAGCGCCACCTCGCAATTTAATTCGTTGGCGACTATAATACACCCAAGCGAAATCGATGTAAAGGGCGGTTTGTATGACACCGAAAATGGAGGAGACGGGGTCAAAATGTAATTCAGTGTAATATCTCCAGATCCAGTTGAGAATATAGAATCCACGATAGGACCCAAGAGTGACAAGATAATAGGAATCAATGACAGTTGGGATTGAAGTCCGCCGGAGAAGGAGGAGCTGGGGAAGAATGCAAACGGATTCAAGGATAATGCTAAAAACCCAAACGTTCTAAAAATTCTCAAGTTAGCTCTATAAATACGATCTCAGGGGGTGGACTGTCATTCGATCAAAGTTATCTGAACATACCTCCTCGAAAAAAAAATATCCGTCTATAATAGCGGTGACCGGCATTGTTAAAATAAGAGACCCTCCCAAGCACCATGCACCAAATCTCAAGGCCTTCTGAGGCTCTTGTGTCCGGGGGAAAACCATCATCATAAGAAGTAATATATGTGAGGAGGAGAGTATGTAGAAGATTTTTAGCGTAGTGTGCCACCACGCCAAACGCATCCAGAAGAGATCAACATAGCGTGTTAGAAAGACGAGAAGGTAAAGGCCTTGTGTGATGAGAGATACACCCTCGGCGCTGCGGTTGCTATGGATCGCCCATATCAAAATCAACTTGGACGATAGATGCGAAAGATCGGCAATTATGCGGAAAGCGTTTAAGCCCATGGTGCCTAGATCCTTTGCCAACTACTACTGGCTAGATGAAATATCGACACAACCGGTTCCCCTCAAATTGATACACAGCTAGGCAAAAATCGTATACCGGGATGTCAGCCGGGTAAAAAGCTCCAAGAGGGCCTTCAGGTACAGCACTAGTAGCACTTGATGGATTGTAACTGCGGATTTGGGCGGTAGTGAGAAGATAGCCAGCGCTGGGGACCACCGGTTTGTATTATACCCCCCTTTGGAACGTCCCAATAACAAGGTTAAGACCCATGGACCTAATTAAGTAGCTGCGCAATTGTGGCACATGCACAAAGATAAAGCCGCAACGTTTGTAGCGATGGGAGAAAGAGCTACAGGATCACTAGTGCAAGTGAGTTGTGTATATATCAATTAAACCCCGGTTTCTCCGGCGCGCGCCTCAGAATTGTGGAGACTCTATTCGTGAAATTTCTTCCAGGAATAAATGAGGAGACTGTATGGTATATTGCAGCTAGCACGACAAAAGATAACACCACGAAGAGGAGATGAACCTAATATCCGTGCATAGTTTGTTGTATATCGACGGGATAGGCGGGCCCGGTGGTTTCGGGATATGCGTCGCTCCTTTTCTATAGACCAGTTGTCCATACGCAACTATTAATCTGTCCACCCTGGCCTCTTTTTAATTTTCGAGGTTTGATTGCAGTGCAGTACCTGACGGTATCGATACGTATCTACAATACAATATATCGTTAGAACGATGGGGAAATGCTTGTAACTCTAAGGAGCTTGACACGAGCTGCTTTTAAAATGCCCTCAAGATTATATTTAAAGGTCTCGTAGCATAACCACTCAAGCTAGAATAGACTTGCGCGCATGGTTCTCACCAGCGTCACAGGCGACAACTTTAACTAGATTGACAAACATTCTTGTTTCGGCAACCCCTTGTACTCTGTCAAACCTTCCTTATTCGGACCACTTCGCTGATCCCTTATCGAAGCCGACAGCCAACACATTTCGGCTACGATTTGAGTCCCGAATTCGTGCGAGACAATAGCTTAGCGTTCTCACGGCCCTTACCGAGTCCCATAATGTGCCGGTTCTTCGGGGCATAAGGATGGGATAATACAGCCGAATATCTATTCCGGTATCAATACTAGCCTAATAAAGTCAAGTTTCCGAGAGAGAATATATTTTCATCTCCCCATTCAGAAAAAGGGTTTGTAATTACCTATATTCAGTGTATAGGTTTGACGCAGGTACGGGAGCATGAGGCTAGCCTAAACTTTTACTCGTCACCGTAGAACCCGAGTATGTTATATATCGGAGACGGAAATCATTCTTCAATTCTGTCGCACGAGTTTATACACGGCATGTTCTTCCCGCAAAGTTAATATACCAAGCATTCTTCAGAGTGTGAGTGTCAAGTATATAAACTGAAGCTAGACCCGGCCTCGAGCTTAGTGGTTTTCTTACTTGCTACCTCAAGCTTGCATTAAATCCAACCCAATTCAAAGCCAAACCCTATTCTGACTTCAGGTATATTTCGAAATTCGAAATTTTGAAGATGGCATCCCTCAATCTGAACATTAACTATATTCTCCAGAGGATTAATCACCAGCGTCTCTTCCAGAACTTACAAGCAATGTTGAAAAGTGCAACTTTTCTCAACATAACCGGCGCTGCTACTGTCTCATACTTTGTTTGGAAAACTTTCCAGTTCACAAATCTATACTTCCTCAAGCCTTCAAAACTTTATAAGTACCGAGCAGTTAAATCACCAAAAGGAGAAGCACCATGGGCTCTGATCACTGGCTCTTCAGATGGAATTGGTAAAGCTCTTGCCATCGAACTCGCAAGCAAGGGGTTCAATATAGTCGTGCACGGAAGGACTCCTTCGAAGATTGCAAAGCTTGCAGCAGACTTGGAGGCGCAATATAAAATCAAGACGAAAACTATAGCTTTAGATGCTACGGACCCTATCCTATCTCTCGACGAGCCTGTTCTAAATGCTATCGGCGATACCAAAATAACAATTTTGATCAACTGCGTTGGAGGAATCAGCATTGCTGCCAAAAGGATCTACGACCCGATGGTTGAAAGAACAGAGTCAGAAATAGACCGTGTCTTCAGCATCAATGGTAGATTCATGACGCAACTTATCAGGGTCATCCTCCCACGAATGACGGAACCTGGAATCATAATAAATGTCGGCTCAACTTCGGCATACGGCCTGCCGTGGGTCCAACTATACTCTGCTGCCAAGGGCTATCTGAACAGCCTGTCAATTGCTCTCAATGCAGAGATGTATGCCACAGGCCGAGATATTGAAGTCATGGCCGTAACTCCAGGCAGTGTTGCTGGCACCCCGGGGTTCAAGTACGCCGTGGGTGCGTTTCTACCGGATACAAAGACAATTGCAAGATCTATTTTGGACAGAATTGGCTCTGGACAGACTGTAGTGTCGCCATACTGGGTCCAGGGAATTCAGGATGTTTTGTTTAGTTTTCCGGGGCCTCAGATGTATAAGACGATGGTTGCGAACGTTATGAGGGGTATGAAAGAGATTGAAGATAAGGACATAGCAGCGCAGAAATAGCCAGGGGATATAAGTCTCTCTGAAATTTGTACCTTTAAGTTACCGATAAGATTATTATATATTAATTAATCATATAATCCTGTTGTAAAGCTGTGGTGCAGTGCCGGATAGCCGTATACCCGAATTCAATCCAACACTTGGCCGGCCTAGCCAAGACCTATGGCCAAGTTTCGATTTTTTTTGTAGAACAGTTCATCTGAGATATTGGACTCTTTAAACTGGAGGTACACCTCAAACATTGCATACTAAGAGAATTGATCGTTTTTCACCCAGTTTCTTAATCCCGCAAACACTAATTTTAGAATTCATATGATCCCGCGGAGCCTCAGGACCTCAAGATAGCCAAGGCTATCGCCAAGACTTGCCTCATCCAAGTTTCAGCTCGCAGCCGCTATTGACAGCGACAGGCTGAAGAGTAGCTGTTGTTCCTCAACAGCTCAAATACCATGCGTCCCGCACGTGCGGTGACCTCCAACCGCTTCTCGCATCTACTCCCTATATCCTCAAACGGGGCAATAAATCCCCACCGTATTCACCATGCTTGCCATTCTTTTCTCGCTCCTCTTGGCGACACTAACCCTACCATCCATTCGGGTTGTCGCGCAACAAGTAATACCCGACCGGGAATCCGTGAAGTTTGGCGAGGCATCCGATTTTGGCGCCATTCGCGATTGTGCGGTCTGTTGCTTTGAAAAGCAGCTAGGTTGTTATATGGGCGCAGAAATCACTAGGGCTGTTGGATGTAGCCTCAATTCATGCATTTGCAGCCGAACCGATATTCGATTGATTATAACGTCTCATTTACAGTCGTGTGTTTCGAAAAGTTGTTCGGCCGTGAGTGGGGACGTTTCTGTTGCACTTAGTGTATTTGGTGGATATTGCGATCGATATGTTGCCGCTGGAGTTGATGCCGGAACTACACCAACTGATGGAGGTGGAGAAGTAAGTCGGGAGACAGTAACAGAGACAAGGACGATACCGTTGAGTACTTTGACAACTACATTGGAAATAGCTACTGTCCGGGTTGCCGGTAAGTTAGCCGAACCTTAAATCCATAAATCGCTTTCCTTTTTATACTCGACGTAGGCTAACTTATTATATTATGAAATTGCAGCAACAACAATTACCGTCAAGCCCGAGGAAAGATTGCCAGGTAGCCAGCCTTCTGACACCGTAACTGTAACTGTGGGATCTTCCGGTGGATTATCGGAATCCGCAAAAATTGGCTTAGGCGTGGGACTGGGGATAGGGATACCGATATTTGCCGTCTCAGCTTTTTTGGCATACCGCTTTACAAGGGCTCTTACAGCACCACCCGAAATGCCTCAACCGATCCAAGGTTCATATATCGGCTAGAACATATAAGGAGAGCGATGGTATCTTAATACGAGATTAGATTTTGGGGTCCTGTAACTCAGATTAACATACACATGCACATCTGCATATGCGTTATAAGAGTCGAAAACTTTGGCTTGCCATGCATACTATACAAATTATCTGGCAGGACTAACCATTAATAAATCATACACGGAAGTCCATTACGGTAAGGGTCATATTTGTGTTTTAGAATTCTAGAAATGATCCATGAGCGAGAAATATGTGAACTTGAAATAATTGATATTAAAGCATGAAGTCTCTATTTTAGAATTCAGTAATTATGGTTATCGACATTCTCCTTGTTAGGCTCAGTGTAGTTCATATTTTTTCCTATGCAAATCACATTCAAGGACTCTGGTAGCCCAATGAATAACGGGATATACCGACACCTTAAACTCATGTTAATGCCGTTCCAATCCCTTGACCACCCAAGGGTAGAATTCTCGATACTTGATATGCTATGATTCAAGTTGCATGTTAGACGTCTAGGTATCAACCCTAGGCCAACGAGACCACCCTAGGCCCGTATTTCAGTCAGCATTCTGAGAAACCCTGGCTGGGGAGGAGAAATATTGTAAAGGAACCATGGGCAGTGTATAGGCTTTTAACCATGTAGAACTTAGGTAAGCCGCTTGACACCGGCGCCATTGCCGTCGCTCCGCCCTTTTTGACTGGCTAACGCGAAGTGGATCCGCCATAGACACCAGACAAGTGCTCATGCAACAAATCAACCTTGAATATTGTGTTGCTCGATCAGATCTGGGCCGAGCGGGTATCGCAGTGCGGCGGCAAAAGAGGCGAGAGAGACTGTTTAAATTAGTGTTTTAATAGAAGGCACGAGGTGAATATGGCATCATGCTTTTGGGCTAGATAGAGCGTATACTGTGTGATGTATGGGTAGAAAAAACCCTCGGCGTCATGTCGGAAGGTCAAAAAAGAAGGAATGGCGATCAAGAGATTAGCCCTTAGTCAACCGCGAAAAGTGACCTTGGAACCTGTCAAGGATTAAATTAGGTAAAGGAGTTAGAAGACAATAGGCTCAGGTGACTACGATCCTAGATCAGCATCTGAAAAGAAGACATCGCCGCTAGTCTAGACTTCTCGCTCGTAATTAAATTGAAGATTGAACAATACCACAAGGTAGTGAAAACGTGAGTAGATCGTTTCGCCACTAGCCCAAAATGTTAAACGCAGCTGTACAGAGGAATAGAGCAGGTTATCCGCCGGGGTTTCGGGTCTCCGCAAGGCTGTTGAAGTCTCCGGCCGAGGGTTTTAGCCCCCTTGCTGTACCGACTATGAGCGTCACTGGTGCACCCCGCACAACAAGTCTATCTTCTCGCAGCTGGAAACATCGAAAGAGGTCCACGCCGATGTATTTTCAAGAAAGACATTAGTCTGGCGACGACAAAGAGGATATTGGTACCGAGGCATGATCCTGGCCATCATTGCCAGCAGTTTCGACAGCTTTTTTGTTATACCAAAGCCCTGCCAATATAACTGGCCCAAGAGACACTTGTTGAAGCGATTCTGTCCATTTATAGCACTAGGTCGTTATATCAAATAGTTGGTCCTGTTAAAGCCAAATCGGAATATTCATTGTCGGCAAGTCCTTTCGAGGGGAGCACTCGAGACGCACTTTTTCATGGTTTAACTTTCGTAAGGGGCACCAAAAGGTAACTTTTTGTAGTTTTAACTCCAGACCATCACCGGTAGGCAAGAATAATGAGAATAGGATACTTTGTAATTCGTAATCGTAGAGGAAATGTGTGGAGAAGGGCTGGATCCAAGGTATTTCCAGGGAAGTTTTGAAAGCGAGCGTCCGAACTTGTTTTTTTTTTTGTTTTCGGTTCGCTAAGACAACCAGCCCCTCGTTGATTCATATCGATAATTCACCCTACTTGGCCCAAAATACCCCAACTCTCAGCCGCTTCAAAACATTTTCCAAGATTTCCCTCACATTTTATCAAAAAAATGATGTCTGCCCTTTTTTCTTTTATCGAACCTTGTCGTCGGCTGATATTTCTGCCTTTACGCCTGAGAAATTTCTATCTGATTCGGTTGGCCAGGGCTTTTGCCGTATAATGTAACGGCCGGATAAGACGCCTGGTCAGAGTAGAACGCCACAGTTCCGAATTGAACGGCTTGCATCAGAGCTCAGCTGTTGGGACAAACTGCTTATCAAAAAGGGCTGTCCATGCAGAACATGTGTGGAAGGACGGGTATCCAAAGTGAACTCATCCAGCTACCCCAGATTTTCGGCTCCTATCCGAGGAAATTTCGATGAATTTATATTCTCTGTTTATCTGCCAATTGAATATTCGAGACTTGGCGATTTCGAAGCAAGCTAGGTGCATGAATTGTATCTACCGGTATCCTCCGGTGGTTGGTTTTCTTCTGAAGTAAAACACTCGGTTTTACGTATGATGCAGAGCAATTGACTGGGAATCCTTGACTTACCGAGTTCTCCTGGATTTTGCTCGTTCCTTACTTCCGCGTGCAGCCCGCTCGCTGGGAGCCTAGAGCCAATCGTGTCACCATCGTGAAGGCCTGGATTTTGACATGTCTCGCGTTCTAGTCAAGTCGAACCAATCGACCCATGCAATATGCTATACCCCGCAAAGTCTCAGTAGTCGTGATTGTGACTGCAGAAGCCCACGTTGAACCCCTTTCGCGACCCTCTTAGCCCCGGGGATCCAAATCCTTGAGCTTCGCCCTTGGTTCCGAATCCCATATCCAATAATTCGACCCTGTACCTATGATAACCTCCAATCAGAATCAAAATCGCGATTTTGCATATCCCACGGATGTTAAAGTGAGCTTATCTCGATTGATTAGCAGGGCTCCAGCGCAGCTAGTGCAGGGATCTCGGGGGCTGCAGGAACACGCATACAAGGTAGCACCCCCCCCGGGTGCAGATTCCCGCTCGGGAAGTGTGTTAGGGAGGAAACGAAGCATACCCTGTCGAAATTCTGCTCGAAGTACCTGTACTTCCATGCCCTAGGTATCAACGGGTTCTTCCGGCAACTGCACGGCTCGAGCGTTCGGGGAGCCCAACACTCAGCCGGGGTTTGTGGAAGTCCAAAACGGGAGTTTGGAGATGAGGTGCAATGCATGCTAGAAAAATGTGTATAGCGTCGACGTCGCGATCGCAATTAGAGGATCAGCTCTGCAAGTGGTTATTGGATGGCTTAGAGCATGGACCAAGGCACATTCCTGCAACCTTTCTTGCAGTACCGCCGTACTTGCAGCATCTGCATTGCATTCAGCCAGCCAGCATAGGTGGAGTGTCAAGTCGGCTGAGCTGAGTTGGGCGCATCGCAAGCAAACATCGCAATTGTAACTGCAAAAGCGCCTAGAAACCTCAGCTCCAACGTTTTGCCACCTTTTATGTATCTAACAGTCAGCCTTCGCATACCTTATGAGAAGGAAAGCACAATTTATATATTGGGGAACACTTACAGACCAGTTTGAGGGATACCTTTGGTATCCTAAATATCAGTTAGCTGTGGGAGAAATTTTCGTGGATAGTTGGATGTTGGCAGAGGTCCGCTCCTCATGTGAGGACTGGCTATTATAACAGTCGGCATGCAAAATTTTATCGCAATTAAGGCAGGTTTAAAACCCCCGGATTGATAGTTCTTTTAAAATAGAATCGGAAGTTGACAGAGCTCCTAGGATTGTCAGAACTCTCTTAAAACAAACTTCTTTTGTCGGACGGCCGCATATTCTGTGAAGAATTTCGAGGTTAGGATTTTGCCCCCCTGCGCTCTTCATAGTTCAGGTACCGATATTTAGCGTTGCACGATCTTCGAGGATGCAGAACCGGATACATTAGCTCATGGAGCGAGGCCAATTGACCAATGACACAACCCAGTGATAACCAGGTTTTTTTGTGGAGCTCATGGTCAAACCATGCCGCGAAAATATTATCTTCAGGTTGTCAAAAGGAGAAGAATACGCAAATGCGAGGTCCCAACTTCGAGTTGTCCAAAATCCCAAAATAATTCAGGGGTGATGGGTGAGAGGATCCTTTTAACACTTCTGGTATCTCTGGTCAGATCTCCAAAAGAGGACAATATCGAGGGCGCAGAGCTGGTGCCTGAAATGGAAATATTAAAGAAGGCACAAACGTTGCTGAGAGAGCGTCGCCTCAAGTTTCGTTTTTACCTATAACTTCAACGGACTCCCCGACACAGGCCTCAAACCCCCTTTCATGTTTTCAGCTGAACATATTCATATGTTTTAAATTTCGAAACTTTCGATCCAAATTACCCTCTCGCCACAAACAAATGTGCCCCCCCGAACCAATCGTGCTTCTCAAACTTAATCAGCCGATCAGTAGGCTGTACTGTGCACGGCTTTATAATAGCTGACGCGCGGTGGCCGCCTCAATTCCAAGATATTGAAAGACGCGTCGCAGGCCCAAAAAGCAACTATTTGATCAAATACAAAAATAATTCGCCGACGGTCGAAATAAATCATGCTGGTACTTCTGCTGCCCGTCACCAGATGTTCCTGAAATCCAGAGTATCGACGTATCTGAATTAAATCGAGGACATAGCTGAGGTACCGGAAGGACGTCCGGGCAAAAAACTGAATGGAGCAACACAATCGGATAACCATTAAAGATATTTCCTTTAAATTTTGTCGGTCCGGCGAATGGACTTGATGGCTTCGGTCGTTTTAAATACTCAGCTTATACGGAGGCCTCGAGGCGAAGGTAAGAAATGCGGATTGGGCGCCACTAACCGCTCACCGAGATAGGTCCGGATCCATAGGATTCTCTATATCGATATCTACCGACATAGCAACATCTGAAACAGAAATATACTTGGGCTCGACTGGAATGTTCCGCCCAATGTGCAACGTCGGTTTCCTTGAACATGTACGATTGTTGATAAGGCCTAGTCCTTGTCATTCCTAGGTCAGGGCGTTTGAATTACTGAACTCGAGCTGTCTTTGACAAGTCAAACTTAAACACGATTTCTAGCCTTAGCTCAAATAGGCACGATTCCCCGCTTGTTTTTAGAGCTAGAAAGCATGGCTGTTCGAATTCTTGATGTCAAACGTCATACCGATAGATTAGTCGCTGAATTTAAGGTTGCAAAAGGTAGAGCTGCTCAAATCTTAAAGAACTTACGGTTTAATAGAATCTGACAGGCTCATTGCTTTGTAAGAGTTGGAACTTAGGGCCAACTGCTCGCACTACACGGAACTCGAAACTCCGCGAAGTAACATGATGACACTTGATAACCTGCATTACGCACGTTACTTTTGTCGCATTTTCAAATACAAGGAGGTATCAGGGGTTATCTGAATCCGCATGTCAGCATACAACTCTAACTTTCTGTGGGCTTGATCAATTGGAAGATGCCAGAACATGGATACCCTGGCCCGAGGATCTAGCTCCTCGGCATCACGCCAGCGATAATAACGTTCGATTGGTGAAAGATTGATTGTGTGACTGGCTTCATCCCGAAATTCGGGATCAAGTCGGGATTTAGCACATATCGGTTATCTCCTTAACATACGCTACCGTGTTCACGAGGTACCTAGGTCCTGGCAAGCTGCCTGCGGGCCAGCCCGGGCTGAGAGTAAAACTAGAAGTTCTATTAATGAAAGCTTAGGTACACTTTACTAGAAGCCACGGATAGAGTCCAAGTATCGCTGTTCCTTTGTTTTCCTCGTTTAACTTCTTTTTTTTCTTAATTTCTCTTTTAACTGCTAGTTTCTATGCCAATCTGACAAGCTTTCTTCATCACAAGAATCCAAGCTCTCAACATGAAAACTAACCGACATGTCGCTACCAAAACAACCTCTTTTTTTTCCCTTCTAATTTTTAATTTTTAAAATTTTTTTAAAACTATACTTTTGTTTCTATAAAGATCTATCTTCAACAAAGTTGCACAAATACAAATGATTTAACAGAACACGGATTCATCCGAAACATATTTAAAGACCCAGTATCATCTAGTCCAAGTCTCGCGAGAACGGCCAATATCCCCATTCCGACTATAAGATGACACATTGACAACCAGGAGATGCCTTCCAAACCTCTTCATCAAGCTCCGGCTCGTGGGAGCCCGTTCTCTGAAGACGACGACGGTCCATATCTCTTCGCTGGGCGTCTGTCATTGTATTGTTATATCTATGACGAAGACGTCTCTCCCGCATTTGATCAGCGAAGCTAAGATCCTCAAATCTTTGAACGAACTGTGGCTCGTTATTCTCTGGGATGGGTTCGTTGCGCCATGGGTCCGTCGTAAGCCCATTTTCGAAATTTTCTCGTGCAAGGTTCTGATATGCGAGATCTTCAGCCGAGCCCGGGATGTACAGTGGAGCTGGGACGAAATTCTCCCTATATGGTGGAGGCATATATGGAAGATTGTAGTGACTGGTATTGGCCGTTACATAGTTGGGTACTGGGCCAAAGATCGCCTCGAGTGCTTGGGCGTCATTTGGATCCGGTGGTCCATTGATCGTCCCAAATGGGGTTGAGAAGGTGGAGGAAGCAGGAGTTGGAATCGGGGAGGGCATAGCGGATGGAACCAGCATCTGCATCGGCATTGGGCCGGACCCTGGAATAGGCGACATGGTTGGGGAGGGCATGCCTGAGGGCATAATTGGGGCATCGGGGAACATTGGAGGTCCCGGAAACCCTGGGAAAGGTTCAGAAGAAGGAAGAGGGAGAGGAGGTCCAAATGACCCAGTTGGGAGAGGGAACATAGTGGAGCTTGCTGGTGTAAGGATTGGCGTGCCAGTGTTCGAACTCCAAGCGGGGGTCGGAAGACCCTGATCATATGGGCCTGGGAATGGAAAGTCCTCTTGTTGAGACATATTTGCTTGTTACGTATATATATATATATATGTATACTAGTGAAGCGGTTTGTCTGGGGTGGAGGTAAGTTATAGTATGCAATGAGATACTATAGCTAAAGTATAGATACCGAAAGTTGAACTTGCTGTCTACTGTACTAGTGACTGTATGCAATGGGGTACAGTGAAAAAAGAAGGGACCAGAAAGAATGTCGACAGGGATGGGGGGCTTTTATAACTCCTATGAAAAATAATTCAAGATCGTCGACCTGGGAAAATTCAAGATCGTCAACCTGGGAAAATTCAAGATCGTCAAATTTCTTTAGAACTCAGTCTATCATATATTTCCCCTCCCAAGCTTCACTAAGATACTCAACCCATAAACCTAATTGGAGATTTTCGTTAAGGAAATCTTGCAATTTAAAATGCTAAAAAATTCAAGATCGTCTCTTAGAAGCTGTCAGAATTTGCAGCGCTCATGTTAAGAGCATACGCCGGTTACCCAGTGAAGCAGCCAATTGAACTTGCACAAAACCCTTTCCATATTGAAGTTCTTACCTTAGCCTCAGAGATTGAGCTCGAGACCAATCAATACTTCCCTTCCTCAATCACAGCTATCCTGCTAGAATCTACATTCACGGACTAGCAACTTGAAGTTCAACTTACGGACGAACATGCCTTGATTCGCGAACACATTATCTCAAACATCAAGATCCATATACTGATCGAGTCGGTTTTTTAGTCTAAGCTGGACATGATGAAAGTTGAGTTCAGCTATAGCGAGTCTCGATGGCAGTGAATTCGATAATCATGATTCATAACCCAGTAAATGAACTTAGTCGACTAATCTCGCCTCGACCCCAAAGAGTCCTCCCTACCGGCCTTGACGACTGGCGTTCTTTTTCAGATAATACATGACTCGCATTAATCCAAGATCGGCGGTAATACATATAACTAGGTTTCTGTCAAACAGTATATATACACACATATATATACCCGACAGCGCAAGTTAACTTCGCACGTGGCTAATACTAGTAGTCTACAACTAGACTAGCTAACCTTAGTAGAACATCTTAACAGCAATATTAATATATTTTGATAGGCTGTAAATCAATCGGGAACAGAAAAGAAGCTGGCTAACGCAGATCCACCTTAAGTAGAAATGTTTTGAACAAAATATAGCTATATCAATCGAGGAGGTATAGTCAGTTTGCGTCTTCCGCAAGTATAACGTAGCAGAACATGTTATCCGGAAACATATATCTGATGATTGATCTGTAGATCTATTTATTAAAAGGTGTTGCGTGTTGGATCGGTCAACATGTTACCAAAACTAGCAGATTTCTGACCAATTTAGGTTAGTGGGACAAATTTCCGACCTAATTTGGACAATATACTACCAAATCGGGGTCTAGAAGAGCAACGCAAAATCTACAACGCTTGTCACTTAGCAAGGTTTGGCTACCGCTTGAAGCGCTCTAATTCATGCAATAGAGTTCTATATAACTGAGGGATGGCTACGGGCCTGTCTGCACGCCTAAGCCTTATTAACTGATAGCTTGGGCTGGCACGGAAATACTTATATCTTTTTGTAATTGATATGCCGTGCAATGTCTTGACCTCGTAGATGATCACGCATCTATGTCGCCGAATTGATCTTAATATTCTATTTAAGACCACAGAAACGAAGATCTTATAAACCAAAGCATCTGCAGATCAATTATTACTTCTAAGAAACATGGAAGATTCAATCAATCATTTCAGTTCTTAGAGCTCCTCTGCAGACGTAGTGGAAGGACCTAGAAGAAACTACATAAAATGGAGATTCGCCGACTCGTAAGTTCCAGGGGGATCATGAGGTCGTGAGAAAGGTAGTGAAGAACACGCCATCATAGTATATATCAAGTAACTTCTCATATATATATATATATATAGGTTCATTTTGTCTCATTTGTGTTATTGTCTCCACTAAGTCATTGCACCATTCCCTCGTGCCAAACCCTTCAACGTAATGATCTTTTTCTAGTAAATCGAATACTTGAATCTTTTAAGGATGCAGCGACTACTTTACAATACTGCGAAACAAATGTTGAAAACCTACAAGTCTGCACCTAATATCTACATTTCGGGTGGTGGGCTCAATTCTCAAGCCTCTCAGTTCTCTTCGCAGGCCAAAGCCAAAGCAGGGAGCTTACCTATGTTTGAATACCCATCAGGAGCAAATATCCCCATACCTCCTTCCATTAAATCGCCCAAGCTCCAAAAGCTGCTTCAACAAGGTGCTACACGTCAAGAAATAAAGACTGAATTCGGGACCTTGACTTTGAAACAGCTTGAACAAGTCGGTGATGTTAAGTACAACGCGGCTATTGTCCAGCACTTGATAAAGCAACACCCACAAATCAAATGGCCTGAAAGGATGGTACACACTTTCCCTTATCTAATAATTCTAAACATGCTAAGTTATGTTCGGGTTAAATACTAACGTTTCTCATTCAAAATTAGTATTTGTACAACACTCTACGTTCAAACGCACAGTTGAATGCGTTTGCGAAAAGCTTGCGCACTGTCGATAGGATTCAAGCTAGAAATGTGACTGGCGTCAAGGCGGTCGCGGACGTACAGGAGGCGGAGTTTGGTGCCATGGCCTTCGAAAAAGGTAGAGATAAAACGACGAAGTATATCCAAAGTCTCATTGAACCAGCCATTCCATTCCACCGCGAGGTATATAAGGCACATACTTGACCACGATAACCGACCAAGGCCATAGCCCATGGGGCTGGTGGGAATTTGGAGGATAATGAAAAAAAGACATTGACTGTGATAATTCAGGGCTCAGCGAAGACTATTGAGGATTGGTTTTTTTTATTGCGGGAACAGCATGCGAACCACGGAGGGTAATTGGGATTCTGATTTGGTTATTAGTTTAATTTCAAAAAACCATCGAATTAGGTAGAGCGTAGTTAGTCTTGTATTAAAACGCTTCGGCACGCTGCTGAGAGCATAGTTAATGGGAAATGCAGCGTAACGGGGAGCGAAAAAGTTTTAATCTTCAACTTGATTTTGCAGGTTCGTCATGATTGCACAAAAATTTAAACCCAATGTAATTGCGTACAATTAAATGATTTAGCCTAGCTATAGCGGCACACTGCCAATAATGGCGCCTTCAATCAAGACTATAGGTCATCACCACTACTCTTTCTTGCTTTTTAGGTGCTACAATACTATATCCAATACTTTAAACCTAGTTAGTCGCCATATTGTGCCTAGAACCCAAAACATCTGTTTTCTAGGGTATCAATCAAGGAACGGGAGGTTATCGTTACATTGACTGTTTATTCATCAAGTTTCAATAAACCAGGATAAAGCTTCCCTCAAACTTGAACTTATTTGAACGATCGCACTACCTTCTATGTAATTCCCAAGTTTTTTTCAATTTCGAATATTAAGCTACAGAACCAATATACTTGGTTTTGCTGTATTCAACTGCTTTATGTTCAGAACAAAATGAGAATAAATTCTATAACCTAACCTGTAACAGGAATTTCTTTCCAACTCGTACTCCCCAGTGACTTTTATATGTCTAAGAACAGGAATTGGAAGTATATAAGAATCTCCTTGTTACAGTTTCTTACCTACAAACTCCTGCCTCTCAGAAATTCTTATTAAAAACATGCATCAAGGGGGACTTTCAGATTCATACCACGGTACTAAAGGACTTGATGATTTTTAAATTTCGGACTTTGAATACTGTATCCTGAGTGTCCATGTGTATCCTGTTAGTAGAAAACTAAATAAAACTAATTGGATACACCCAATTTGCCACCTGTGTCTATATCAATCTCTTTCTCATCATGGTCTTGATCCTGTCGCTCACCCAAGGCTTTCAACTTCCTCTCTGCTTCTTCGAACGCTTCCATAACAAATTTCTCCTTTGGATAGCTCTCCAATATCTCCGAAACTTTCTTCTTAACCTCTTTTTCGAGCAACTTCGTATCTCTGTTACTGTATCTTTTGTTCTTGGGTAGGTCATTTTTCCAGTAGACACCACGATCGCAGAGGAAGTCAAAAATCTCTTTCATTTCCTCGTAGTAGTATGGGATTAGTTTAAGGCGCTCTTTGCGGGCTGATTCTGCGTTGGTCTTTGCAGCTGCCTCTGCGAGTTCGGTTTCAGTTGGCGGCGGCGGTGTTGGTGGAGGAGAAGGAAGCTGAAGATTTGAGGCAGTTGGGTTCTGTTTCTTTGGGCCTTTACTGGCAGAAGTGCTAGGGTTCTTCGCTCGTTTTGCTTTTGGCTTGACAATGGAATGGATTCTATTAGCAGGAAGTCTATAGCTAGAAGGGACGATAACTTTGTAGAAAACGTGATTGGTACCTTGAGTTCTTCTTTTATTTCATCTGTGGCCTGTAATGTATCCTGCTTTCTCTTCCTTCCACGCTTACCCTTAACTTTTGGTTCAATTTGTTCATTGTCCACCTCTTTTTTAGTCTTCCCCTTGCGGCCAGTACCACCTTTAGCAGAAATGATGGAAACCCTTTTCTGAGGTTCTTTTATGTCTTCTTTTTCATAGGGCGGCTGGGCTTTGACGGCTTTGATATCCTTACAATCCTCATCGTTCTTGTCTTGATCCAAACATTCGGCATGTATTTCATTTCCATTTTCAATTTCAACGTCATTCAGGTCCAAATTTTCTTTCGTTTCTGGCTCAGTCTCTATGCTTGAGCTTGATGTAGAGACGTCAGCTACGGTAATAGAACAAAGTTTCCCGTCCTCAGATACAACAAGAGGTTTCTGAATAATCTTCTTTTTTCTTCCAGCTTTACTTTTGTATTCTTGGTTGGCCATTTTAACTCTAGCTCCGGGTCAGAAGTTTATGTTACCGTATGATGGTTACCCGGGTACTCGAGATGAGGTATTGTACTTGTAGAGCTACAGAAGAGTTAGCGGTAACTCTTGTGGAAGTTTCAAGGCAGTAGATTTATATATGTATTCCCATAGAATTAGCTAGAAAGTACGGTGATGTAGTGTAATTAATTTGAATGCATCAGCCTAGATGAAAATACATCCATCCAAAGATTGATTATACGAGCTTCGGATTGTAATTTCCAGAATATTACATGCTGGTATATGTAGTTGAGCTTGGCCGCTTAAGCGCTTGTTCGATTAAGTTGTATTGATATTGGTCTATATGACATATAATTATACAACGGTTGTCAGATATCTGTTTCCTGGTTGTGAGGTTTCCGTCGAGATATCATCAAGTCGCTATCTTTCATTTATTGACATAACATTGCTAAGCTTATCCCAGTGTTAGTTGACTGCCAATACCTTATGCCTATAAAAAGTATTTCAGAACTTTGTGACGCCTGTGAACCAGACCGATTACGACGTGATCCTCGTGGCGTTCCGTTACAATAAGCAATTGATCACGAACCTGGGGGCCGAGGTTATATTACCACATATGAAGCATCAGCCAGCCATGTTGCCAGGAGAATTAGAAGGAATGGAATTTACATATGTGGACCCTGAATAAAACTACCTTATGGTAGCGCCTGCGTACCGCATGCATCGTCTACAGTCTATCGAGATATGTGTGTATATATATCTGCATTAACAAAGAATTTGATAACTACCATAGATTATCAGTACTCATGATATCATTGATATAGATTATTAAGCGGGTAAAATCATATCACGGCAAGAAGTAGATAGAACATCGTAGTAAAGGTGAGGGGGGCAACTCTGGCATGGTACTCCTGCGTCGGAATTATATTATACGGGAAGAACATTTCCGATATGCAACGGCTAAATTAGATTCGGAACAATATTAATGCAATAGTATTTCACTTCACTGTTTAAACCTGCTATACTATCTATCCCCCGAGGGATAGCCTTGAAGTTCTCAAAACTAAATATGTATATCGGGACCAATGTCGGTTCAAACGTAACCTCAGAAAAAAAGACCCCTCTAACTTTATGATCAATGGTTGACTAAATCGAACGTCATGATCAGAAGAAATGAGAGAATTAGGACAAGAACTGGTTTGGTTCTCCAAGGATATCAGAAATTAATCCGTCTCATATCCAAATCTTCACTTAATAGGTAGATACCAAAGCGGACATCGGTAGTTCAACGTTCAAAGAGTATCAATTATAGTAACAACAATTCAAATGGTATTTAATGAATTCCCATAGGAAACTTAAAAATTTAAAAGTCAAATTAAGAACACCATATCAAAGAGAAACTCGATCAAGGAACAATTAACATCTTAACTCGAAAGATAATTATATACTTTTCAGGTGTTTCATCTATCATAATTATGACTAGAAGCCACCGTTCATAGCCACTCTATCTGGCTATTATACCGTTATATATAACTCGCAATACTCAATAAAAAAAAATATGTATAATAGAATATAAAAAAAGGAAATTCAAACCAAAAAAACCATCGCTTACCACAAAGTGTGGACCGCGTCTGCAATACGAGACTACACTTACCACCATTAGGCATTAACATACCGTGACAATATAAGCCCATCAAAAAAAGTATTTATAAGAAAAAAGAACGAATCGAATTGAATCAGCCGCAAGCTCAAGCTCAAGCACAAGCTCGCCGCCTAATCAAACGTCAAAAAAAAAAAAAGACCAAGAAAATGCAATGATTCCAAATCAACTTAACCTAACCCCTCCTCCACCCCCTCCTAACCCCACCATAGACTCCAACTGCATATGCAGCCCTCAAAACCACAAGATCCCATGCCATTCTAATACTATCCTTTACTAGATTCATCTTCGTACCCTCCACCTCATGCCAAGTAACACTAACCTCCTCAACCCCCACCTTCTCTTCCTCTGCAATCAACAAACACTCAATATCAAATATCCAACCTTCGCAATGTCCCTCCCAGAACACCAATCTAGCTGTATCCCTCGTAAACAACTTAAACCCACATTGTGTATCTTTAATCTTTTGGATTCCGATGACGTGGAGGAAGGTGTGGAAACCGTACATCAAGAGGTTACGGTACCATGAACGGGCTACGACTGCTGAGGAGTTGACCATATGTGCTCGGGAACCGACTGAAATTCCGTGGTACTCGGTTTTGGAGGGGGTGGTGGGGGATGCACGGCTTGATTCGATGGATTGGAGACGGGCGAGGAGTGTTTTTAGGTCGGAGAATTTGGTGGCGCCGTCGGCGTCGGCGAAGACGGCGTATTGACCGCGGATGTGGCGCATTCCCTGTTATCATCATCATCGCGTATTAGCAACCCATACATACTGCGGTCGTAGTATTGAAAGGAGGAGGGGGGAGGAAAATAAGAACATACATGAGCAACAGCCCCACCCTTCCCTCTATTTCTCTCCAAATGCACAATCCTCAAATCGCCTTCCTCAACCTCTCTCTTCTCAACCCTCTTCTTCATCCACTCCACCACAACCTCGGTGGTCTTATCTTTACTTCCATCATCAACAATGATAATTTCCCACCCTTTCTTCTTCTCCCTCTCCCCGTTAATGTGCCCATTCGCATGTCCGTTAGCGTATCCATTCGCCTTCCCATTCACCGCTTTCCTCCCACTAGAACCCTTCGGAAACTCTTGATTCAAAAACTCAACCGCCTCATCTAACATCATCTCAATCCTCAATTCCTCATTATAAGCCGGCACAACAACCGACATGAAAACATCAGGTTCGACTTTTTCATCTAATAAATCAGGTAACCTAATTCCACCCTTTTGTTTACCATCGGATGTAACCGTTATATAATGCTTTTCCGATTCGGTCTCCGGTCGTGGGTTGTGCGTTACTAATAAGAGGAGGATGTATAACTATTTCATTAAAGATAACTTATTAGCCCTTTTCTTATTCGTTAAGAGTTGAAGTAAACCGGATGAGCAAGAACCATATGGAGAGAGAGAAACGTACAACCCCAACGTCAACGATCAAAATCCCCACGACTAAAGTTAATACCACCGGAAGAGTGAGATATTCCCATATCCCTTCTGCCCAGGTATTCACAATCTCCAGCGAAGGAGGAAGGAACGGTATCGTCGACATGATTCCAAGTCGTCCTCCAACTCCCAGTACCCCTTTCGCCGTTCGTAAAACAGGTTGCTCGTTAAAAGGGCACGCGATTGAAGGTGGTTCTTTTAAGTAGCGGTGTTCTTGTGAGTTAACAGATTACTCGTGGTGGCGGTGGTGGGGAGTAGTGAGCAGCGGCGGATGAGGGTGGTAAACCCCGTTTCGAACAGTCGGAAGAGAAGGGTAGCGCGTTGAACAGGCGAAGAATCGTCGATTGTAGGTATTGTATCTCTTAACCTCCTCTTCCTCCTTTCGAAGCCCGAACCGTTCGAGCCGACTATTTTCCAAATCGCGCCCAAGTCTTCCGTCGTATCGACAAATAACAGCCGAAGTCGTGATTTTAAATTTGTAAGACCAAAAAAAGTTATCGAAAGGGGGGTGTTCAAGAATAGCAGATTGTCTCCACAAAACAACAAATGTTAATTACGAAGGTTACCCCGGCCTGCGGTAGAAATTGCTTAAAGTCGAAGCTCCAAATCGTGTAATTTTAAAAACGAGCAGCCAACCAACCAACTTAAGTAACTTACTAAGTACTTATATTGTTATATCAGCTGGAGAGATAGCTAGATTTGTTATATGAAAAAAAAGATGAGGACACAGTTGAAACCACTAAAGCTTTTTCCCCAAACCGCAGCAGCAGAAAATGTCACAACGGCTGTCCGTGATTACGCCGTTCTGTCGTCTCAATCACCCGCATAATATCTTACATAGTATGCTACCCTAACACAGCTCAGGCCAGGGGGGAAGGTCAGTGGTGGAATTGGGTATGGTATTTTCCCCCTGCATGTCATTGTAACAGGAACTTCTAGAAACAGTTTAACCCCATGATCGGACCCGTGGCTGGCTGCTGGTTTGGTCGGTTCAGCCTGAAGTTTGCCCGTTCTAAACGAGGCGCATGGCCCCGAAGGCTTGTTCGGACGGACTCTGCATGCAGCCCCCAAAAATACTCCGACGCTCGAGCCAACCACCATCAAATACTACGTAGACATCATCATCTATCGTCGTCTATTATTATCCATATTGAAAATGGAAACAGTCTACTTCACGTTGTCCGAAGGGTAATTATTATATCAGGGTATATATATGTATTGTTCATCGGTTTTCGTAAGAACATTTTGGCATCGTCCCTTTTCGCTTTTCATCCAAGGTCATGGTAGACAGTAGCGCATTGTGATGAAAGAAAAAGAAGAAAAAGAACATTTGCAGCCCATTGGTGACAGAATTAAAAAAAAGGTACGGGAGAGTAGTGAATGGTTAAAGGAAAAGGAACAAGAGATAGTGGGAAAGAAACAAGCTATCGGCTAACTAAAGAAATGAAAAAAGGTACATGGTGGTAAAAAAGAACCCTTAGAAGAAAGATACTAGTTAAAGCCTTCCTTCCAAATACATCTCCTTCACTGGCACATCCTTCTTCCAAGTTAGTGGTAAGTAGTTGTCGGCAAGTCCTCCATATCTTCCCCCCCTCTCCATTTAATCCTCCATCTCTCCCGCATTCTGTCGAGTCGCGTGACGTTGAACAGACAGGTTCGATATTCGTGTTGTTTTTGAGTAGAGTTTGTAAAAGCCAGTTGTGAGAATATCGATGTCCTCACTTGTATAAGATTTGAAAAAAAAAAAGAAAACCCATGTTATCGAAAAGAGGTCAAAAAAGAAAAAGGGAAAAGAGTATAAGGTTGTTGTGGTGATGGCCTTTGCTAAATCTCTGACAATTTTCCCTCCCGATTTCAAATTGTCGGAGACAAAGCCCTAGCCATTGGGGGGACCACACAAGCGTATAGGCCACCACTGCACTTAAGCAGTAGCGGCTGGGGTGGTAACGACAGCAGTAGTATTGGTGGTAGCGTCCGGAGCATCCGCGGTGGTGGTGGTAGTAATAGCGGTTTCACCGTTAGCTGGGGCGTCCTCAGCGGCTTCACCTTCCTCATCCTTCGGGTTATCAATGGCGACCTTGACGGCGATCTCACGACCTTCGACGACCTTGCCGTTCATCTCATCGACAGCCTTCTTTTGCATTTCCTCGCTGGGGAGTGTGACGAAGCCGAAGCCACGTCCCTTACGAGCCTCACCACGAGCCTGGAGCTTGCGAACCATGAAGCGTGGGATGGGACGGAGGGCAATCTTGGCGGACTCCGGGTTGTAGGCAGCAAAAAGTTCCTTGAGCTATTTATTTTGTTAGCTTTTGTTTCTCTCATTCTGCTTCCTGAAGGCGAGTGCAAAAGGATGGAGAAAAGACTTACAGCAGACTCGCTCAATTCGTAGGGCAAGTTGGCAACCATGACCTTGGTGGTGCTGGCAACTCCATTTTCTGGTGGGCCACGCTTGCGACGAGGACCACGGGGACCCTTGTCGGCATCAGCAGCTGGAGCCTCGGTAGTAGTAGTCTTTGGAGCCTCGGTGATGGCAGTGACTGGAGTGCTATGGGCAGCAGCAGATGGAGCCGGGGTTTCAGTTGGATCAGCTGTGATAGTATCCTTTGGAGCAGCACGAGTTGAGTCAGAACGAGGCTATCGTTATGGGAAAATCAGTAACAGAGCAGAAAATCAAACAAGATAACGTTAAAAGAGACAGGAGAAGCTGCATATAACTCGGATACTATCATGTGAAAAGAAGAGAGAAGGAGGAAGGGGAAGCATACTCTGAAGCGAGAGCCACGACCACCACTGCGGCCACCACGGAAACCACCACGCCCACGACGAGGAGCACGCTTGTCTCCATTGTTGGGGGCTTCACCATTGGCAGCGGCGGCTGGAGAAGTACCAGGCTTGCGAGCGACCTGGACGGAAACCTTACGCTCCAAGATTTCCTTGCCGGAGAGCTCGGTGATGGCCTTGTCGGCTTCTTCCTTCTTGGCAACGTCGACGAATGCATAACCAACAGCACGGCTGGTACGAGGGTTGACTGGGATGGAGACAGACTCGCTATAGATTGTCAATAATAATAATAATCAGCATCATCATGATTCATGTAGTTGGATAAGGAGAATCAGGAGGAGGAGGGGGAATTTACATGGAGTAACCCTTGAAGAAGTCCTTCAATTGGTCTTCAGTAGTAGTGTAGGCCAAGTTTCCAATGTAGAGCCTGCGACCTTCGGCAGCAGCAACGGTGGAGGCGGAGTTGTCCTCCTTGATGTTGGTGGCGGCAACGCCAGCAGTGATCTTTTCAACGTCGGCAGTGGACATTTTGAGCGAGTTTTATTCTAGTTATACTTGATATTTATGTTGCTTCGGGGTAGAGAGTTTTGAGATGGAAGCTGTTGTGGGAGAAGATGATGGTTAGTTGACGGATGGAGAGAAGAAGTGGAAGACGGAGTGGAAGACGGGAAAGAGAGGTGGATGATAGAGTGATATAACAAGCAGGAGGCATTTATGGGAAGATATCATGTATGGGAGATGAGTATGATGCTGGATGACCGAGCACTCGAGGGGATGGCCATGTTGCCGGGTAGCTGCAGCTCGGTAGAAGCAACAGACCAGCTGGCCAGGTAGCTACCTAAGTTAAGTACTACTTTACTTTTGAGTAGGTACTAGGTATCTAGGTAGCTTACCAACCAGCAAGCTTGTTTGCCCCGGTGCTCAGAGCAATCAGGACAACCAAACGTCCGTCCAGACGACCACAGCAAAAGACAACGGAGATAAGTACCTAGTAGCTAAGTACTTATTTAGGAGGAAGAGGAGGAGAGATATATACCTGAATGGCAGTATGAAGGTCCAGGGAAGGAGTCACACGACCGAGCTGAGCTGAGGGAAAAAAGGGGGAATCCGAGCTATTCTCTACCGGAGATTTTCGCAGGGACGCGTAGAGAAGAATGGTTTCTGGCTAACTGAAGTGAGGAGAAGGAGGATGGTGAGGATGTAGATGATGGTGATGATGATGATGATGATGATGGAGGTGATGTAGATGGAGGTGAAGAGAGAAGAGAGAAAAGAAACCTTTCTGGCGGGTTGTTGACAGGAGGAAAAGGCAGTTGACTGGGGGAGGGAGACGTGCACGCTGCTGGCTGCTGCTGGCTACGGGCTGGCTGGCTGGGCTGGCGGGTTGAAGCTTTGTTGATATCGTTGACTGGTGGAAGGAGAGAGGAAAGAAGAGAAGAAGGGAAGACCAGAAAGAGTGGGAAAAAACTGCTTTAAACACCTTTTAGCCACTGACAATAACAGACACCACCACCAGTATTGGGTAGTAAGTACCAGCAGCTAGGAAATGCTAGCTGTATAATACCATCACCACTTTTTACTAATTATTACTCACTCCCTTAATATTTCCATCCTGAGGACGGAGCATCGAAGTAACTGATTGGCTGCCGGAGTCTCAAGACGTGGTCGTGGACCCATAGCAATTTCACTTCCAGTTTCAATTCCGGTGCTATCGCAAAAAAGAACATCCATAAAGCTAGCTACCCCTGAGCTTATTATCACCACTTCATACACTCCCTAACTACAAAAAACTACTCAGAATCTATTCTCCGAGACCTCCCACAGCTGCTCTTAGTTTTAGTCTGTCTGAAAGTTAGATCCTTTGCCATGTTTTGGATCCTGATAAATCTTCACTTTCGCTTCTTAAACTGGGATGTGTGTGCATGTGGGAACATAAGATAGGGCTAAATGTATGTAGCCACATCTGCTTTTCCCTTTTTTGCGCCCATTTCTATTTTTCTACTTTTTTTTTTTTTTTTTTTGCCTTCGCAGAATTGTTTTCTTTTGGTGAGGAAAACGTCTGGAACAAGGGCTGCTGTCTTGGCAAATGGAAGTTCCACCCGACCCGGCACCTTTAACCGACTCTCCTCCTCACCCCCTATACTTTCCCCACTGTTCCTCACTCCCAATCTCCTTGAGTATATAGCGCAGTATAATATAATCCTGTTGAATTTGGTACCCTTCCTTCTATTATTGATGTAGATCTAAAGCAAGATGGAGAATACGGGATACAGATATATGATATTATGATCATGATTTGACATTAGATACTACCACTACCACGACTACTTACTATTTAAGTACCGACAAGCACGGTGATTATGGTGAAAATTAAAAAGTCGACGCCGCCAGTCTGCTAGCCGCATTCCGGGCATCCACCCTATCATCATCATCCGCCTCCTCCTCTACCCCCTTCAAAGTTCTCTTCCCTTCATCTGCCACAACCCCTGCACCACCCCCATTAGTCACCCCAGTGCCAGGACTCAAAACCATATTCGCTGCGCTCGCCCTATTAATCCCAGGCCCATTACTCCTACTAACCCCACTCCAAGCATCGCCCCTAGGTCCCTGGCTGGCTGCCAAGTTCGTCCGTCTGGCAGCAGGCGTACTCTCCCTCCCCAGCCTCGATAGCCCACCGCTGGCATCAATATTCCTGATATCAGGCCTAACATTCTCTAACGTTGCCAAAATCCTTCTCTCAGCTTCGATCTGTCTCAAAGTATAGTCCCTGATACTGGACCTTAAATCACTCGCTGTCCTTTGAAACCATCGTCTCTGCTCAACCAATAGATTCGACGTAACCCGATTCACCTTCGCTGCCAAGTGAGTCTCTGTACTCCTAGCTTCGTCTAATGCTTGAATCGCCTCATCAACTTTATCGCTTCTCACTGAACTCGAAACTTTCAATCGATCGGCGCTGTGCAGTCTCGTTCGAGTCGTGGCTTGAGCGTTAAGTAGGTCCCTCATGAGTATCTGCCGGTTCGTAAGGCTCTCCTTTACTATAAAGGCATCCGAAGAATGATAGTTAAATGCATCGCCTAAAGTTGTGGCTTCAGCTGTGGCTTGAGCTGCTGCTTGGTCGCCGACCGACTGCACCGTTTTTCCGAGCTTACGAAGTGCGGCGGATAATCCCGTATGCGTAGTGATCTGTGGATCGGATATACTTCCCATTTTCACACCGAGATCGGATAAGGATAATGCGAGACCTTTCCTTTCAATCAGTACCCTCATAGGCCCGTATAAATTAGATAAAGAAGAAGAGAAGAACGAAAAACATACCTCTCCTCGCTTTCACAACTTTATCCACCTTCTGCCCACCTTCCATAGTCCCCAAATAAAAGGCCTTAACAATAGGTCTGGCATCTGCCAACTCTAGTGTATCATCTGGCGGCGGTGCAAATTGCTTCAACATCTTTCTCCTGACACCAGTCGCAGGTTGACTCTTCCGAACCACAGGCGAGTACCCAAAGTCCGCTTCAACAAAGTAAACAACCTCTTCATCGCGCATGAGTACCTCATTCCCACAAACGTAGTTTAACCATCGTTGAATACTAGCCCGAACTCTTGCCTCGTCTTCTTCAGTCCCCACACCTGCCGAAGTCGAAGGTGGCGGAACGGCTGGGACCAAACATTCTGGATTCGAAGAGACAAGATGATTCGCGAGTTTGGTGAACTCACTGTGAGTACGGCGGACATCACGGAATTGTGTAGTTCGAAATTTAGGTAGGTTAGTCTATCCCCTTTGCATTAGCCTTCATTCCTACAATAGAAGTAACCCATTATATAAAATAATGACGTACGTGAACATCAAACCTCAAAATCGGATCCTTCCTGCCAGTCCTCTCCAAACCCGTAACCTTCGCTCTCAACTTATACTGTACACTAGGTCTCTGCTGCTGCTGCTGTCCTGCCTGCTTCGAGCTACTCCTAACCTGAGGCTCAGGCCTGTATCCTGCTGGCCTGGTCGCAGAATTTGGTACTTCCGGCGACTCAGGAGCATTATCACCACCAAAGAGAGGTGGTGTACTCGGTGTCGGACTGAATGGAGGAGGAGAAGTAGGTTCGGTAGTAATTGGATTATTGTCTGTAGGCGTTATAGGGCGATGAAAGCCGTCATGTTCTTGTTCGTCCGGGTCGCCGAAGCCGCCACGGTTGATGGCGGAGTAGTCCATAGCTGCTGTTTACGTATCTATTCGTAAAGGGTTGGCGCCCGATGCGGGGAGTCGAGTTATGTGATAGTTATGTTATCGACGGCGGATATCCGAATGAAGCTGGTGGTTTGAGGTATTTCAGAGCTAGAATATGCTAAATCTCTGCCCGATGAAGAAGATGATAATGGTTTTGTCGGTGAGAAACCGTTGTCGTCAGCTGGTGATGTCCGATGATGGCTGGCTGGCTAACGTTAACAGAACAGACAAGACAGACAGGAAGGAGGAGTCCAAGCTCGGACCAGCGACAGCGCTTGGCTTGACGACATACCCAACACAAAACCGGCGCCTTCTCTTCCCTCTTGAATTCCTCTCCACCGTCCATTAACTACAAACCCTTCATCCCCACGAAAATAGAATTCCGAATCCTTCGTCGGAGATGACAATGCCATAGTTCTACTGCAACCGATGTAGAACTTGCATTTATCGAATTGTTCTAGTCTCGAGCTATCGATAGATACTACATTCCTCGCTCTAAAAAAAATGGGATTAACCGTTTTGAGAACGACGACGGTGCGAACCGCGCGACAGGCTTCCTCGTGGTATCCATATACCCGTATTCGACTGTTAACACGACCAATTGATTCTTATCGATCGTTCTCTACGACTCCGAGACTTCTTGCTTCGCTTCATGATTCGAAAGTTGATCTTAAGCATGTTCGGAATATCGGAATCATTGCCCATATCGATGCTGTATGTCCCCCCCCTCCGTCCTTTTGTCCGTATAAACCCACGACCATTTGTATGGCTTCGATAGATTATAAAAATGATATTAATAGAGATAATATATCAGGGTAAAACTACCACCACAGAGCGAATGCTCTTCTATAGCGGAACCACAAACCGGATAGGAGGTACCTAAACGCCAATCCGATCAAGTATCCTTCACACTACCCCTCCATACCACATAATCCCCGCCAATCAATAACTAACAATCACCTTTTACTTCAACTCTTTCAAATAGACGTCGACGAAGGTTCTACAGTGATGGACTACCTCCCCGAAGAAAAGCAAAGAGGCATAACCATAACCTCCGCCGCTATAACCCTCGAATGGCCTCCCCACCCACCCCACGCAACCACAAAGGACATCCTGTCCCTTCCGATCCACACAATAAACCTTATCGACACACCCGGTCACGCAGACTTCACATTCGAAGTGGAACGCTCAATCCGTGTGTTAGACGGTGCAGTAACTATTCTAGACGGTGTGGCAGGGGTAGAAGCCCAAACCGAAACTGTCTGGCGACAAGCTGATCGGTATCATATACCCCGTATTATCTATGTCAACAAAATGGACCGTGAAGGTGCAGTGTTCGGAAGGGTTGTGAAGGATATCGCTGCTAGACTTAATGTCTGGCCGGCAGTTACTCAGATCCCCATTCATGGGAATATGAAGGAAGGGCTTCTCGGTGGGGTCGTCGACCTACTTCATATGAATATCATAAACTGGAAACACGAAACGGAGGGTAGGGGGATGACGCTTACACCCCTCGAATCGATCAAAGAAAAACATCCAGAACTCTACGTAGAGGCTATAAAGGCTCGAACAGCGCTAGTAGAACTCCTAGCGGAATGGGACGAAGCAATTCTCTCAAAATTCGTGGAAACGGAAGATCAAGCTTCCATTACCGCCGAGGACCTAAAACGCGCACTGAGGTTTTGCACTTTGAATCCGCATACGAGAGTTATCCCCGTGCTTATGGGTGCTTCGCGGGTTAATATGGGTGTACAACCGGTTTTGGACGCAGTATTAGACTATCTCCCAGACCCGACAGAATGTGGGAAGAGTAAGATACCAGTGACGGTTCATGGTGAAAAGGCCTTGTTGGATGCGAAGGAGGCGAGTAAAGTATGTGCTTTGGTCTTCAAAGTCATGCACGACCCGAAGCGTGGGATGCTTTCTTATGTCCGAGTATACTCTGGTAATACTTCCCCTCCCCCCTCCCCGCAACCTCGAATAAACATAGAAAGACTAACAGAAATAATATCAGGCACCCTCCGCGCTGGTGACCAACTCTACAACACAACCCTCCAATCCCGTGAACGCGCTCTAAAACTCCTTCGCATGTACGCTAACGAAGCGGTTGATATCCCTTCAATCCGTACCGGCCACATCGGAGTAATCGTAAACTACAAAAACTCACGAACAGGAGACACTTTAATCCATGCTGACCACGTCACAAACCTCCCCACCTCGTCATCTTCGTCATCAATCCAGAACTTCAAACAACAAAAACGTGAAAAGAAATTCAAGAAAAAGGTCGAAAAGGCAGGAAAACATATTGATATTCTTACGGATGCAAGCCTACAATTACGTCCAATTGACGTTCCACCACCGGTATTCTTTGCAAGCTTGGAGCCGAACTCGGCCGCCGATGAGAGAGGAATGCAAGATGCGCTGTCTATCATCGAACGTGAGGATCCGTCGTTACATATCTCAACCGACGAGGATAGTGGACAAATGGTGTTGTCAGGAATGGGAGAGCTACATCTAGAAATCTCGCGAAACCGACTTGTTTCCGATCTAAAAGCCAAATGCAGCATGGGTCACATTCGGATCGGATATAGAGAAGTGGTAAGCGGCTCCGCCACAGTCCACGAAATCTACGAACGAGAAATTCTAGGCAAAAAGAGCTATGCAGGAGTCACCGCCCACGTCGAAGCGATTTCAAACTACGAAGGGGCAGTATTCGAAGAACCGCTCGGCATCCTTGCAAAATCTACAATCGGTGGTAATGAAATTCTAATAACCGTCGCAACGACCCAAGAACTTGAGGACCCAACCCTTAAGATCCCGGGGTGGATGGATCCAGAAGTTCTAGTCGATAACCTTACAAACGGTGCAATGGCGGCGTTATCACGCGGACCACAAAACTTTGAACTGCATTCGACAAGAGTGATACTTACACTCGAACCATCCGATTTTAGAAATTCGAGTGAAAGTACGCCGAACGCGTTTATGGTCGCGGCGAGGATGGGAGTTGAAAAGGCGGTGAGGGAGTGTGGAACGGGGATGATGGAACCGTTTATGAATGTGGTTGTTAGCTGTGAGGAAGGGGATGTGGGTAATGTTGTGGCGGATATTACTAGCGGTGCTGGTGGAGGTAGTGTTTTGTCGCTTGACGATGAAGCTGATGGTGGCCATGCACCCACAAGTGCTCACACCGGCGGAACATATGACACTTCTTCATCATCGTCATCACTATCCACTTCACCAGAAGAAGGAGAAAGGAAAGAAGTGGAATATATCGACGTTAGTAAAGTCTATGCGCCGCCGCAGAGTTATAGATCTACAGGCCTGGAGAAGTTCGACGAGGGAGCACATGTTAGGACGAAACTTGTTAGGTGTAGAGTTCCACTCGCGAAGATGATGGGGTATGTAAAGCATTTGAAGAGTATGACAAAAGGTAGGGGTACTTTTGTTATGAGCATGGATAAGTTTGAGAGGATGAGTGACGTTAGGATTAGGAATGCGATGCGGTAAGTTTTTCTTTTCTCTTCCTCTTGTTTTCTCTTTAACTAGGGAGAAGTAAGAAACTTTTATTTTAGTTGGGGTTTGTATGTAGATAATAAGCAGAAAACCTTTTGTATATGATAACAGTTATGATCTATCGATATCGATGATTGTTGAAACTTTTGTGTCCGGAATACCGTACCTGGAGGTGACGAGGATGGTGTTCGTGAGAGGGTTTGCGCGACTTGGTGGGTGCCTGTCGGTTAACGTCGCTTTCGCGAAGTAACATCCCAAAGCAGATTCTCAACATTCAATCCTAACCATAAAGAAACCGTCCGATTGACATATCATATCTGAAAATTATCCATCAACCATGTTATTTTATCAGCTCAAAAAAAAAAAATCAACTACGGAAGAGCTCGCAGAAATGCTTCTCCGAGGTCGCGGACGCATAGTAGGAATAGATGGGGATATATATAGCAAGATACACGCTCCGTGCTCACGATATCTGTCTCAAGTGCTACACTATTCCTTTCCATCAATTCACCTTTTATAAACATCTTAAATAAAGATACATATTACGATTCAAAAAATGGATCACCACGTCAAACACGCCGCCCACGAAGGCCACGACCATTCCCACATGGACCACGCAAATATGAACCATACGGCCGAAGAGACCGGCGAAATGGATCATTCTCACCATCATCACCATCATCACCACCATACTCCAGAAGCAAACAATACCAACAGCACCACAATGGATCACTCCACAATGGACCACTCTTCGCATAACCATGCCGGTCACGATCATGCTTCAATGATGCACGGTGCCGCTGGTGGGCCAATGTGTAAGATGGATGTATGTTTTTGCCAAACCCCTCTCCTCCCCCTTCCCTTTTCCAAAATCATGATATCAAACGGATTAATTTCAGAAGAAAAATGACTGATTATATATAATATAACTAAAGATGTACTGGAACTGGTACACCATCGACGCCTGCTTTTTGTCAAAATCATGGCACATCACTTCCGCCGGGATGTTCGCTGGTTCTTGCATTGGTATCGTCTTTCTCGTCGTGTTGGTAGAGGCACTTCGAAGGTGTGCTAGAGAATGGGATAGATATATCGTTAGAGACTGGAAGAAACGGGCTATTACTGCCGCTGAGGGCGTTAACGTCACCATCCCCGATACCAATACCAAAGATACCACGACCGGCTGTTGCTCATCCACTCCCGCAGAAACTGCTTCATCGTCTAGTAGCCAAAAAGGAGGCCTAGTCACCAAATCTTCCGCTGCTACTACTAAGAGATCCTTTTTATCCCGTCTATGTCCCTTCACCACATCAACAAAGTCTTTGATAGCAACACCACGACCAACGATTGTTCAACATTTGTTGAAATCATTGATCTATGCGGTATTGCTAGGCGTTGGGTATATTCTCATGTTATTGGCAATGTATTATAATGGATATATCTTCTTTTGCTTGGTGATCGGGGCTTGGTTGGGGAACTTTTTGTTTGGGATAGATACATGTGTGCTAGACGAGAGCGTGGTGGGAGCAGAGAGGGGGTGTGGGTGTTAGTAGGTATATGTGTATGTCGTGAGTAGGAAAGAGAGTATGATAGGACTAAGTTTAGGGAAGAAGGGAGTGAGAGAAGAGGGAGAGGGGGACGGCTAAAAGTTCTCGATTGTTGGTGTTTACTTGTATATAACTCTGGATTATAATCAACATACTTGATTGAAGCTCTGGTTATCAATTTACAGTAACTTGTTAGTTTGTAACATATGCCATCGAGACAAAGTTAATCCAAATTACGTCTTCCATGATGAATACATAGCACCATTCCCAACCTACGATACACTCTATCAAATGGAACATGCCGTCGTGAATCCTGTCGTATGATATTACGTACATCAATCACGACATATCAACATTTAAATTCACATGCATGCGCATGGAATTTCATTTAGTTATAGTAATATACTTTGACACTCTGATGGAAGTCCTTCGGCCAATGGCCCGCGGAAAGTCTCTTAGAAACCCGCGGACCGAGATAAACTATGTATAATAGATTACCGACATTTACACTGGGAACGTCTATATACCGTACCGTTCTATACTGCCCGTACATATTCACCCACGGCCCAAAAAATTGCGAAATACGCCATGCATGAATCTTGGAAAATCGTTAGACTGATACAATACCAATTTCTAGATAATGCCAATTGAATAGCCGCGAGGGAGTATCAAGCAAACTAGCATAAATAGACGGCCCAGCCGCCCGGCGCGGACAATAGATAGCCCGATACCCACACCCTCCCAGCCAATTCGTGCAATCGCAACTAAAATGCAACATGTTGAATCGACTTAATCCCAAAACGGCAAAAGGAATGCTTGAAACTGTGGTAATTTGTGTGTTGCAGGGAAGTGAACGTGAAGGGGAGCTGAACTCGAACGTGCCTCGGTATCTTTTTGGGCGTGTCTTTCTGGTCGTGACTTTCCTTTTTCTTTTCCCCGGATTTTTCTTTTATTTCAACCTCGTCGCTCCTCCTCCCCGTTTCTCGACTTCCATGTTTACTCCCCGTCCATCTCCACGCCCATTACTTATAATATCTCTATTACTTTTCCCGGTCATAGTAGATCTAGAACTTCAGTTTCAAGTTCATTGATTCCTTTCAAAAGCGCAGACTTTACTAAAGTACATACTCTACAATATAAATACTACAACGATACAAAATGTCGAACGACCCAAAGACCCTCTACACCCTCCCCATCACCGCCACCTCCGGCACCATAACCATCACAATCCCACGTCCCCAAACCCACCCAACAGTCTACCTTCTAACCTTCGTCTCCCCACCGGATAACCGTCTCCTCACCTCCTTCATCGAAACCTTCACTCTCGCTCTCGCCTTACTCCGCACAAACCACCCACACGGTGTCTTAATCACCACCTCAGGAAACCCCAAATTCTACAGCAACGGTCTAAACCTCGAACATGTAGCCTCCCAAGATCTCTGGTGGTCCAAGATCTTCTGGCCATTCATGAAGAACCTTTTAACATACCCTATGCCGACGGTTGCATTAATCAACGGCCACGCCTTCGCCGGAGGCTTCATCACCTCCATGTGTCATGACTACCGCGTCATGAACCCATCAAAGGGATTCTTGTGCATGAACGAACTAGAATTCGGAGCACCATTGATCCCACCATTGACTTCCATCTTCCGCAATAAATTGTCCGCAAAGACTTACAGATCTATTGTGCTGGAGGCTCATAGGTTTACGGGACCACAGGCTTTGAAGGAGGATATTGTTGATGCTTTGGGCGCTTTGGAGGAGACTTTTAAGCTTATTGATGAGAAGAAGTTGGATAAGAAGGCTAAGAGTGGGATTTATAGCGTTATTAGACGGGAAACGTGGAGGGAGACATTTGGGTTTGTGAAGGGTGATGATAAGGAGTGTTATGATGGTGATAAGTGGGTTAGGGATACGGTTAAGGAGGCGGAGAGGGAGGAGGAGGAAGCTAAACAGTTGGCGCAGAGATGGGAGAAGACCCAGGGGGCTAAGCTGTAGATAGGTAGATAGTGGGTATTTTGGCTGGGTTAGCGAATATATAGCGGTGGAGATGATGCTTGTTTATATTTTGAGCATCTATGAATAAGCGGATTCTGTTAGCTCTAGAGCGAATTGAGATTCTCTTCATGGAAAGGCTTTTTTTGATTGTATAATAAGATTAATTGATGGAATTACCGGGCACCAGTTTTACAGGCGATTTTGGTTGATGATACGCGTTTAAGGAGACCTATGCTGCTCCTATTCCCAAAATCCAAAATAGAATATGTAATGAAACCTTATCTCGCAGTCAGTTCCATCTTAGAAAGAACTGAAACCGAAGTAAATCAGACTGGCCGATTTTTGTAGGTGTATACGTAGTCATTCGAGTAGCAAACCAATCTGGCATACTCAGCTTAACGACCGGTCGACCCCTGACTATCAGCACTGCATCTTCCAGAGAATTTAAGAATAAGAATGCGGAATACACTCTCCAAGGCAAAACCCCGAAGTTCACGTGTACCAAACCTACCTCTTCGATTAAACCCCAATTGGAAATAAAATGAGTTTTTAAACGATCTCTTCTTGTCTCATACCGATCTCTTCATTTAAGCAAGCTACTCTACCATCAATCTCACAGCCCCCTCTGAAACAATATCACTGTTAAGTGGCTCCATCAAATCCCTACGTGCACATGCTACCCTTTCTCACCATAAACCCTCAGTGTATGCAACATCACAAACATCTTGGCTCGGTATAGGTGGCCTGATCAAATTAATTTAGTGATGATTTCCCGAAAAAGTAGCGAAAGTGCAATCTTGGGACTTTCAATATATGCATTTAATATCTCCCCAATCCCCGCTACCCCGATTAGTGGAAGGGGGTCTCTCAGCGGGGCAGCGGCACATTATCGTTTTTCAAGTTCTGGATCCCCGTACCCCGTTTTCTCATAGTCCCACACGAAGGGCTATTTTAGGCAGTTGATGTATAACACTATCGTCCGTTATGTAGGCGCATTTAGTACACAGGGAAGAAATTATATTAGGAGCTTGGCTGCATCGATTCGATACATCTCCCCAAGAACATCGTGGCCAATGGTATCGATACGTATCCAACCCATACTTTATTGAGGCATCGACCTTTTGCGCTTTCGTCGCTTTCTCTTCACCCCCATTCTAGTAGATTGTCTACTCAATCGGTCCTTCTAATTATATATATTTTAGACTGTACGGTAAGTGCCGCACACTAGCCGCTATATCCATAGTATTGCATGAGGTACTGCAGGATGCCAGTTGAAACCACCTAAATCATGGATAGGGCCGAAAAGGGGGATCTATTCCGGAAAATGACGTTCTAACCCCTCACCGGCCGCAGTGCCGACATACCCTGCCCGTGCGCCTTTTATCAAGTTGGAAGCTAACAACCAACAACTTCAAAATCCCAAGGACTTCGAGTAGCTTAGCATGCCACACAGACAGGAATACCAGTACCCTGCATATAACACCCAAGCTGCATAAAAGCAAAGTCAATGCAGAGAATTATATTCTAGAAGCTCAAGGGACGGAAAGGACTAGCAAGCTAAATAGCCAGCTAGTGCGTATGCGCCTTTGAGTGAAACGTTTTGCCTGAGGCCTGGGGTCCACAACCGACTGGCCGCATGATCATTGCCAATGCAGTACATATATATGCGTAAGATCATAAGATAAATAAAAAAGAGGAAATATTTTCCAGAGAGATTATCTAAACATAAACACTTCACATCTTGGCTAATATAGACGCTCACAAGATCTTGCACAATTGCAATTCAAGATAATCTACCAAATATATATTTATTGTTACACAAAGACGCAAAAAAAAGCCACATTCAACACATTTTATCAGACACCGCGCAGTCTCTGCCAGTAAACTTGTACTCGTGAATACTACCCCTCCTCTCTAGAAAATATTCATTTAAAAAACTTCTATGATGTAGAACAGAATAATAAAAACCATTTGAACCTCTCGGAATGACTATCCGACCCCTAGTTTTCGTTCTGTGCCTCGTAGGGCTGAAATGCACGGGCCAGCTTGGCAGTGACAATATGGCAAACAAAATACAACACTGTCCAACGATATTTTTATCCTTAGGAAAGTCTTGGACCTGCATGCATTGCATTTTGCTGCGGAAATTGCTATTGTGGCTTCACTTTTTTTTTGAACATCATCCACATGGTTTTCGCTACGGTCGATCGCTTGGAGCTTACTTTTTTGGATGTTAGGCTATTTTGATGGCTGTGGAGGTTCCTTTGGGGATTGCAGATTGGGATGTTGGTTGAGTAAGATTAGTATTCGATTGATATTGATCGACTATGGTTCTCTAGGTTGTGTAGTTCTGTATCGTAGTACGTAGATTTAGAGGATAAATAGGAATCAGAATCCGTCCTTCCAGTTCTAATATCTTCTATACATCCATCAAATCTACATCTTATATCTATTTCTCTATTCTATCTTATTTTAGACCGTATACGCACAGAATAACCTTGAATACAAACCCAAGCTTCCATTCCACTCACCGGAGCAGCAATGAAGCTCACCACAATCCTTCCCCTCCTCCTCCTCCAAACCACAACCCATGCCACAATCTTCAACCGCGCAAGACTTCCCACAGTCGGGGAAGCCGAGGACCTCGCCGCACCAACCGTAGTTCTCAAACGGACTAATCTAGAACTCACTGCTCCAACTGCTATACTCAAACGGGCTAGAAAAGCCGCGGACCCCGATCCTGAAGAGCAAGCTAGGCCTGATGATATTAGAACTAAGGTTGTGAAGAGAGCGAGACCGGCACCAACTGTTGTTGGGGAAAGAGCTAGGAAGTATGCGGATCCTGATCCGGAGGAACAAATGGGACCTATAGATCCGGATAGTACCAGAACTCGAGTCGCAAAGAGAGCTAAACCTGCTCCTACCGTTTTTGCAGAGCGAGCGAGGAAATATGCAGACCCGGATCCAGAAGAGCAAATGGGACCTATAGATCCAGATAGTACCAGAACTCGAGTCGCAAAGAGAGCTAAACCCGCTCCTACTGTCGTTGGGAAAAGGGCAAGAAAATATGCGGATCCCGATCCAGAGGAACAACTTAGGCCTGTAGACCCAGACAGCACAAGAACTCGGGTCGCCAAACGGGCCAAACCAGCTCCTACTGTTGTTGGGAAACGAGCCCGGAAGTACGCCGACCCAGATCCAGAGGAACAGCTCAGACCCGTAGACCCAGACAGCACAAGAACTCGAGTCGCCAAACGAGCCAATCCAGCTCCTACTGTTTTTGAAAGAAGAGAAGTCGTAGATGATCAAGCACCAGCCGCTTTCCAAGTTATAACACTCCCCACTGGACGTATTGAAGTACCCGTTCACGCCCATACCCCCATTTCTACTCCAGAAATCAATGCCAGACCCGCAGGTGTCCTTGACAGCATCGGCCTCAACTTTGGGACACTCTGTTCTGCATTCATTCCCTTTACCAACGCTGGTACTGGGGTCGGGGAGTTCCCGGACCATTCCGGCCCAAGGGTATATATCGATGTCGACGGTGTTAATATATGGTCCAACAGCCAAAAGGGATTAATCGTCGACACTGGCTCCGTAGGCTCCCCATAATCCCCATCGATTCCAAAATTGTTCAACCTCAGCTAACAAACATAACACAGACAGGCTTCACAATCGGCCAACTAACTTGGACCGGCCATTTCCATAAATCCTGGTCTTCAACTGACAAATCCCGTCCAGGTTGGAAATACCTCTCATCTTCCAACATCCTCTACAAGGGCTACTGGGTCAACGTCAACATCACCTTCAAAGACCTCTCCTGGAAACCCATTATCCGTTCCGAAGTCCCCGTATTAGTCTTTAATCAAAAGCTTGGATGCGAGAAAATTGATAACGCAACTGGAAACTGCCTCGTAACCCCTTCGATCCTACAGGCAGAAGGAGGGTATATGGGTATCGGATATGGAAGAAGGGCAGATGGTATGACGCAGTGTACACCTGATACAAACCCTTTGTTGAATGTGAGAGGCATCTGGAGGGATTTACCTGTCACTGGGTGTAATTATCGAAATGGTACGTATACTATGACTCTAGAGCTCTACATACTTAATCCCTCTTACATATTATAATATTATAACATACGCATACGCTAACAACAATCGATACGCATAGGCTACGTAGTCACAAAAACTGGCATCTCATGGGGCCTGACCGTCGCAAACACCAACGGCTTCAAATTCCATACTCTAAAGAAAGACTCAACCGTAAACATGGACTGGTCAATGCCAACCATGTGTCTCAGAGCCAGTAATAACGCACAAACCTGTCGTGCCGGGAACTTCCTCCCAGACACAGGACTTACAAAGTCTTATATCACTTCGCCCGATACGCCCTCGGGGACTGCACCCCCGTCGAATGGTTTCAATATTAAATTGAATATACCAAATTCTGGACAGGGTATGGGGTTTTTGAATTATAATAATGTGGGAACTGGAGGGAATCACTTGCCAAGTTCGTATTCGACTTGGAAGAGTGGGGAGAAGGTTTATTTGAATACTGGGAGTAGGTTTTTTAATGCTTATAAGATTGCGTTTGATGCGGATTCTGGGTATTTCGGGACCAAGTAGCTGTAGAGGGGATTAAAGGGTATGGAATCGTTATCGAGAGGCCGGAGTACTAATTAGACAGTTTGTATATACGTATACGTGTAAAGGGGCTCTTAGGGGGGTGGGTATGAATACGTTGGCAATGCCGAATCTCAACTACGCATTTAATATTTTACTCAGAAACTTGTCAGAAACGATTTAATATGGTCGAGTGACATGATAGTCGCTTGCATGGCCTGTACATAATATTACGTATTATATTACCTTTAAATTATATATCACGATGTGTTATATGAGTCTGAAATTGGTCGTAATCCGTTCGATAGCACCAATAGACCTAATAAAAGGTCGATTCCCCAAATCCCATGCACAAAGGGCGATCGTTCAAATCATCGGCTAATCTCTTTGGAAATTACGTCGAATTGGCCGTTAGGTATACGCCCCTGCAACGAAACTTGCCCTCGATCGACGTCGACAGCAGAAATATTTAACAAGAAAGGGAGCCAATTGTCGGAATCGTCATGATAGAACGACTAGAAAGTTAACTTGTCAAGTCGGCGTGTCACACATGTGATCCTTTCGGTAGGATCGACTCAAAAGTAACCATGCATGCCTCGGGACGAAAGTTAGGCGTAATTGCGTTGCCTCGCCAGAAGCTTCGCATCAACATCACGACTTCTGCAATGCAATGCAATAACAATTGGATCGATTGGTTACGACTTAGGATTCGTATGTAGGACGCGTCTGGCTCGCACCACTTTCGCGTCGCATACAAGGCTTCCAAAAACGCAGCTTCTTGATTAAGTCGTGAGAGAGTGTTTATATCCATGCCTGATGTTGAGGAGTCAGGATTCATGGATTAAAATTTGGAACCCTCTTTAGTTTTGTATGAGGTTGTTCGTTTTATGTGATGAGTCAGCAGCAATGTGAAGCAAGGGCAAACGAAGGCGGCACAAAAACGATTCTGATCCTGCACTAGCATAGGTAACTCTCCCGTGCGTGCATGTCGTTCGACATCCTGAAAATTTTAAACCTGCAAGAAACGGAATTCGTATTCCCCCACCAATGCCCCTCGCTTCGAATTCCATCATTGTAGTCGTAGTAGTTAGCCGTCGGTGTAGGTGTCTTTCGAAAGAAACATGGGATGAAAAGCTATGAATATTTTGAGAATAGTTCGAAATGTTTCTGCAAGCTTAGCGCCGTTTTGCAGCCAGGGTCTACATACATTAGCTCCAGCGTCGGTAGCCGTATGACGATACTCGTGACCCCATGCTCATATGACGATAACAGGAGGGGAGCTAAGACGAGGTTTTGGGGTGTGGTGTGGGTAGACCAGGACTGCCTGCAGCTCACGATCCGCCGGACCCACTCGGCTTGCTTTTTGTGTTCAATTTCATCTTCTGGATGAAATAGGAAGTGTAATTGACCGCTTTCATGCAGAAGTTCGAACCGGTTTGAAAGGGTGGGAAAACCCACTCCTCGAATATTGATTGATCTTTGAAAGATGAGTCGAGGAAAGGGGCGGAGAGCATACGCAATGAAACTTAATCCCCGTTCGATTCTCACGATGAGTGGTTTGAGGCATAATTTTTCCCAAGGTGCCTTTTCTTTTTAGACCCGAGAGAAAGGGCCGGAAAACCAATGTCCATATCCTTTTTTGGGGGGAAAAACACAGGATTGGGGGGTGACAAATTCGAGGCATTCGGCCGTCGGCGGGCGTGGTGGGGTTAGAAGAGCTGTGATTCGTTCAGCCCCGGTCAAACCAAATGCACGTTGGCCAGCTAATCAATCCGAATCAACCCCGCCTGACAGAGGATGCATATGTTGATATCGCGGCCTCGCAGCTTGGGTATATAAAGCTGATGGCCCGGGAATCCCAAGACTGGTTGGAAGGGCAGTTTTGGAGGTGAGAACGAGCTCTTCAAGACCCCCAAGAATATCTATAAGTTCATGCAAGCTGCCATACGGAAAGAATATAATTAGCTGAGGAGTTTCGACTGCAGGCTGGGGAAGTTTGCACCATTTGATGCAGGTGAACTGACCAGAAGCCAGCGACAGGGGCGACCTGCAGCTGTGGGCAAGGTGACCCGTTTGGACTTGGAGCACTTGGACTTGGACTTGGATTCGGATTTGGACTGATGGTGACATGTACTTTTGATTTGTCTGCAGTGTCTCTGATTAATTTATTATTCTCCTCCTCCTCGTCGTTGATGGTCATTTGGAGTTCCAAGCTGTCCTTTATTTCTGTCGGTCTGAGAGTCGAATCCAAAGAAGCGGAGTTCTAAATATCCACGAGACTATCCCCTCCATCGCCTCCTCCATATTAGATCTATTATCCAGAATCGATTCCAGTTCTATATCCCGCTGCCCCTCCGCGCTGTGTTGTCGACTTCCGATTCGGCGATTGTCCAACACCAACGACGTTAACAGTTAACAGTTAACCGTCAACTGCCACTTCACTGCGTTATAAACTACCACCACTACTATTACTACTACTACTACTACCTATTAGTCTAAGAAGCAGTTAACTACCTCATCATCACCATCGTCACCCTCATCATCACCATCACCATCATCATCTCTCCCTACTTTATATATCTCCCCGCTTCTTCTTCTTCTTTGTTTCCCTCCCTCTAATTCCTAGCTGGTTCTCTTTCCCCTGCCTTCTTCCCTTTATAGATCTTCCATCTATCTTGTATTCTCACTCGTTAACTCACTCGTTCGCTCGTTCATTCGGTCGTTCGGTCGTTCGGTCGAGAGACATCCAAAGAGGGAGGGAGAGGCTGCATCTACGTCATACGGGCCTCTGCGCTGACCAGGTGACAGCTGCACTGCACTGCACTGCACCGAACTGCACCGAACTGCACCTACTGTTGCTGCTCTGCAGAATAGAATCCACACACTATTTCTCACACTGAGAGGCCACCTCGCCAGCCTGTCGTTTTCCTAGGTATTTTCTCTCTCTCTCACGAAATCTCCTGTTAGTCAGACTCTTTCTTTTCGTTTGTCGTTCAAATCAATCTCAAATTCACTTTCATCTCGTTTCATTTCGTTACCGCTACTGTTGTTTGCTGCCTTACTCGAAAGGCTCCCTGTCTGCACTTCGGGCATCGTCAGGCAGTACCCACTCTTGAATCTACTTCTGTTCGAAGATTCATACCTTTTTTTTTGGAAACATTCACCTTCATCTGTCATACAAAATTACACACAAATAGCTGTCATAGCTATTCTAATTCTCCTTCCCAGGGAATACTTTAAAAAGAAACCAAAAGCAACCCTACGATTACATTTACAGTATCTCCTTGGGACCAAGAAACCACCTGGCTAATCTCACTCAATGCTCCGATGTTCAGCTACAGGATCTCCAAACGGGGAGAACAGCTTCCCTCTTCGCCGTTCAACAAACGTTGCTCCTGTAATCCTCGCATGATGCGTCAGTTCCGGAAACTCCTCGGCTGGAAACAGAAGAAACCTCGGAAGAATGTCGTTCCCGATACCAAAGACCGACGTTCAGTGTCCCTCGGGTCTATGAGAAAAGCTTCAACTATCAGTATGGCCATATCTTCGTTAGGGTTCTCGGTTCAGTTCAACCAGTCAGAGTCACAACTACCCGATTCGAGGTGTACAGAACCTCTCCATCAGACGGAATCCGATACCCAGGGTAATTCTAAAATGGCTAATTCGTCATCCGGAACCCCTAGCCACCATGGCACCGGTCATGCGAAGAAACGTTCAACGACCTCCTCCCCACCAGACGAAACCGCTGCTGGTGTACCTCCAAGATTACCTGAAACGAATGATGTGGACTTCAGAATCCAGCGATCCTTAACCATCGATGTTATGCCACGAGTGGACGAGGGTCATGAAGATGTGGAGTCAGTATTCATGCGAGACTACGATGATGAAATGGAGACCTTACAAGCGCAGCTACGGGAGGAAATGCCACTCAAGAGCTCAAAGTCTGTGATGATGGAAGATGTCTCTTTCGAAGAAGAAGAATCAAATCTTCAGGCTTCGACGGTTCCAGCTGAATCTTCCGTACCTATAGAAGCAAGGATATCAACTAACACGCAAGCTCCACCGACGGAATGGCAACCCACCGCCACTCTTCTATCACTCCCACCGGAACTTGTTCTCGAAATTTCCAAATACCTCCCTTTCTGCTCCCACACCGCCCTCTATGACACCTGTTCCCGGCTCAACCACGTAATCCGAGATAATAATTCAGCCTACTACGAGCGGGAACTCGCCAAAGCAGGTGCAAATCCACGGGCCGACTCACTTCTCACACGGTCAATATTCGCTTTCCAATACCTTAACCGACCTTCCCAGACTCCAGAATTTCACCCCGAATTCTCCATCAACTCTAGTTTCGGATATATTCGCTACTTGAAGGCTCAATCTCAGGTCGTCAAGGATATTGCAGATATCCTGCAGTCGGATGTCTACAAATCCTTTCTCCTTTCAGAGGAAGGTCGGAAACAGCTCCGATTAACCGCTCACGGAAACCATGAGCCAGAAGATTTGAGTCATCGGGATGATGTGGATCGAGACTTGATGCACTTATGGGAGTTTGTAAACTACTCTTTAGACAAGCTGGTCAGGAGTGAAGTACCGATGTACTACCCAAATGGAGAGCAAAAGGCATACTATGACGCCACGATGCCATTTCCTCTATTGTCCGCTGCAGATGACGCCAAAGCTGAACAATTGAAGAAAAGCATATCAAAACTCGCCAAGGACAGCCACTTTCCACACGACCAATTCCTAGTCTGGGAGAGGAAGCGCCTCAGGGACCTTCGGAACGAATACTGGAAGGAAGATACTGATAACCTAAGTAAAGTCGAAAGCAAGGATATGAGGTGGATACTCGAGGTTGTGAAGGCGATATTCGTCGGAGTGGTTTTCAAGCCATTCATCGAGGGTCCCCGCGAAAAGAGCAAGGCCATTATGGAGCTCAAGGCGAAGGCACTGAGAAAAGCTAGTAGGAATGCGACACCAGCTTCGCCTCGAGACAGTCAAGTTGCCGAAGGCGAGGAGAAGCAAAACGGCTGGCTATCAAACAATCAGGATTGGCCTGGAGCATCAAGTACGGATTCACTATCGCCGGGCGATACGATGAGCGAAGAATGGCAGGCCCCGCCGTACAGCCTCACTTATACCGAGCAGGAGGTTCGAGCATATGTAGCCTATCTAATGGCTACGGGAGGCATGAAGCTGCTCTTAACGGTGCTGAGGGCTGCAGTTACCCATGGTGGGGTTCTGACACCAGAGAGGCTGGAGGTCGTTCTTGCGCAGTGGGACACATCGCGAGGGAATGAAGAAGTCGAGAACAGCGAATTTATGAGGGAATTCGACGCAGATAAGGCCCGAGAACGGGAGCTGGAGAGGAGCCCAGACAGATCCGAATTCTCGTATTTGTGGAAGCCAACGAAGGTCGAAAGGATCTGGGAAAGAGATTGCAAGCGCGGCGGATGGAGTAATTGGGAAGGGTGGGTTGCAGAATACTATCTAATCGCTTAATCGGTAAACTGGGAAAAGGAAGAGGGAAATAGGTTCTCTGTTTTTATAGGGATGGGGGGTGTTTCTTCGTGCTCAGTTTATTGCGAGCTCTCCTATCAATCCGTTTTGGAATCTTTTTTTCTTTCACTTTTCTTTGTGCGCGTTTAAGCTTACTATGTAGCATATTAGCATCATTGGCTCGTTATGGATGTACTCACGGTATTCCCCTGCTTTTCTTGTATCCCCTTCATCCATGTGTTATATACCCCTTTCTTCTTCCTTTCGCCTCGCCTCTTTGATCCTTTTATACTTGCTGTCTCCTTTATCCTGTCTGGGTTTCGAGTTTTTGTTTTGGTTCTCTAGGTCTTCGGGGTGGTCGTCGTGGTGTGCTGTTTGGTTTCGCGGTAGGTTTCTGAGGGTTACAGTCATTATATTTTCTTGTATACTGCGGGTATACAGCTAGCACAGGCGGTATGCATTCCTTTTTTTTGGTAACTTATGTGCTGCAGGTCTCTCTTGTACTGTTTATAGCTGGGCTTTCCTTCTCTCTCTTTTTTTTATCTCTCCTATCCCGGGTTTATGTTTCTTTTCCAAAATCTTACATAGTCTACGCTATAGTATTGTATGATCGGTGTATAAAGTGTCTTCCAACTCCCGTTTTATTTTTCTTATTTTTTTCTTCTACTTCTTTTCTTTGTTAGACGGGTTTATACGGTACTATTATATAATTTCTTAAAGGGTGTTTCTTGATCGGTATATACACTATAATGGAGTAAATGGTGTTTCTATTGGAATCCTTTCTGTTTGTACGTTCATTCCGTGGCCAGTGCCATGTATGTGTGAGTTACGGTACTTAGTCCACAAGATAAATTTATGACTATCTACCTAGGAGTATACAGGTATAACGTAGCTATGCATGGATTTGAAAACCCCCCCGGTCCGGTCCCAGCATTGTTCTATTTAATTATAGAAATCCCAATTACGACCGCTCCATTGGCTGATAATATCATCACTACTCGGATCAATATCTTCAGATCCTTGACGGTGATTAGCCCGGCGTTCCTTATTAGCCTCTAAGTTTGCTGCACATGCCCTATTCACATCACCCAAGGAAACCAATATCCTTCGCTTTCCAAGTTTTTCTACGGCTTCTTTATAGACCTTTTGCACCATTTTCTCACCACTCCCATATCGTAAGTCATTTGCATCCAACCCCCACTCTTCAACCCTAAGATTTGTTGACTTCTCAGTCCCGCCTAGTCGGAGTTCTCGAGTTTTTTTGGAGGGCCGAATGATTTCTCTTCCCGTAGAGAATATTGGTGTGCCGCCCCCGTATTCAGAATACAGTGCGGTATTGCTCATCCTTGGCATCTGGTTCTTGATAACTTTGTTGTAAAATATCTTATCTATAAGGTCTGCGAGTGTCATCCCATCGGTATCTTCGGTAAGTATTTGTTCTGGTGTCGAGATGTCGAGGAGATATTGGAGATCTTCTAAGGATCCGAATTTTGCGGTAATGTGGAGTGGTAAATCTCCTTGGGAGTTTCGAGAGTTGAGATTGATTGATCCTGGGTAAGTTATAGCAATCATGGCGATGGATAAAGGAGGATAGCCTCGACATAATATCTTAAATTCTTCGAATGGTTTGGTTTGTTTGTTGGTAAATGCCCAGTGTTTGAAGTCTGCGGGTAGAAGATCAAGACAGGCTTTAATTGAATCGAGATCCCCACGAGCTCTAGAAAGACCTGCAGTGTCGAAGAGATTGTGGACTATATTAAGTTCTTCGCTGTTGTGTTTAGCGTGCAAGTCGGCTCCGAGGTTTAGAAGGGCTTCCATCGCGCATTTGTTCCGGATTGAAGCCGCGAGGAATAAAGGTGAAAGATGAACGGAATTCTCCGCTGAATTTATAGAATCCGGTCCTAAGCGTGTCATGATGAATTTCAAGACTCTTGTATACCATGCAACTTTTTCTCGGTCCGTCTTATTCGTTCCTAGGAGGAAATTCGAGACTACAACGTGTGGTAAAAGTGGGTGATTTACACCCAGCCATTGTGTGATAGTATCCTTATCTGCCCTTTGAAGCATTCCAAGGAAAACATCTCCCTCTTGGGCTGCAGTTTGTTGCCACAGCGGGATGTATAGTGGAGGATCCGGAGCCTGTTCTTCTTCCTCGTTATTCTCTGAATCTAATTGTTTTAGTCTCACTTTTTCTTCAAGATGCTGTTGGTACTCTCGGAGTGCTAGTTCTGGGCCGTCTGTGCCGAGCCACTCTAATACTTCCAATGAACCGTGGTATGCGGCGTATAGTGCTATTGGTTGGTCGTTCCGCCCGTCGCACATTACTCGTGGTGTATGTTCTTTAACCTCACGCTTCTGTTTAGGGTCTGCTCTTCTTTGGCCGTCGATGCTTAGGCCAAGATAAGCGGAATCTCTGACCGCAGTATCGGCTTCGGAGAATTCGAAATCCATACCGGAATGTTTTAGTTGGGATAACCCGTAGATTTTGAACGCTTCTTCTAGATCTTTGATATCGATACCTTGGTCGCGGATAAGGTCGAAGCCTTCAACGCTATTATAGTCATCCTCTGGGGTTGTGCGTAAGGCTCGGAATCCGAAGTTCCCGGAGGTCCGCTCTTTGGTAAGTTTCTGAGGTTCAGTTTCAAATTTGAAGCCTTGGGAGGTTGCGATATCGTGGATCAGGTCCACGAATTCTTTTGGGTGATTTCTGTGCTCTGCAATTGATAGTATAGTGTCCCCGATTTCGTTTTGAGTGCCGACCTTATGCGTTATATTTTCTCCTTCATTTGAAGCCGCACCTAGGAATTCCTTCTTCAATGCTTCTTCGTCTCCATTCCAGGCGGCTTCGAAGATCCGCCGATAGGTTTTCTTCATAGCTTCGTCATCGACACCGAGGTATTCCCATGAAGGGGATACTTCCAAGAGGATTTCCTCCCCTTCAGTCTCGTCTCTCCCTTCTTTCCCATCATCGCCAGGCTTCGCATTGGGTTTGATGCTGGTTGGTTCATGGAAATCTCTTTCAGAGGGAAGCTCGATTTCCCCCGTTCGTTCTTGATATGTTTTGCCACCCTTCGATATAACCCATGCAACTAGCTCTTCGAACTTTGCCTTTAATCCTTCTAGTCTCTCTTTCTCGGATTGATAGGAATCTTTATCGTATAGGTAGCCTTCTGATATCTTTTCAATACTTTCCTTTTGCCGTCTTTCGTTCTCCTTGTTAACTAGTCTAGAGGCTAGCCAATACTCATAGGTACCTTCGACGAAGCCTAGGGGCAGGGAAACAACCGGCTTTGGTAATTTCTTCAACATATTATCGAACTGAATGACCTTTTGCTGCAGTAAATCCAGGTATGTCATATCCCTATGTATTTTGATCAGTTATATGGCCCTACGGCTTTTCTGTTGGGCAGCTTGAGCTTGCGATTGACTTACTGGTTCTTGTAACCACCGCCATAAATAACCTGCTGTTTACAGCTGCCATGTGTATACCTAGAACAGTCGACCCCGAGCTCGACACATTTCCTGAAGACCTCTGGTAGGTCCATTCTAATTGCAATTTCTGATGGTTGTACAGACCAATTCTCGTCCTCTTCGGGGTCAATAGTCGGAGTATAACACAGTTTCCCCTTATATTTTCCGGTAGTAAGGTTAGGTGAGACTCCTTTTTCTAATAGGAAACAAGCCTTTGCTTTGTCACGGAGAAATATACTATATGGATATACATATTTAGCTAAATTTAGTAATCCGCGTGATTCCAATCACTAGGGGCAAAGAAAAGATATTAGAACTTACGCAGCCGTCAAAGCGTTATCCAGAAGTGGTGTACCGAAACAATCAGGTTTATGCTTCACCGAGGATTGTGCAGATATCACTGCAGATGCGCCGTCTTCTTCGAATATAATCTTCAAACAATCTAAATCGCATACCTGAACCATCCGTATGATTGCTGGGATACCTTGAATGTCAACCTGCGATGACGATGCACCTAATCTCAATAGAGTCCTCAGCATGTCCTCACGTCGGTTCTTTTGGCCGATATATTGGACTAAAGTTATTGGTAGTATGCCAGGATCTTGTCCTCCATAACTATTGTAGTAATCAGCACCCGGAGCAATCCTTATCGGGGAAACGCAAGTCGTAATGTTAGTGTTCTACACTCAAAGTACTTCATGGAATAGATGATAGGCGTACAGGCGGAGAATATCTGCTCCAAATTCAGACACAAGCATTGTCAGAACCTCTTTGTTGTCGTGTAAAATGGTATAGTGGAATGGTGCCATTCTGTAAGTCCTGTCCACCATGTTGATGTCGAGAACATCGTCTACGGCATCTGCGTCGTCAACTTCACCACTTTCTGAGTCTTCGGTCTTCTTCGTGACTTCAACAAATGAAGATGCGCCAGTGTGGACAGAAACTGATGTAGCACCATGTATTGTCGATACAACATCGAGGTCATCTTCGAATTCGACGCTGTAATCAACGTCCTCAAAGCTCTCGATACTATCACCGGATGATTCTCTTTGAATTAAGCGTCTAGTTGTCGCATACTCTCGTGCTCGTTCCCTATCATCCCTTTCCATTTTAAGCTCTTCGTTCTGATCACTCTTCAGGAGTAAAAGTTTCACTATTTCGGGGTCCCCTCTCGCGGCTGCAAGATGCAATGAGTTGCGCCCATCCGAGAGTCGTGCTGTCAGTCTAGCTCCTGATTTTATAAGAATATCGACTATTTCTGGTGAACTGGAAAGCACGGCTAGTTGCAGGGGCGTTCTTCCAGTATAGCTTCGTCTGTTGACATTTTTTTTCAGGCTGTCTTCTGGCCAGGATTGTACCAGGTTTCTGACGGCCTCAGCGTCTAACTCAGCGATTGCTCGATGGAGCACTTCATCTTCCGCCCTAATATATGCCGTATCGGCCCAGGTTTCTTCAGTTTCTAATGTAGGCCGCAAAGGGGGCTCGGGAAAGTAGATATTCCCTCGGACATAGTGCTGGTCATCTTCTGCTTGAAGGCTTAATTCTTCTGCTGTCTGCGGAATAGGACAGTTTTCGCAGCAGTCTCCTTTGACATACTCGAAGCCCCCCACGAATGCTGGGTGACGGTGAAGATAAGCCACTCGATCCTTCTGAGCCTCTCCTTTCCACTCGTTGAGTTCGAGATCTCGATCGTAGATACCATTTTCGGTGTCGACTGAGACCCACTTTCTGAGTCGATCTTGTTGAGGGTCATGATCTTTACCATATTTGATTGATACTTCCCATCCGTTTATTTCCCCCTTTTCAGCTTTGGATTTCCTACGATTAGGACCTCGAGGGGTTCGTTCGAAGACAAGTAGTTTTGCGAGCCCTTGAAGCTGGTTCGTTGAGAATTTATATATCGAGGGGTCAATAGAATTTCGATGTAAGTTTCCATAGAAAACTTCAAACCCGCGAAATGAGTATCTATAAAGTGACGACTCGTATTCTCCCAGTAAATCGAGTTGAGAAGTATTTACCATATTAGATTTCAACATCCAAGATGTGACTCCTCGCGGAGTGGTGTAAATCTGCTCCCCATCGTATGCGACACAAGCACATTCTACCCCGAATTCCGGAGAGTGGAGTAATTGACTAATGCTGGAGTATAGACGCAACTGAACCCGAATAGGACGGTTAGGGGCTTTTGAGACTATTATAAGGGTATCTCTGGTCCTGACACATGTCATATCCCAGAGAATGTTATCTCGAACTGTCGATTCAATGTGCTCCAGTTTCTTCAAACCAGCAGCTTCGTCAAGGCCATACAGAAATAGGTCGATGTATGGCTCTTCATTTCTTTCAATTTGCTCACGTGATATTTTCTTGTAATATTGTCGTAGAGATTTATGTGATTTTTGGTGTTCTTCTGGGATGGTTAGAAGGGCTGTCATGACACTCGATCCTGCTGCGACAACGTTGTTCCAATCCAGATTCACAAGAGCACCTAATTAACTTAGTGCTTAGCCTCTCTACACTAGTTCCCGTATCAGATCTCAGGAGACTTACTTTCGCCGTAAATACGAAAATTCTTTTTAAACTGTTCAAGTCCGACAATTGCCTTTTCTCCACTAATTTTTCGTTCTTCATCTTCAAGTGGTAAAATATACTTCTTTTTCTCATCTTCAGACTCGGATTTCAGACTTCGAGCTCTGATTTCAATGTGTTCTTCGTGCCCCGCGTACACGGGTACGAGGCCGAGATACTTGCTTTCCAGCACCGGATTTGCCGGGTCTTGACCGAAGAGTTCACGGATGCGGTTTTCATGGTTGAGATATGGTTGAAGTAACTCTCTGACGGGCTTATCCTTGTTTTCGGCGAGGTACTTCGGGAATGAAGGTATACTTGCGGGGAGGGGCAGTAGTTCGGGAGTCGCCATTATTTTCTAGAATTTGGACTTCTGCAGCTGAATTAATCGCAATCTTGGCTTGGTCGTCTTTTCTGTTGACTATCGACTAATATACGTGTGATGATGATAAACGCCATATATGTAGAAAACTGTAACAATTCTAAATTCCTAGGATGATCTCTTAAACATGTTCATCTTGATATCTCTGACTCAACAATCTGCGTATATGCATATATGTGGGTGTCGCGTGAACTCGACCGACTCAAAGCGGACGCCAATAACTCCGGGCAGGATCTCGGCAGGGATTGAGCTTCGGCCTAGTTCATTTCGAGGAATAACAACACCCTGACGCCAGTCGCCCATTAAGCTGACCTAACATGCATGTATAAATCTATATCCACTTTGCGGTGTGATATTTATTCTATATTCGAATTCATGAATTCACTTCATGATAATGCATTCATGGCGTCGAACTACCGAAATGTTAGAAAATCATTGGCAATAATACATGTATACAGTTTCAAGTCCACTTTGACTTTTGTTGGAAAACCAAAAACGCAAATTCGGCAGATGACGTTTTATGCAAGTCCAATTCGCTATCGACGAAACCCCGTATATCAATCCATCAGTTAGACATTGCGGATATTTTTTTCCAGCGATTCCTGCTTTAACTTACCGATATGAGTTCATGACAAAACACGCAAATGTCGCTCTGACCCGGTTGGCCGGTATATTTTGAACCTAGCCTCGAGGCATTTCTAAGATCTTATACACCTAAAAAAAAGAGAGACGGGTCGACGGCTAGACCATGAAACCTTTAGGAAACGCGGAAACTTCGTAAAAAGTGGAGGGCCGATGCAAAGTCAAACCGTGCCATGTCTGGGCGTACCTGTAAAAAAATTAACGGATATAACTCCTATCGGATATATACAATATACGTTTGTTCTAGAAATGATAAGCTTTTTTTCGTTTTTAATATACTCAAGACTTTTATAATTGGTGATATTGAGCTAAGGTGCCCGAGTAAGCACTGATGTCATCACTAGCTATTCTAACTGGATCATTGTGCTTCAAAAAAAGGCGAGATTGATTGCGGAGAATAATATACTCTGTCAAGTAAGCTCATCGGCCTCGGCATTCAGGAACCATCGTCGGTCATGATACCGAATGGTCCGAGCCCAAGAACTCCTTCAGGGTCCTCCCCTCACCAGAAAGTGCTGTCTGATAGACGCTTCAACTCGTCCAATGCAATGGGGGAACGAGGGTCAGCGAAGCTTAAAACACAGACGGCGTGAACCTGGTGGGTCGTACAGGAATTCGGCCAATGATATCGCTTGAGGAAGCCCCAGACGGCCTTGTCAGGACTAGTGCGGCGTTTGAACTTGAAAAACCAGGTCAAGGGGTCGGCACACAACGAACCATCTTCAAACAGCAGTTAACAGGCTATAGATAGACGGATGAGGCTTGTTGAAAAATGATTGCCTTTCGGAGTCTGCGAGATCGTATTGGCGAGCGTCATGAGGGGACATCCAAGTTGAAATGGGTGACGATAATTATGCAAAGTCTAAAATAGTTTTCCAAAGAGGGCGCTTTGCTATCCCCAAAGCGTCCAAGCTGGTGAATGCATAGTTCGAACGTGAACGACGTGGTTCTGCCAGATTGCTTGCTTGCCTCAACTTTTCGGCTGAACAGCCGGGCTATCGACCACGATTGCAATTGTCGCGCGCTGAAGGTTTCATCTTTGACCAGCGCCTTGGAGGAGGGGCACCATGCCGCTTTGGGGCTGTACCTTGCAGCAGAGTCATCGAAGAAACATTTTGCCATAGCGTTATGGCCTTTTGTTTCCCATCTTTCGTTCTCTCTCTCTCTCGATTCAACCCTCTTTTGTTCCTTTTCCTAATACTCTGACGAATTGCTGGTCGCAGTGCCGATTGATACGTGCATTGTTTGAGGAGTCGGTCTTTTCTTTTCGCTGGCGACATTCCTTGCTTTTGTTCCTTTCCCTGCCATCTGGATGGTTATCTGTTGAACAGATATTACTCTCACTCATCACTACATCTCCTTCGAAGCTTTTGATTTTGTGGGTTCAACGACTGGAAGTTCTTCAACTGGCTTGCAATTGACGTCCGTTTGAAGCGTCGACGACAACAGAGGTTAGAATTGTGTTGCAGGCTTGACGACTGACCACATTTTCAACGCAAAAGACCGCTGATCTCTGGCACCTGGTTACCGCGATTGCACCAGACGATAATTTGATCTCAATTGATCCCATCGAGAATAAAATACGACTCCAAACTCCCGGTCATCTCATTTTCTGGACTCGAAGGGAGGTATATCAAAGCACCTACGACTTCAAGGCTGCCGTTCTGTTCTAAGGTTTCTGGGTAAATCTACAACATATTCGAATTCGAGATTCGGATCCCTTACCACCAGCGAGTTCTCGCTGCTCCGACATATATATACGGATCCTGTTGGCTACAGGGAATATTTCATACAGCCATCGATTCCCGTTATCTTCAGGTCACAGAAGTACACCATTTACCTTTAACAATAATATACTTCAAGATGCGAATACCCAGTTTCTCGATATCATTATTATCCATCTCCCTCCTCCCTACAGCACTCGCCGATTATGTTAGCTACGATATCGAACCGGGGAAGTTGCTCCGTGACCTACCAGGCGGGCTGGCACCTTCCAAACCCGATGTTTCGAAGCGCAATTTTCTTACAATACCTGAGAATAAACCATTACCTAGATGGATACCCCGGAGTATGAATAACAAACTACAAGTGCGACAAGTCTCGGCATTTGGCTCTGGCGCCGAGGGTTTAATATGTACAAGGGACGGACCCTCGTGTGGTCCTAATGCATTTTGCAACAGAGGATTAGGATGTTGCCAGAGAGGGCAAACGGGATGTGCTGGAAATTCTTGTTGCTCGGCAGGGCAGACATGTTGTACCGCCGGGGGTGGATGCTGCCCAAACGGTTATAATTGCGTGCAGATTCGGGGAAACTCGGGTTGCTGTCTGGAAGGGACGGATTGTGAAGATACGGGAGATTTGGTAAATACAGTGGAAGGGATTGCAAATCCGAATGATGGTGCTCCTTGTATCAATGATGGATTTGGTGTTTGTCCCAGTAGGACGTTTTGTTGTCCTTCTGGAAGGAAATGCTTAAGGGACGCAGACGGGAAAGCAGCTTGTGAAAGAGTGTGTGAGGAGTAAGTAGCACTTATAATATCCGGATACAATTCCCTGGCATTTGAATCATCAACTAATATAGTCGATATAGCGCAAATTTCTTCGTCTGCCCAAGTAACGACTTTTGCTGCCCCACAGGGTCTAGCTGCTTCGTCGACGGGAACGGACGCAGCCGATGCAAAGTGACTATCGTCACAACCATAACCGCTAGCTCTGACCCACCAGCAACAACAACATCCGTCATGAACTCATCATCAACTGATATGGAATTTACAACAACTTCGTCCAGCAATGTATCAGAAACTACTAGCGCTGAAGAGTCTCCCACTGAAACGACATCCACAACTGACCCAACAAATTCTACTATTGAAACCACAGCATCCGAGACCACATCACCAGATCCAACAGAGACACCAGCAGAGACCAGTAGTTCCACCACAGAAACAGCAGAGGCAGTGTCCTCGACACCTGCTGGTGGGGATGGTCGACAGAATAATAATAACGGACCATTACCTCCGCCAAACGGAGGCTTAGATAATATTTTCACAAATGAAGGCGAAAGAGCATACAAAGTTTCGCTGCCAGTTTTAATAGGGGTGGGGCTTGGCTTTTTTGGCTTCGTTATTGGGATGCTATAATTTCCAAGCTCCGAAGGGGTATTGAATAGAATCTTTATCAAGGTAATGTGGTGTATGGATGCATGGCGAATGCGAAGATGGCATATTGTACAAACGGCGGGTCATCATACCTTTTTTTCTCCTTTCATATTCATTTTTTTTGTTTTGTTTTGTTTTTCCTTTGATTAATGTTTACTGGCTATACCCTATTGGTTCTTTTGTATAATTTTTAGTTTTATTGCAGAGGCGTTCTTGATCCGCTTCTCTTGGTGTGGCTGGAGCAGTTAATGTTGTCGTCGTATATAGCTGTTCGAGGGCTAGTTTTACCTTTCTCTGTCACAATTTAACGATTCCGATGCAATACATATATACATGGATCTGGAAATATGTCGATACCCCAGTTCATGGCGAAAATACATATATGAATACAACAGGCCTCCTTTATTTGCTACCGAGCACGGATACCAATATTCATAAAGAAACTCCGCAAGTCATCAATGCCTCGCTTTTCAAAATCAATCAAGTTTTTAGTTTACCTACTTACTTAATACTCGAATGAACTGATTCCCTACATACCCCCGGCCGAATTACACCCTATTATTTGTCTTAAATTCTCTCTTCCCTTTCAATTTCCCCGTATTCTCTGAGATCCTCAAGACTGCCGACAGGGGGGGATCGAGCCCCCCGCCCATAGATGCCTGCATGGTGGCTGTAAGTCGTATCACTCGACTTCGGCTTGATTTCATCAGGGGATGCTTGTACAGTAATATTTTTCGCCAACTCTTCAACAATATCAAAAACATTTTCTATGGTATTGGCTCCCAACCCTTTAGGTATTTCGGACACGTAGACATGGCCATGTCCCTTCCGCGTTCGAATGTTAGGTTTATGCAAGTGTAATATGTTTTCGCAAACGAAACATGGCCGTTTTGAAATGCCAATGTACCCATAGGTCGACCGAGGTTTTTGCTGCACCATATGCTCGAGGAGTAATAGCTCCGCATGTTGGGGTGCGAGGACCGCATGGCCTTCGTTTTGATGATCAAGCACCTGCTGGAGACGGGATTTCGAAGTTATAATTTTCTCCAAATTATGAATGAAACTGGTTATCTGGCTTTGTATTTCCAATGGGTTACTCTTTGGACTCTTCACGCTAAAAAACCGACGCAGTGTTTCTTCAAGTCGCTCGGTTTTCAACAGAGACTGAGGTCTTCCAGCTGTGATAACTTGCAATTCAAACCCACGTCCTCTGATCTGGGTCGCAATATTTCTGTCCTGAAGCACCGCGCGAACGATCAGTTGGTAGTCCGTCAAGGGATAAACCAACCTAAAAATCGTATTTTGAGGTGTTTCTGGGACTTCCTTAGCAACTTTCGTGATCACCAAGTCGAAATCATCTCCATCTTCTTCCTCATTCTCCTCATAAGCATCCTCGTTCAATGACGACTCGCTCTGCTTTCCGGGAATCGGTAAGGCTTTTGTTGAAGTTTTCAAGGCGATACCACCATCCCCATCTTCCGTCGTTTTCTGGGCATCTCCACCTTTGGGGGTTTCCATAGATTCTTCCTGACCACCAGAATTAACCTCAGAGGTAGCAACTAATGCTTGTGGATCAATGATACCTTCCAACCCTTCACGTTTTCGACCACCCGTCTTAATCCAGGTTACAGGCTTTCCAAACATGCGTCTTAAAGTACCTCCTGTTAAATCAATATTCGGCCTATTTCTAGACTGGCTGTCTGCTGCTTTCTTCCTCTTGAACGTTCCCCGAATTGTACCAACTATTTTTCGGAATGTTCCCTGTTTCTGCTCCCCAGCGACAGCTTGGCTCTCCTGTTCAATTTCCAAATTGTGCTCCTCAGGATCTATTGATGGAGTTTGCGCGGGTCCGGCGGCTTGTTCTTGGGACGCATCAGGAAAGATTTTGAGCAATTCAGTATCATCCCGCCTTGCACGCTTTTCACCCTCTCCATCAACGATCTTTTGAAGTATCGCAGCCCACCTTCTGAATATGCACGAGCCGTCGACTACTTTCACAACCAGCTGGAAAAACGCATCTAGTATTTCCGCACATTTGTTAAGACGGTTATAAGAATTGGTACCTTCATCTTGCGACCCTTTGGCGTTCTTCGCTGCGGTACAAGTTTCTATTACTTGGCCTACGGCTCTAAATAGCCATAGAAATAGTTCATGCCATATAATAAACTCATCTCTTGAAAGAACGCTTGTCGGCATCCTCGGATGAGTAGTTATATATTCTTTAAGTTGCCTTCTTCGGTCGTCCATATTACGACTGCGTTCAAAGTCAAGAAAGGCCCGAGGCAACTTTTCCGCAAGTGATTCGTCTTGGAAATCGCCTCTACTAGGCATAGGGATATAGTAATCCTTTTCCCATTGCTCTACAGCCTTATGTCCGTATTCCCTGAGGTCAACCCTTCGTATCTTTCTCAGATGGCCATTCAAAATTCGGTATCTAGACTGGATTTTGTTTATCGAATACAACATCTGCTGAATCGAAAAGTCTTTATCGATGTCTTGTCGGACCTGTTGGTCTGTCGTCGAATGATAACTACTTAAATATCCGAAAATTTTCTCGCCGTGGAACTTTATTTCTTCTGTAGATCGGGTCCTATAAGCGGACACGGCCTATATTAGCTCTCAAACTACATTAACCAGATTACATTTGCATATGTATCAACTAATATATTGCAGCGGCAGTTTTGGAGAAGCAGATATAATATTGAATGAAGAATCTAGATGGTGGTAATAGCATCTGGCCTTGGTCTCTACAAATAAAACTTACTTTTCAGCTCTCAAATTTACGGTAGCTTCAAGCGTCCAAGGTTGGGTTCTCCCTGACTTTTGGGTTGCTTCCTGAAGTAGACTGTCTCCTTCCTCTGACCCGGAGGTTGCGTAACTGGCCAGCAGTGTGATCTTATCATTCGTAAGGCCACCAAGGGTCACTGCTACACAGTCGCCACCTCCATGGGCCACGAGCAAGGAGGCTAGCCTGTCCAGGAGCCTGTCCAACTGGTATGTCCTACCCATATCTTCTTTTTCATCTCTGATCAGTTTAAGTTGCTTCTTCCGTTCATAATCAGAGTGCCTAGTCGATAAGTTCGTAAGTAGTGAGCACGATGTTAGGTATCGCTGTTCTCTGACATTAAAATCAATTGCTTTGGTTGAACTTGACTCCATCGTTCGATCGACATTCATTAACCTGTACGTATTTTAAATTTTACAGCTCTGGACTCCGTAATCGAACGAAATATGGTGTGTCGGCGGATCTAGAGAAGTGGTAAATATTAAGCTGTGTGCTAGCTGTAGTATGTCAAAGCGAATAGATTCTATGCAAGGAGGAATAGGAGATTTTATGCGCATGCGCTAATAGATATAATTCAGGAATAGAAAGGTCTAGACGTCTAGGTTAAACCACGTGGAAAGATTATCGTTGGATTGTAGCATGTAGACCTCACTCGGTGGACTTGGCGCAGTTAATTAACCAACTAGAATATACTATCAATGCGCTAGTCTAGAACCCTCTTTAAACCTAGCGATATAGCTAATTAGTGACATCTAGAGACATTTAGAATGGTCACGGTGGGTTTCAACCAATCCAAACTCACCCTCATTGGCCACATATGTCTGTACCCGATATTCCTATGCGCTTTTTGCCTATGATTATATCCTCAAAATAAATAGAGTTTACCCAATATTCAGTCTCAGTATGACACAATTTCTAGAACATATTCTATAGGCTACCTCAATGACACCTGTAAGGTATAAATATAAGTATATATCTAGAGCCATAAAACCGGGTGTGAGCTTTCTGCAATTGCAGAAGCGCCCAGTTTTATTATCCGGCAATCTTCAGTCGCAGCTATTTGATGGAATATTTTTTTTGCAAGTATTCATTTTTCAGAGATCTCTCGTCAATCAACGAATCCGCGAGTCGACGCGATCCCTCCCTTTGTACCGACGAATATTCGAATTTGGGTAGAAGCATATTTTCAAGATCGGCCCGCTAACTTCTATAATTAAATTATAATGATCCAAAGCGGAGTCATCGTTGCGGAAAGTTGATAATACAGCGCAGCTGATATCAATATTGCAATTACGACTTAGATCCACGCCGGCTTACCATTCATTACCTAGTAACGACGGATATTTAAGTGCAAGGGCCGGGTCTGGTTTACGAGACAATGCAAGGGTCCGAATTCGCATATTTAAACGGCTGGTGAGTTTGACGTAATATAACTTAGACGGCTTTATAAGTTAAGTATATACCTTATAAAATCTGATCAGACCAAATTATAATTAGAAGTTATATCAATAAATAGGTTATAACCCGCGCACCCAGCTATATATCAATACGCTAACGTTCCTTACGCGGAAGCTCAAATGCTGATAGTAACCACGTTATGTAAATCTTTTGTGATTACCTATTATAACGCAAATCATCTGGCATAAGTCTCCAAATTTATAAAGAAAAGGTAGTCACAGAGCCAAAGTTGCTGTACGGAAACACCATGCATGCAGAGCCCACGTTCTCCTTGTTAGAATCGAATTTCAGAAATACATCTCGATAGCTCTCTATTTCATGTATATACTAGGCCGGATCTATACCGTGGTATCACCGGGGTCCGCTTATGCATCTGACCATTAGTCAATATTAGCTAAATAAAGTGCCTAGTTAGTTGGGTAGTTAGTCATGATGGTACGTACTAGTGTACATACACATGCGCATGCCGGTTAAAGCAAAGGGAGTGGGTTCGAAGGACGAATAGACTGCACGCCTTATCGATGTTTTACCTCAGAATCCGAGGCACCGTCCCAACAGCTCACTTAACCAACAAGTGAAGCAAATGTGACTCCCAACGTCATACATTCACATCTCTACCACCGTTTGCACCAGACTGCGGGGTCCTCAACGTGCAACTCAGAGGTGTCGTTGGTTGGTTGACCGAAAGGGACTAGCCCGGGGCGAGAGTGGGGCGACATTACCGGCCAATTGGGTGCATGATGCATGCCGACGGAAGTGTTCGATTGGATCCTGGCATCGCATCTCGTGGTCCCTTGCCAGCACATCTCATTTTTTTTTCTTCCTTCCCCCCAATGAGCTGGCTGACGAGGCCATTCTGTATGGACAGACGAGTGAATGGGGGATGGGATGGGATGGAATACCCCTCTCCCTGCATAAGATTGACTTGACGTGAATCGAATCCATACCAAGCAAGTATGTAAGTATGCATACCAGGGCTGCTAACCTCCTTGCTCGTGTGGAAGTAGCTAGCTAGTAGTGCAGTCGACAGTCGTGAGCAGATATAAAATAGAAAGAACCCCTTCGTAGTTCCCCACTGTTATTCTCATCGTCAGTTATTGTCAGTTATTAACAGACACGACTATGGCTTGATCATTGCCTCACCTGTCAACAAACGGTCCTGTTAATATATCCAAATCAATATAATATTAACTCTAAAAGAATCCGAGTCCGCGGCGCCCCTGGCCATTAAGCTCTTTTCGGTGGTGTGTCTTTCGCTAACGAGCGGAAATCGTGCAGCGGTCAAATTAACAGGACGGGTTGGCCCCGGTTTGGGTGGACTGGCTCCCGCTTTCCTTCCACTTCCCACTTCCCCTTCCCGAGCCAGAATCAATTTCCCATTTCCCTTTTCTCTCCTTCCAACTTAACTACCATCAACCTCCCCCCCATATCAACCACAACCATCATCACCATCTTCACCATCTTCACAACTATTGAACTAACTAACTGCATCATCATCCTCACCTTCGTCCGACTCGCTTCTTTTTTTCTGCGTTTGCAATCGATTCAATTCGCAGGCTTCCTTACCACATACATACACATACCTGCAGCCTACAGATCAGCCGACTCTCCAGTCCCTTAGCCTCCCGAAAGCCGACTATATCCCTCAGTTATTCACCCGGTCTCTTTTCGCGTAACATTCCACCATGGCGTCACAAGAGAGCACAGCACCTGCTGTCGACGAGCAAGAACAGATCCAGGAGCAGTCGGTATGTCTACAATCTTGAAAAAAAATTAAAATTTTTACATTCCACTCTGTGCTTTCTCCCACTGCAGCTAGCCATCCATTGGCCGGTGGCTGTCTAAACCTGTTTCATCCCGACTAACGCGGGCTGTCTACAGGAACAACCACAAGAAGCTACAGAGGTAATTGCTTAACTTTGCTTCCCATGCATACATAATGCATTCCATCTCCCGGTTTTCTCCATGCCTCATGCTGCCTTCATCACACAAATATATATATTAAAAGTATTCTTACTTACTCTGTCTTCATTATCATCACAATTGCACAGATCGCTCCTCCATCACCTCCTCCTTCAGACTCTGAAGCCAGAACCCCAGAAGAACCTTCATCTTCATCTAACAACGGCCCTCACCGTCCACGCCACCTCAATACTACCTCTAAGCCTCCATCTTTCGCCTCTTCTACTGCTTCCTCCTCACGTCGTGCTGCCGAGGCCTCAAGCCACAATAACTCAATGATCTCTCCTGCTGCCACAACTACTTCTACCTCCTCCATCCGCAGTCACTCGGGTGGAGACCGCGGTGGACCAGGTTCGGTCACCAGCGGATCTAGCAACAGAGGAGGTAGAAGGGGGACAACCGTACCAGATGATGTCGGCCCCTACGCAAACAGCACCTTCGCTAGTCGACAAAGAAGTATTGGCACCGACTCCGACCAAAAAGGCAGCAATGGCCGACCAGTCTGGAGATAGAATCTCTTCTTCAAGAGGTGGATTTTGTTTTTGTTTGTGATTTGGTATACTCGTTCCCGACAGAGAAAGAAATCGTAATATAAAAAACCGTTGTCTTTTGTCTTGTTTCTCTTTTTTGTCCGCTCTCAAGGAATCACACCACAGGTATAAGGCTGGTACTCGGTCGGATTTTTTTTTTAAGGACTGGTTACGGCTGGATTCGCTGGGGGTGTTTATAACTTTATTTCGACCTTTTCTTTCTCTCTCACTTTTACACCACGCGCGCAGTCTCGTTTACCATTCCTACTCACTCTTAACGCCCACAACATTTGCATTGACCACAAAAAACGTCGCTTCAGTGTCTTTTTTTTATTACCGTTGGGAATATCAGAATGCTGCGCTTCAGGTACTTTTGGTTCTTCGTCTGTTTATATATATACATCGGTGTTGGGACGGAGTTTTTCCTTTCTTTTCCATTCTCTTCTTACCCGCTTGCGCAGATATTTTGCCCCTACCGTTCTTGTCGTTTAAACTAGTTGTTTTCTTCTTCTCTATCAGCAGAACAAAAAGATGGTGTCTTTCTTCTTGGGAGTGTTTGCTACTTTTTTCTTCCTTTCCAAAGTTTGTCTTCGTTCTTGATTGCTATCGTTAATTTTGTATACACTGGTCTTGCATTGCGTTCTGTTTTTTTTCTCTTGTTCTTGTTCTTGAATTATAATACGGGTCCCTCGGATATGATGGGGAGTTAACTTTCAACTCTCACTCACTGAATCAACGAACGGTCTGGGAGGAAATACGAATTAATTGCATATTATATTAGAGGAATTATTTTTCTTTCGTGCCTGATAGTATAGACTTAGTACCCATTAGTATCCAAGATTTTAGACAAGTATATAGGTATTTTGATTAATATTAATGGTAACTCAGTTAATTATCACTTTTATCCTTTTTTTTATATATATTTTCCAAGCGTAGGGCTTAAGTTCAGCCTCGTTTTAATAGATCGACGAGAATCTAGATTTGGAGACAATCGAACAGCTGGCATCAGTACTAGTCCTGATGTTTGTATGATGTATGATGGTAAGACAATTTAAACCTGCAGCCTTGGACGTTGATGTTGGCTATGACGCTTGCGTGTTACACAGACTCGGGAGCTAGGGGTAGCTCAACAGTTACTTGAATACTTATAGTATAGCGAGTATATATACCAAGAGCCTCTTAGTAGAATAGTGGGTGTGGGATGTCGCACGGACATGTGCACGCTGACGCTAGAGCTAATATATCGGAGGGCGGCAAGTACCTAGATATAGTCTGGCCTAGATACCTATTATATTGGCCTCGATTTGTCATAGCTCCGAGCATACTATGCAACATCGATCGCGAGTTTGGAGTATCATAGAACCATTCTTTTCTTCTTCTTTAATACTGTCAAAAAAGCTTAAGAGGGATAATATTTACTTATATTCGGATTCTATTATAAAATTCTATTAGGGAGAAGTAGGAAGGATCGATATTGAATACCTATCAATACGGTACCGGTACCAGTACTGGTATACATCGTGGACGAATTTACAACAATAACAACGCGACAGAAGTAGCGGGGTCAGGGGGGGCCTTTGACTTTAGGAGAACCTGTTAGGCCGGTATATATAAAAGCCTTCTTATAACTTCAACCTCTCATGATTCCCTGGATCATTTTGGGTTAACGGTCGTTATTGACCACTCGATGCTCTATAGATCCAGTCCGATTAGATCATAGAAGTACCAATCGAACTGGTATCAATTGATCGATAGAGAGTTTATCATAGCAGCCCCACAAGATCTAAACCAGCATGCTCGAATATACATCGATATACGTCCTGTCTGCGTCCTTCCTAGTCGGACTACCATTCGCAGTTCTACTATACGCATACATCAATAGTAGACGGTCTCCAAAACCAAATCGTGATGGCACTCTACGTATCCTCAAGGAAAAGTCTCCCAATCTCCCACCGGCATATCCACTAAAAGCGTATACCTTGGCCCAAATAACATCTATAGGCCCTTTCCCCTGTTATGCAACCTTAACCGGCGTCCCTCTTCCAGAGCCCTATCATGCTTTCGATATAAAAACTGCTAAGCCCCGTCCATACCGTCCCTTCCGCTGGGCGTACCACCAAACTATGTCATTGACAAGATTAGAACCAAACTGGTGGCTAGAACTCGAAGACACCTACTCCACCCGCCTCCTCCAACGATCCCAAATCCTTCAAAAATACAAAACCAAGATCATCGATAGACATCTAAACATCAGCAATCCCTGGCGTGTAGAAGTAGCATGTCAAGAACTTATGGAAATGGTGATTCAATTCCTATGTTCGCGATATCCACAATATTTCCATTTCGATACTTCGAAGTTTGTGTTTTTGAATAGGATATTGGGTAGGGAGTTTGAGGTTTATAAGATGGACCCGCTGGATTTTGTGTTTCAGAATGTACCGGAGGATTTTGCGATTGTGATGCCGGATGATGGGAGGGGTGGGAAGTATGTATTTGTGGCGGGGATGATTTGTAGTAGCGTTGGGTGGGATTTGGGGGAGAAGATTGGAAAGGCTTTGGGGGAGATTCATGGGGTTGTGCCGGAGTATAAGGAGAAGATGGAAAGGAGTATGGATCGGTGGGTTACTCAAAAGTCCACCACTTACTGTTATAGGTTATAAAGAGAAGTTGGTTTTTAGGCTAACGTTCAATTAATCGCGCGGACAGATACTTTTCGAAGTTGACAACGGATAAACCGATTCAGAGAGGTTCATGGGATATTGTCGTTGGAGAGCCGTTATTCGTCTGCGGAGGTGAAAAATTTAACAAGCGACGCAGTGGACAAGATCACAACATCAAAGAGGAAGATTTGACATTGAGAGTGGACTGGCAGACGTTAAGACGGCTACCACTTTCTGGGGGTATAGTTTTTAACTATAAAGCGCTTTTTACGCCGGTAAAGGAGTTTGAAGATGAACCTGGGGTGCCAGCTTTGGTAGAGAAGGTATTGAGGGAAGGGAACAAGAAGATTTTGGAGTACAAGGGGACTTGGCATGTAGAACATGTGGTTTTGCCGATGTTGGAGAGGATGAAGAGGAGACAGGTGGAAATGGGGGTTTGGGAAGAGGGGAAGGAGGTGAGGACTTTGGAAGAGAGTCCGTTTTATAGAGGGTGGGAGGAGAAGTGGAGGAATCAGCAGGAGTTTTAAACCACCATCACCATCACCAGCATTCGTTACTTTTCTCCTTATTATTTGTTATTGCTTGTAGTGTATACTCAAATTGAATGGTAAATTTGATTAAACGGGAGGTATGTACATCTATAAGGAACCAGATTAATCCTTTGCTTTTACTAATCGAACCATGCTCCTCCTCCGCCATCATCATCACCGTAGTCGACATCTCCATCTCCGTCGTCGAAGTACTGCTCGGCATTGTAATCTCCATCTTCGTCGTCCTGGTAATCATCTTCTTCCTCTCCTTCATCCTCTTTATCATCATCATCCTCATCTTCATCTCCCAACCCATCATCCTCTTCATCTTTATGACTCATCAACTTCGCCAGCACAGACTTCTTTTCTCTCTCCTTTTCTTCATCTTCTTCATCAGACCCATCAGACCCATCATCATGATGCCCTCCATTAGGTAACTCGGTATTCAAACTCGATATTAACAATCTTTTCTTCTGATCTTTTTTCCCAGTAATAACCACGCTCCTATCCCCAGTCGCCGCATAACTTGAATCCATCGTTTCCCATAACTCTACGGGGAAAAACTCAAACACATAAGGTCGTGAATCTAACTTCGGAACTTTTCTTTTCTGCCGATGGTATTTTTTGGCAGAGTAGGTAACCACATCTTCGAATGGATCTTCTAGACCCTTACGTTTGCCAAGAACGGTGTAGAGTGGTCCGCTGTGCACTTTTTCTCGGTGGTCGCGGAAACGGGCGATGTGTATTCGTTCGGTGGAGGTTAGGGGATCTTGAAAGGGGATTGTGTAGTCCTGAACGATAGAAGAATTGGATTAGTGGTGATAATTCGATAGAAGCCTTTGTTTTCTGAAGTCAGGATCTGATGGAGGGCAATGCGTACTGGGAATTGTTCTGTAGGACCGAAGTCTGGTTTGACGTCGAATTCTCGAGGCATCATGGGACCGCCATTGGATCCACCGCCTCGGCCGCCGCGAAAGCCACCTCTGCCCCCTCGGAAGGCCATCGCGATCGGTTAGGACGTGGGAGTATGTTTGGTAAAAGAGACGAAGTTGTGAAAATATGATAGTTGAGAGAGGTCGAGAAGGTGTAAAAGTCGATGTGAAGGAAGGAATGCCGCTGTGCCAAGACATTTAATTCTGGTCGGCCGAATTTAGTAAGGCCCACTTCAACTTAACAGGCCGAGTCCCAACCAAGGACGCAGATGTGTCATGCAGCCCATGGCCAGTTTGAATAGTCATAAAACCGATAAAATACATTCCCGTTAATGGGACTTGATCATGAGACTCCGTGCTGCAGCTGGTGTGCGCGTATATTCGGGCAGCCTTAGACTGGCGCGTGTTATATTCTCAGCCCTTTTTCTTTTCGGATTTTTGAGACGAGATCGCGAGACTCCGTTCAAAACCCATACCCCAGATCTCCCACTAGATGATATTAAGATACCTTCAATTAAACTACTTCTCCGTTGTCGACAATCCAGCGGTTCATATAAATAGAAATGTCTATAAACGAAGTCTATTTTATTTTCCCTACGGAAATTTGCTATTCCATCATATCGCATCTAGACTCTGAAGATGCAGCGGCATTCGCGAAATGTTCACGATTTTGTTACTCTGTAGCCTTCCCAAGCAGGTTCAGTGGCATTAAATTACACGATGATAACCACAAGCGTCTTCTCAAAATGTTTACGAACGGTGGTTGGTTGGTCCCCTTGAAAGATCATATACGGTATGGTAATCCCTGGCTGGATCTACTCTAATGTCTGAGGACGAGTCTAACATGTTAACATATACCCTTCTCTCCTGTCAGGTCGATGAATTTCACAATATATAATCTGGATACCCTACAAGATCTTTATTCTGCAGCGTTGATATTCCCCAATCTTCAAAGCCTGACGGTCAACATCTTCAGCTTTTGGATTCTCCAAAGAAATGCATACTACACTCTCTTTCGGGATCTTTCTGCCTTACCTTTCTATGACAATATCGATCATTTTGCATTTATCTGGTTTGGTACCGACGAGGAATGGTATAACGATATCGCAAACTACCGTCTTTTGCCAGACGTCGAACGATCGACTGCTGGACTTTATGAATGGACAATGAGACAATTTCCCAAAGCCCGAGATCTTTTAGGACCTTTCATCCCCGAAAACCAATTTTCTGAAAAGGTGGAAGAAATCTTGCTTCCAAAGGCTCTTCAATCATTCGAAGCGAATCTAGGGTTCACATCTAAGGAATATGATTACCTCCTACCCGTCGTCAGTTCCGCAACTGTTGAAACCCTAAGCATCCACAGAGCCAGCTACCCCTTCACAGGGGACTTTAACTTCCGGAACATCAAAAATCTCACCTTAATTTTCAATTCTGCAAAAATCGATATCTGTCAGTCATATGGCCTCGAATTACTCAGTAGACAGTTCCCGAATCTCGAGTCGTTAAAAATAATCAATGCAGAGTGGGATGTCGAGGAATCCTCTCGTTTTACCTTTCGGCCCCCAGTCCTACCTAAGATTGCACAGTTGGATATCTCATGGCCTAGGCCGGCTCCTCATAGGTGTAGGACCAAGGCTTTGGAACGCTTTCTCGGCTTGGTGTTGAATGGAAAGGACGGACGGAATCTTGAAAGATGTACCTTTAGGGGGACGACATATACAATCGCAGGTCCAAGGAATGTTGTGGCTACTTGTGTGATTTCGAAAAGGAAGATATTCGATCCAGACTTTCCGAGCAAGCCTTGGGAGTTTCAATGGGAGGGGGATATAGATTTTGATCAGATGGAAGACGACTGGGGAGCTTGGGCGGATTTGGAACAGGACGAAGACCTAGATTCTGATTATGTTGCTTCGGGAGACGAAGAACATGGATCTAGTATCCTATCAAATGATATTGAAGAAGAATCTGGAAGTGGGGATAGTGAATTCAGTGGGGATTCCGAGTATCCGGAGGCTGGTGACGAGTTATATCCTGTTGATACAGATGACGAGCTCGAGCAGCCATATAGATTAGAAGTAGACCTTACACTTGGGTTGGCTTGAGATTAATTATATTAATCCAATTGAAGGCTAGTACATATAATTACCTAGATCTCGTGAGCCAAATACCGCGAATATCAATTTGATGTCAGATTGAAATCAGTTGATTTCCGTTTAGAGCGGTCTTTCGAAAGCGGAAATTACCAAAAGTGGAAGTCCGAGGCCGAATTACCAAATGCGGAAATTTAAATTGGTTTTTTTTACCGCCAACGACCGACCTGATTTCAAATGCAGGCCAACGGCAACCTCAACAAGCTAACTGGCCCTCCCTCGACACCATCGCTTGTTCTCCTTTCCGCCATCGCCATTGCAAGCTCCCAGCCTCAACTTCAGCATCTGCATACCGATAGCTCCATTTCCAGGCCCTATTCGATATCTAAAGGAAGCGCTTTTTTCGCATTTCTGAGCCTCAACAAACATAGTCGCCTCTAGCCTTGCCTTGTCGTCGCTAACCGCCGTAGCCGCTCATCGTCCCGAAAGCACGGCTACTTCATCGCCACCATGGCAGGAATGCCTGATACCGCAAAGTCCCTCCAGGCGCACCTCGAAGGCTTCACAAATGCTACAGACCTAGATGTCAAGCTTGTTGACACCTTCCGATTACAGCTAAACGGTGGGTCCTAGCCGTTGCCCCGTTTTACCCCTCCTTATCGATAAAACCTATGGACCTCCCAAGGGTGGCTAACAGTTCTAAACAGAGGAAAGTCGCAAAGCTGCTCTTCCCATCTTCCTCCCTCTTCTCACAAAGACCTTGCCGCTCACCAGCAGCCCTCAGCCGCTGTGCGCCCTTCTCATATCCCTCCTGGAGCCTATCCGCTTCAGTGAGCTACTAACATTGACAACGCCAGCGGAAATCCTCCCGACTCTCACCTTCCCAAATGCTCACATCCAGCTTATGGGACTTAAGTTGCTCCAGAAGTCTACTGCTTCGCCGTCTGAGGCTCGTTCTCTTGCTAGTCATCCTGAGCTCGTCGCTGCAATTGTTAATCTCTCTCTTGTTGCTTCGAACACGGATGTGGCAGACCTCGCTGCTAGGACTTTACTTGAGCTATTATCCATCGACAAAGTTGGCCCTGGTGGCGTCGGTGAAGGCTTAATCTGGCGACGCGTCTTCGGCGACAAGGACATTTACCAATCCTTCTTCGATAACTGCTCATGGAGGAATAAGTCTGCCTCTATGTCACGAGCTGAGAAAACGCTGGCGCAAGCTCGTTTATTGTCAATGATACCAAAGATGGCTGGTATGAATTGGGACGTCGTTTCCCGCTCACATTTCCCACAGGTGGAAGCTAGATTCGAAGGTGAAGGCACGCTAGACGGTTTACTCGGGTTTGCAACGGCAATGGTAGAGATGGAGTTTGATGTGTTAATGTATATGACCGTTATCGAATTTTACTCCGAATTCCTCCTTGTCGGACCAACATTGGAGCGAGGGACATCTGCTGGAGAGAAAATCTACTCCACATCAAAAGGTTTAGAATACCTCATAGCCAACAACCGACATCAAAGCACGATCGCGCTCTACACCACACCACCTGGCGAGCAATCAGACCAATTCACAGCATCATTCCTAACCTCCAGATCAGCCAGTTACATCGCCAACTATTCGACACACTTTCCAACACATCTACGAGAATCAAAAGACCTGTTACCAAAGGTCCTAAAGGCCCTAGCGACATACATCCCTGGCCCTTCTGGACAAGGTCCTCATTCTCGCAGCCTCCATTTGCTCGCGAGCTTACCACCAACTCAGGTTTTACCGATTGTGGTGGAGATCCCATTGGCGCCTCCGCATCCAGACTATCTCAAGACGTTGGCAACGATTTTGCCAGCGGATGAGAAGCTTTACAGGGAGTATCTACGAAAAAATCCTAGTTTCTACAAGAAGTTGGTCGAGTACGCCAGCGTCATTGCTTTGAAGGAGAATGCACAAGCAAGTTTGAGGATGATGAAGGGATTGGCTGGAACAGAATTCGGGTTGAGGGAGATTGTTGGAAATACAAGCGTGATGGAATTCTTGGTAACTATACCACAAAGGGTTAACATCGCGGCAGGCCGGGGAGGAGATGAAGGCAGTGCCTTTGGGATTGCGGTTAGCAGGTGGGAAGTTGTCGAAGTTGTGGCTAAGGGAATGGCAGGCGGTGGCACAGATTTCGACAATGCCCGAAGGGTTTGGGGAAAGGTAATCAATGAGAGGGTTCAAGGAGGTGTCTACGGTGCTGGAGCCAGCGGATTATTCAGCAAGGCTGGAGGTCAAGTCGCTTGGGAGGGAATGTAAAATTGCAACAACTAGAATCTGGACGACGTTTTACGGATATACACAGACTACTGACCCCTATTTTGGCACCTTTTGTGCCATTATCACGAAATGGATACATTGAAACGAAACTTACTACAGGGCTCTTTTTTTTTGTTATTTCTTTCCTCGGCAAAGGGGATCTGTGAACCTTTTTTTTTTTTTTTTTATGAAGGGAACGTTTTGGCATTTCCATGGAGTTTTTATTCAGCCGTCCCTTGTCAAGCTATCATTTCCCCGTTTCAACATCTTTGTAATCCAACCCTTTTCTAAGTTAACAGTATGTACACTGGTATCATACAGGACAGTTACCCATCTTTACCTTCTACCTTTCGACACTCCCCCCAATCCCCTTTCTTTTGTTTGATTGATTCATTTCATCGTCATTCCTTCTCATACTTTTTTACTTTTACCTTTAAATAGTATAGCAAGGCTCGGATTTCTTGGATAGGGCTTCAGGGGGACCAGGGAGGGGGGTAGTCAGGGTATTCCTTTTGGGTAGATACCTTTAATAGCGGGCGAAAAATCGAACATTACTTTTTCTTACCTACACACTACCTGAAAGTTTCTCGAGAATGGAATACTACTAGTAGGCTGATCATGAGCTGGTGCGATGTGTATAACCTGTTGGTTATGATCTTCGTATGTAGCATATGTGTAGCCGTTCCATTGGTTCTAGTTTACAAACGCGTTAAACGGGGGGTGTTTCCAATGATGTTGGGTATATGTTTATAGACGTCATAGACACATTTGTAGCTTTCGATTTCGCGATTGTAATATATTTGTAAGTGGGTGCCGGCGAGGACTTTGATACCCATTTGGCAATGGTTTTCTATAGTTAATTTGTAGACAAAGATGGGTTTTTGACATGGTTCATCCCTATATTTTTATTCAGAAGGGGGGGCAACTTAAAGCTTTATATACCTATCAAGTACATACGTAGATACGTAGTTCTTATATTTAGACACGTATATACATACGCGTTATATAAGATGTACAATTGATTATCCAGATATCCAGATATCCAACCAATACCCTTGCGATCGCAGGTCAAAGAGGGTGGGGACGACCGAAGGCAAAATCATTAGCACCAGGATACCGGTTTTCTTTCTTTCTTGAATCTCCTGAAGATCGACTTCCTGAAGGTTCCTTGGTAAAAGACACTTAAACGTTCTGCCCTTTCCTTAGTTGATTCCTTTAAGCTTTCCTGTCGACAGCTGTCCCTGGATCCGAAGATTAGGCTATATGGGTTGTCTCAATTGCTCAAAGGATCTGCTTGATTTTCTAGAAGGGCTTTTTTTCTATTCCTTTTCTTCGAAGTCCGGGTTTTCTAGCCGAATGACTTTTTTAGGGGTGAGACCGGAACCGATATACGGTAGACGGGGATGTTGTTGATCGAAGGAATGACAATCAATCGCAGTTGATTCTGGTGATTACTTATGCAGAATACGTCACCTGATATTACTTTTTGATATATAATACCTCAAAAAAGGACATCGATCAGGCATCTTAGGTTTGTTGTTTTTCGATTTGCATACCAGCGCAGTGAATTTTGGTCATTGTCTCCTTGTTTTAGCATATCCATAGCTTTATTTTTTATTTTTTTTGAAAATAATATTTTTCATCTGTTCCGCGCAGAGCTCACGATATCTATTTTACTCAGCGATCGCGATATCGGTGCAGGACTGGACAGGAAAAAGAAATAAAGATACCAATGAATTGTTATCAGTGATATCATCATCCAAAGCATAGGCAGACATATGCATCGCATCAATCCTTTTTTCTTTCTCTTTCTTTCCGTGCCTTGCGCAGAGTCAAAAGCGAATGCTGCAAATGATCACATGGCACCTTTTTTTTTGTATATTACATGTAATCAACGTAGCATTGGGGAGTCCTCCTAGGGAAGTTCGAAGAAAAGGTATATCTGCCCCCCCGCGCTATGATTTCTATGTTGGGTAGTATTCATGTATACATGTATACGGGGTTTTTTGTTATTTATGCATACAAACTTTACTTTTTTTATCCTTTCCCTTCGAATACTTTTAGTTTATCGATAACATTTAGTGAGTGCTACCTCGTGGTCATCCCGTCTCTGTTAGTTTGAAAAGTAATCGATACATACGAACCTGGTGGCGCCATTTGAAGGTGCACACCACCACCAGCCGAATAAAAAAAAAGAATACTACTGTAGGTACGGTACGCATTCGGCATTCAGGTCCTTGCCTTGGCCTTGGATTCGTTTTTTATTACTATTTTTAACAAAATGGCAGTATGTGCATACATATATGCATACGGCAAATGGTTTTTTCGAGCCGGAGGACCGGCCGGACTGCAGTACTGTTGAAACCTTTGGAGTTGCCGTCTATGGAGTTTGTGAAGCTTGTCGGTGGGGATGCATCGATGGAAGGGAAGGTAATGAATCCCACCCCCCCCGCACATATGTATTGACTGGTGTCCTTTTTTTTCTTTTTTTTCCCTCGCTCATGGTTCTTTTGGTGAAGCGAGGGAGGTCCTAGTAGAGTGTATGTAGGCATTAGCTGAAGATTGGGAGCTTTGACCCGTGGGGTGGGTTTTTTTGGGGGTGAATTTCATGTGAAATGTTGGCTTGGCTTTTAAGCTTTTGGATAGCTTGAGCCATGGCTGGGTGTATGTATACGGTACGTATACTGTGTAGCTTCATTGAGTGTATAGATGACCGAAACCTGGGTTCTCAACGGTAGAGTTAACGGTTTCATTACAAAGAGTCTAGAACTTATTGTCTAAGTCGATGAATTATACTAATTCGATGGTTCAGCCTCTATGGTTTCTCTAAGTAAAACGAGAATTCATGATATTAATTGAGACATGCCGGAGCGCAAAATGCATGCGACGCAGGTCTCACAAGTCAAATCTTCCCGGTTCGCTCGTTTGCTAGTCGAACGGCATATAGGTTGTTTAAATCCATTATGCTCTCGCTTTTCCTTTCGCTAATTCGCTCTGACAGGTTGACTGACAGCTCATGGCCTTGGTCAAAAAAAAAAGTGTAATGCGTCTTTGGGAGCTTTAGCGTAAGCGTACATATGTTGTAGTTAAAATCTTCAGGTATATGATACCAGTGCGTCTGACCGATATGTGTAGGTTGGTCTTGTAGCACGTCACTTTATGTAGTCTGAGCTAGGGTAGCGAGTTTTAGTTTGTCAGCTTCCCTTTTTTTTGCCTCTGGACCCAGAAGTTTAAGCTAGAAATCTTTTGACGGTTATGGAAAAGTTGACTTGGGTTCATCAACGTGGTGGATGCCTGTGGTTTTGGATGTTGGATATCACAAGATATCACGAAGATATGATTATATAGCGTGATGATAAGAAATCAATCAAGTTTTTGAGTTTTTCTTTGTGGCGATTGATGTTTTGGGTCAGCTCGATTTCGGGCGATTTGGTTTGGGATTCCTGGTAGTGTTTTTACGATGAGAGAGATACCTGTTAGCTAACCCTGGTCCGGCCTGGTCTGTTCCGGTCGGCTGTTGGCATTTTATTGAGAAAAAAGTTGGAATACTCGTGTACTTCGTCTGTAACTTCTCTTGATCGGTCCGGGGTCCGCCGAGACGGATGGAACGGGTTTGAAGAATATGTATCGATTTCGTTACACTGAACGTGAGATCCGTTTGGTCACTGAAACGATTGTTTTTCGTTTCGAGTATTTTGAACTTTCTATAGATATCTAGATCGATTCAGTAGCATTGTGATCCTACGGTAATTTCGAAGTTTATAGTATATAAAATGAGAACTTTCTGTATTCCAAAACTCAGCGGAAACATTCGGACTCAATGTTTTATAAATGACCATATTTAACTTATGCTTGGAACTATCTTGGGAGCTATAATTCCTACGCCCACATGTTACATTCGTTACAACCATCCTCGGATCTAATAGCCCTAATTAATTATTCTAGACAAATGTAACTCCTACAAAAAGCACTTGATTCCAACAATCAATTAATCAATACTCTGAAATCTTTCAAATGGAACCTCCCGAAGAAAAAGACCCTCCCCCATACCCCAGAGTCTCACTACCGGATAACTAGTTTAAACTTCCCCGGGAAAAAAAGAATCACGAACCTGGGGGGATTGCGTATACAAACGAGTTATTAGGCTGGCCGTTGAAGGTTTACCTTGCGGATACATGGGAGTAGGGAACATGGTACCTGGTCGGGTTTGAACGTTTGTATATAGGTTAACCTGCTATTTGGGAGGCTGGGGTTTCATTGGGCACGACATGGTAAAGTTTTATTGAGAGAGTTATCATGTCAGACGATGTTTTATGGGCCTATATCGTGGTTGTTGTTAATGAGGTCTTTCTTTTGGATTTTTATTGTTTGGACAATATTAATCTATTAATTCCTTAAAGTTTTTTATTTGAAGAACGTGGTAGTGAAGGGAATTGATTTGGGTTAATTGAACTTGAGGGTTATGATATTTGATATGATATTTTGAATAGATATTATATTAGCTCAGGTGGTAGTAATTGGATTTTGAATTTTGAATGGAATTGAATGGAATTGAATTGACGTTGATATTAGAAAGTGGATGATTGGTATGTGAACCCCAAGTTTTCCGAGTTTCGACGGGAAGGCCGCTTAACTCCACTCACTCGCTCACTCACAACTGCAGCTGGGGTAGAGAAATGTTGGATACACATGGCTGGGTTTGTAATCGGGTGTATCATATTAGCAGAAGAAAAACAATTTGGAGAATACCGAGAATATGGGCGGTGGCGGTCGGTGAGCCTTGCGGTCGTAGACGTCTACGGATTGTTCCTAGTGTTTTTGATACACAGTATGGTGTTATAATCGAATGACTTGATGAGACTCTTTTTTTCAGCTGCACATTTGGAGAACAAAGTATCGCGAGAAGATTCGAGCTCAGCGGGTAAGGCGGAATTGTTTTTGGCTGTGATGTATCGCAATTATTGCCAATTTGGATAAAAGGAATGATGGAATACAAAGACGTTGAAGTTGAACTTGCATTCCGATCATGGGGTCATATATGCCTTATATTAGAGATTTCAAGGACCAAAGTTGCATTATAGATCGTATCATAGAATTCACGAAATGCAGCATCATCAAAAGAGCCACAAATTAAATGTTTTTTATTTATTTTTTTCAAATAATTTCCTTCCGGCCGGCAAATCGGAACGGGTGAAACTTCTTTTCTACTTGGAATCTAACTCGGAACTGATTCTTAACTTCCCCACGCCTATAGTCAGTTAGGAACACGAAACATCTGATTGAAACTAAATATTACCGCCTGATCGCCGGATTGACACTTCGAAACGGGAGGTTCTGGGGCGATGACTGTCGTTCGTTGTCGATTTGGTGGTTGCGGTCTGGCCGGAAAAGTCAGGTCAGTTCTAACCGATGACGAAAAAGAGGGCCGCCACGGCAACTAAGGACTTAGCACTGTTAGAGAGTTAGACTACCAAGAGGCGGACGCAAAAACCCCCTTATTAACTTTTGTGGGCTATTTCGTATGGTGCACCTGAGATTCGATCAACGAAAGACATTCAGGCACAACATAATATGAAGTAAGGGAAAATGTTGGAAACAAAGGATTTTCAAATTTTGGAGTTACACCGGTATAGAAAACCTTTAGAATTCTATTTAACGTCGTTCCCACAGATAACAACGAGGTGCACCGCCAACAACTGTGGCAGATGAAACCGGGGTGGAGGAGTCGGGAGATTTGATCGACAGAGGACATGGGAGGCAACCATTGTAAAAATGGCATGGGGGTGTTCGGCATCGAAGGAATTGAAAACATCATGTCAGGTTGGAAAAAGTGTGGTGGGCTTTTTGGTTAGGCTTGGTCGTCCCGGTTGAAGAACCTTTTAGGCTTCGCCTATGGTCTGGGCACAGATCTCTGATTGTGAAAGTTACCCCTTTAGGACTGAGTGGTTGATGACGAAAGGCTTGGGATTAGTCGACAGGAGAGCGATAACTGGGCGTAAAATCAGCGCAACGAAGGGATCTGTGAAGTTCCACAGCCACAAGAGGGGGAACGTGTTCTGATTAGAGATTCGGTTATAATCAATTCAATCTTGCTAGCCGTCCACGTCCGCTATCGAGCAATTGGAGGTGAGGTAAGCAGTTCCATTCGTGGTCTTTGTGTTTGAGGATAAAACTTGGCCTTAGGATGCTACCCTGCATGGATTGGATTTCAGAAATGCAAGAGCAAAAAGTGTGGGAGGAATTTTTTTTCTTTCTTCTGGTTCATCGATACTTCTGAGATCGGTCAAATGGCGCCTAGTGGTGGCAGCGATACCAATCGAACAAGTACTCTGTGTCCCGAACGTTTCGTCTAAACGCTCTGCACTATCCCCGATCCGTGACGATTATGTTGTGCGAGCTGTTTTTCTGGATGCATTAGCATGGGGTAGATTCGTACATGCATGAGTTTCCAGAGATGGAATGGAGTTAAAGGTTTTGTGAAGAGGTTGGGCGCATGTATGCATTTATTTCAACCCTTCAATACCTGCACGAATAGCCTTCGCATCTCACGATGTTTTTTTTGGCGATAGCTGTATGTTGCCAGTAGATTGTGACGGGTTTTGAAGATGCCTATTGATATTGGCCAATTTTACGGCCCACGGAAGGATTTTGGCATGTTGTAACAACAACGCCATATGTACCATCGAAACTGTTTTAGCTTGCAGAAGACCAAGACGGAGGAAATAGTTGCAATTGCTGTTGTTTATGATTATGAAGCCTCGCAGCTGTCAAGCCGAGGATGGGGTAATAGGAGCGGCGATTGATGCTATCAGTGGGACTAAGTATCACCTGAATCGGATGGACGTCGACATGTACGCTTTGGTACACAGCATGCAGACTCGCCTTTTTTTTTTTTTTCGATCAGGCATCGTCGAGATGTCCCAAAGCGTTTATATCAGGCCTTTCCTCTTATCATCATAAACTCCGGCAAGGCCTAACGGTGTTCAACAGCCCACGTTTCCGGTTGTTCCCCTCAAGTAAAAAAAAAAAAATCAATCCTGACCCATGCCATTAGCGTGGCGACACGCAGCTTAAATATTCAAGCTATGGAGAACTAAAGCAAGTAGTTTTTGGGGAAATTTGGTTATGATGATTTAGGTTTTCGCAGTCCATCATTGTATGGGCGATTAGAATTTGTCTCCGGAAGAGAATGGGGAATTGATAAATTTGCATTGAGGAGCAATTGATATTGGTAGGATCCTAGAAGCTCGAGGATGGGAGATTCGGATGGGTGTCGAGTTAATATGTTCCTGACAAGGCTTCCTTTCCATAGTTTTTCTCGATAACGTCGTTTTTAAGTAGTCATTGATACGAACGAGACTTTTAACCTGGGATGCTCCGGATATTATAGCTTCTATCCCAAAGATACAAAACATAATCCAGAATTTGGAAGAGTCGATACATCCAGTCTGTTCCTTTGCTTTGCTTTGCTTTTCTTTTTTCTTTTCTTTTCCCACGGGGATTGCCAGCCAACCTGCCCGAGCGTGCTGTGGGAAAACTTGGCCCGATTCTGTCAATCGGCGGCGGGTCCAATTTTAATTGCCAATCAGTGCGAATACCACCCGATTGCAGTTGTAACCCACACTTTTTCTTGCGAGTGGGGCCGTGGAGGAAGACCTGCAGCGGCTTAGTGTATTGTCTTGTCTGTACGGAGTCGTAGTCTGCATTGATTGCATGGCGTGCAGTCGTAGTCGTGCGTGGTAGGTTTTGTAAGTACCATGCAGCGGATGGGATGGATGGAGTGAGGTTCAGTTGTGAAGTGAGTGAGCCAGGTCCCCTTTAACCACAGCCATCGCCCTGTCCAACAATTCCCAGACGTCCTTTCAACCACAACCACAGCCATCACCATTTCCTCCATCACCGTCACCATCACCGTCACCATCTTTCTCTCCCCAATCCACTCGCTCTTGTTGTAGCCATCTACATCTACATTTACATCCGCCCCCACCTATGTAGATGGCTTCCATTAAAATGTTTCCTCTTTAGCATCTAGCCAACTAGCAGCATTCAATCGCTTCTTTGTTTCGTTTTTTCTCCATTGGCCTGGGACGCTTTGCCGCATGTTCACAGTCTCTCGCTTTGCTGTGTTGGACAGAAAAGGTAGAACCACCACAACGTCAACATCACAACATCAATATCAACATCAAATACTACCACCACCACCAACAGCCTTGCAGGAATCAGCCACGATTCTAATCCGAATTCATATTATATAGTTATACTATATATATATATATACTACCCACTTGGGTGTATCTCCAGTCGCTTCTGTGACCTTTTTTCTTCTTTCTTTTCTTTCGTTTCTTCCTAGCCGAACTGTTTGTTCTCTCGCCTGAGGTTTGCTACATTTGGATCAACCACGTCCCTTCGAATTAATTCTCTCTGGCAACGTGCATACAGCAGTGGAATTTTCATCCCATCTTTTATATCAACATTACTATTATCATTTGTCCGAAAACTTCCGTGACGACTTGGATCACCTGGGACATATTTGGGACTTGGCGTCTGAGGTGGAATTCCGACTGGAAACGGATCAAATCTTACTTGCCGACGACAACTTGAACGACGCTGTTAGCGACAAGGGAGACGAGACGCCTTTGTTCTCATCTTATTATAATAATAACAACCATCCGTCCTTGCATCAACTGCCTGCTTGTCCATATTAAGAAAAATCCGACCTCCTACGCCACAGACTCTACCAGACTAGACCGAAGTCTCCGGGGATTAGATTGAAGTCTCAGGATAGGACGGGACCCGCAGGGGAAACAATTCAGGAACAGCACCGGTGAGTAGGCTGATACCCTTCTGCTACACCATTTTGTTATGCGTTGGTGGAGTTACCGCATATGGCCGGCCTTTTCATATTTCCGCCTATTTCTGGTGTACCTGCATTCTCGAGGCTAGGGCGATCGCCAGGTTCAATGAGACCAATAATCTCACTCCAGGTCCCTTGATTGCTCTCATCCCTCGCTCCCTACCGGGCGTCTGTTCTTATACATGACATTCCTTCAAAGGCCGAAACATGCTGACTTTTCTAACGGACAGCCTCCTCCCCTTGCTTAGACATATATCTCCACCTCGGCCCGCCCTTTCAGTTCAATCGAATCTGTTTGACGGGAGCCTCCATCCGAGTAGAGATTGTCCCTTGCCTTTTTGTCATTTCGCTCACTCTGTACGCAATTCGCTGGACGGACCGATTCGTTTCTCGTCTGTTCCCGCCGCCTCTACAGCATAATCTCTAATCAATCACTTTTCTTACTTTGGATCAACTCAACTCGAATATCGACACTTGCATAATTTCTAATCAACAGAAGAACCGACAAGCTTTCGATTTTATTTCTTCCTAGGCAGTATGCCTGCCTCTTCAATATCCAGCTCAGGCTCCGCCTGGCTGCCAACCACATCGACTACAAGACATAGAAGGATATCACCTGCCACAGGGTTTATAAATACAATATGGCTACCTTTCCTCCTTGGCTCGATATTTCTCGCCGGTATATCGCATGCGGAAATCAGCCTCGTATATTGTTCATCAGAAAACACAGGAATAGGCAAACTTGCACCCAAAGATGGGGTTAAGCATTGTGAGTGGCTTGACTACGTACATTTTTCAAGATGGTGGCTCTAACGGTTTTAATAGTCAACTATATATACCAATCGGACGGAAAATGCCATGATTTTTGTATCCAAGATTATGCCTTCGCGATTGTACTTTGGCAAGATTGCTGGTGTTCAAACTTCCCGCCTATTGACCTGAAAAATCTGGATGATTGTGGTGATAGTTGTCCTGGGTTTCCAGACGACAAATGTGGAAACCGCACGGCAATCTACTACAACTATATTGAACTCACCCAGCACTTGCCAAGTTCCAGGACGGATTTACCCGCTTCCACCACCAGTGTACGTTCTTCCACCCGGGTGAAACCTACGTATTCGGTTACCGTGTCGGTGTCGGTGTCGATTCCTGTGACTGTCTTCATCACACCTGTATGACCCATGACCATCCTTCCAATGATGCAAGTCGCATATACATCATAAATGTTTTACGCTTGTGCCCTTTCCCCTCCTCGGACTCGTTTGGTGATGCTGAGTGGATGGATAACGCAGTCTGTGCGACGTAACGTAAGCTGACTTGATACCTATATTATAGTCCGAACCAGTAAAGACAGAAGGGCCGGACACTAAGACGACTGATCCTGCAACTTCAGAACCTCCGGGCACCCCTGTTGTTTCCGTTGTCACCATCCAGGGTTCCCAGCATACAGTGACAGTCACACCAGCCGCTACCGGCCCGTCAAATAGCAGTTTCCCCATGAGTTCTTCTGACGGCAACAACTTTTTCTCAGATGCTGGTCGGGTGGCTGGTGTATTTGTTGGTGTAGCAGCAGCCATAATACTTCTTTTGGCTGTGATATTTTTCCTCCGGAGGCGCAATAATGACCGGCGGAAATCTGTCGACTCATCGAACCACCCCGAGATGGGAATGTCGGGAGCAGGTTCGCCGAATTTGACTGGTAGCTCCAGTCCCACCGGCCGACCGCGTTCGACTAGTACCCTCGGCCTTGTCGGTGGCTTACAGGACAAGGCACCAGTAATAACGACGACCGGCTTCACTGAGACCGACCGGGTTACAGATCAAAGATTGGATCCAAATCAAATTTGGATGCGGTTTGACAATGACAACGGTAGCCGCGTGAGTCTGAGGTCTTTGCAAGACAACCAGGACTACTCACGGAGAGTGCTTAAGGTACATACCGTCCCCGAGGAGGATTGCTGATATTCTCCTTCCCACCTTATCCTTCCATTCTTCAGTTCTTCATAGATAACTATCCTTCGAGAGATTGGACTTATTCTAATCTACTATTATTTAATATAGCTCACGAATCCTGACCATTAATACATGAATACTCGGATAACCCATCTTGACAACAATTATCGAGCCAATTCCCCGGCAGTTATTTTCAAAAGTGTCATTGTACACCATCATTTAAACCCTGAATTGTCCTTTGGATTTTGGCCGACTTGTGTAATTCGACAATCAACATTCGCTTTGCACACACCTTGACCCTCCTTTGAGGGAGCGGCGTAACAATCTTCCAACACCCCTTCGCTAGCTCGGCATCTGGGCGCTGTTGGCTGCCTTTTCCCGAATCACCCTCACACGCTCCCTCCGGCTTTTTCTTTGTTTCTTGTTTTTACAGCGACTTTTTTTCGTTTCGCACTTGACGTTCAGCATCTCGTTTCACGACCGTTCACACTTCAAAACGTACACGCATCGTCTACGGACGTTCATTCTCAGGGCGTTTCATTGGCGTTTCCTTTTTTTTATCTCATTTCTATGCTTCAGCTTGGCGTGGTTTCACCGGTATCAAAATTTCATATCTTTTATTCCCTCGATTCTTCTAGAGTTTTTTGGGACTACCACTTTTTTTTGCCTCTATATTGTAATGAAGGAAAGTTTTGGGCTTTTGACTAAGTATAGCAAAGCCTCAGCACCGATCTATCTTCTAACGGTCGAAGAAGCAGAAAAAGAAGAGTGTTAGTCATTTTCAGGCGGTGACTACTTGGTACTCTTTTTTTCACTCATATAATTATTTACATTAAAACCATACACGCAAGCCTGCACTCACTCACTCACTTCACTTCCCTCATTATACCCTTGTTTGCCGCTCTATATTTGCACCCATTGAGTGCGCCTCATCTTTCTTGTGTATATTAACAGAAATTCAAAAATAACGAATAAGCTTCAATCAATGAACATCAGTCTTAAACTTATCCTTTTCTCTTGTTGGTTCTCTCGTGAATTGAATCCAAATATTTGTGAAATGGTCCCTATGCTTTTTCCGCAATTGGAGACCAATGGAATTTTGTGGAGAATGGGGGGACCTTTAATCAAAAGGAAATCTGTGAACGAATGATATCAAATTCGTTTCTAAACGCCTGTGGATTGTCTCCTATAACATTGGCATTTGTAATTTGAGAGACCTCCTAGCGCCAACGCTGCCATTATATCTACCATTTAATTTTCAAAAAAGACCTATCACTAGTTGGCACGTGCACAGCTTGAGGCCGTTGTATTATGAATGGTCTTTTAGTCTGTATTAGTTAACAACATCAATTGCGACTGTTCGCCATGCATCATATCATCATGTATTGACATGGGGAATCGAGAGTCATAGAAAAATCCAACATCAATGGGTATATTTGTGTATATGTATGCGAACGGTTAAAAAAAAAAAAAAAAGGAAACTCGAAGAAAACACACCAGACTATCTCCCAAGTTTAAACCTCCCCTTCTTCACCAAACTAGCATGCTTAATCCCATCTCTAGTCTCTACGATCCACCCAGCACCTCGTCCCTCAGCAGCAACATAATCTTCAAAACTTCTGACACTGGAAGTATTCATCCAAGTATCTGACACCGATCCAAACGTCGGATTGACATAACCTGGATACCCGGATGCCAACGAATTCTTCTCTTCCCCATCTTCTTTCTTCTTCTTTCTATATAGCAGAATGATAAGTATCGCAATAACCATAACCCCGACTACAGCAATAACGATCCCGATTATTGCTTCGGTTGGTAGAGCTTTTGATCGTAATACCGGGGTGCCATCATCCGAGCTGGGCTCCAAAGGTGGAGGAGCAGGAGATCCGCCTTCTAAGTCCGGTACTGGTGAGTTATCTATTCCCGTGGCTGTTTGTAAAGCCTCTACTAGGATTGGTGGAGCTTCTGTAAAATCCTTTGCAGACGATGGGGCGACGAAAAGCTGGCGTCTGGAGAGGTCGAAGACTGTGTATGCGCTTCGTTGGAATATTTTACCCAAATATGTACTGTTATTAGGAGAAAGTTCGATGTTGATTGTACACCGGGTCGAACTATTGCGGTCCGGGGAGATGAGTTGGGAGAATGGGATATCGATGTTGAGGTTTTGGTTTTTGTTGAATGAGAAGGATAAAGATGTTGATTGTGGGAGGAGACAGGGGACCATCCATTGTCCGTTGTCATTACGGATGGCTTGTAGGTATTCGCTGATGGCGTTTAGAATCTGTTCTGGTAGTTTGATGGTTGAAGATGTACTATCGAAAACCACTGGGGTTAAGAAATCTGAAGTAGTGCTAAGAGCGATGCTTGAGTCGTAGGAGAAGCTGATGCCTGAGAGGTCACCAGCGTAAATTCTGCCGACTCGAGATAGTGGTAGTGGGATTAATCTACCACGGTAGGCATTTGTATCAATGCCGCCGAGAAGAAGTGTTCCGTTTGATGTTGACGAAGGATCAGGATCCCAACGAATGCTATATATTTCATCGTTTATAACCTTTCGAGAAACCAAATCCTTCAACAGTGCTGTTTCAACATCTTTGCGATCTAGAGATACGGAAGCATCGCTCCCTAACGCCAGAATTCCGGTCGATCCGTTTGTTTCAACGGAACCGAAACGGACACTAGAGGCATTGAATTGATCGATAAACAAGTGATCAAAAAGCAGTTTCCCCTTAGTAGTCGTCCCATCTGGGAGTGTAACAGTCGTTCTATTTATATCTTCTGATGCAGGTTGAGATTGAGATGTACTTCCAAGTATATATCTCGAAGAAGGTACCCAAGTCAAACTCGACCAATAATCTAGGTCGACCCAAGTGATAGGTGAATCACCACTAGGTGTCACTGTGGTTTGTACCTGGTAATAAAAAGCATCATTAGTCACAAGGATATCAAATTTGGTAAAAATTCGACATGCATAGAGATTTATATATACCTTGTCGCCCCTACGCACAAGATCAAGGCCTACAACCCTTTGCGCCCGGTTCGCTGGGGTTGTTGACTGTGCTATCGTATTTCCATTGAAAAGTAGTATGGACGATAGAATCGAAAGAAAGGCGAGCGACAGTGAGTTCATCGTAAAGGACATCCTGAAAAGAGAAGTAACTGGTCAAGTGTCTATTTCAATGAATATAGCATGGTTAAACTTCCGTCGGTGCGATTATGGGCGAACATGTAGAACTCTAAAGAGGGAAAGATAAAGATATAACTATGATGGAAAAGGTAAGAATGGCGAAGGTAAAAGGCCGGTGAGGTTACCGTTAATATATACAATGCACGGACGTGCTCAAAAAATAACCAAAGGCTTACCTAAACTTCAAACGGTTTTCAGATTAGAAATTTTGATCCTGAAAATAAACGTCAAGCTAATCCATATGAAGAATACCCGTGTGGATAGATTGGGTTATTTGATTATATAGGGATATGAATATGTATAATATAAGAATCCCAACATCTCGGCTTTTGGAGTTATCAACCCTTTTCTAGATTGTCTGCCAACGCCTTTGATAGTATACTACTCATCATGGCATATGGGAAAGAAAACGTTAGACGTGGTGTGTTTGGCAGGCTATTTTCACGGTCACTTCGATTCCATGGTTAAAGTCCGGTCACAGCCTCAAGTGGAGCCACAGCTTAATAGGTCAAGCCACTATATTATTAACGTATATACTCCCAAAATTAGGAACGGGAGGGTCTGTCAGGAGCTGAAGAGGAAAGGTCGAGACAAGGGTTTAGCGAGGAACTACCGGCTGGAGCAGAGCAAGTTGGAGTTCGCTGACCGCGATTCTCAACCACAGCTTTGGGACAGCTTAGAGATACGTAGACAGGTGTTACGAATACAAATGCGTGGATAGATAAAGAATACTATCAGGCCTGAATCTCGGAGATTAGCTTTGAATTCTTCACTTTGAATATTTTACGAATCTCCGTGATCGTGACTAACATCGAAATCGTCAGCAGAGATACAAACTTCGAAGCTTCTAGCGCAATAGCTTCGAGCGGATCCATTTTGGGCTTTCAAACTGACTCTTCGCTTCCAAAAAAGGAAATCATAAATACAACATGATCAACACGGAAAATATGTGTTGTTAAGAGGTCGTGAACAGCCTGATAAACTTTGTGTGACCAGAGGTTGGGAGGACTATGCTACGGCCGTATACGGTAGGCAGGTATCAATTTCAAAATAGAGTTTGGAGTCACTCAAAGATACCTTGGACCGAGCCTTTTGTCCAGACTAGACCCCAAGCCAAGGCGCCCAAGCTGGCAGGAAGCACCACCATTCTCACAATGCATGGCAGCATGTCAAATCACGAGTTACGTCGGGTGTCGAGCTGAAGCGCTTGCAAGTTGGGCATGAGCAGAAATCGCAAAACTTAGAGTATACTCCCTCATTGTCCGCACGGCATAAAATCATTAGGGAACCAAAATAAGGGATATTGAGAAGGTATCGAAGCAACATGGGCGTCAGAAAAATAAAGTTTCATAAGATATATCCCCTCAAGCCCAAGGATCCCATATGGTAAAGGGAGGGGAGCGTGGCATTTGCGTGGTACGCCTTGAAGCAATCTCCTTCCACGAGATCCAAGCCTTGAAGCATTTCAAACCCTTGAAGATCGTGGGTTTTACCTAACTCTCAATCTAACGGCAAAGTCTCATACTCACCGACACAATGAAGTCTCTAACACCCCTTTTCTTCGCATTCACAGCAACATATGTCCAAGCTCTGACAAACTACCCAGAGTTTCAATATCGAGTGGGCTATATAGAACCTACAATCGAACAATACAATGCAACAGATGATACATTAATGGTCGACGATGAAGGGAACCCCGTACTAGCAGACTTTGAATTCCAATATGCAAACCTCTATGGTGGGCATTCTTGCATCTCCGTTTTCCCAGGTGCCAACTCGTTGAGTCTCATCGACATCCCTCTGCAACTAGAGAGATTAATCGGTCCCGATCGTAAAGTCGGAATGGACCGACTATTCGGATGGGTTATGTATCCTGGAAGTAATTCATGCAACCTGGATTTAAAAGAAGAAGACCGGGGGAAAGCGGAAAGAGTATTGTTGAGTCTTGATCAAGCAAAGTACGGGTACGCACAGATAAATGAAGACCAGGAAGATTTCCGCGAGTTCCCACTGGTTCCTGGAAGAAATGGTTATGATCAGCCCCCCAGCTTTCGACTTTTTATTAATCCGGAGCTATTCAACCCGGGCCCGGGCGTTGAATCGTTTATCGACCTACCTTTCTCTTCCGTAGGGAAGAATGCTGCCATCCCGAAAGAACGCTTCAAATCAAACAGGGCTGATTGGTCGGATGTCAAAATTGGCGATGACGATGGTTTGAATCCGGATAACCGAGTAGTGCGACAATACGCCCCGTTCGGTTTCGCAGTAACTCAGCCCGGGGAAGAGATCGATAGAATAATAGCACCCAAAAGACGTATACGACCCGGAAATCCCGGTTACAGTAACGATATCAATGACTACAGGCCCTATCCTGACCTCTACCCTATGCCGGATAATCGAACACCGATGGAAGTCTTCAGACCAATCATCATGTTGGCTCGACTGGGCGATGATCTAGATTCGGGGCGTGTTACTATGGAGGAATTAGAATTAATCGAACCTGAAGTAGATGCTTTTGCAGAAGCGTTCATGGGGCTGCCTTTTTCTACGGATCCAGATGCAGAACACTTGATCCCTGCCCGTTATGACTGGCCACCTTTGAGTACGCTCAGTTATCTCAGCGAAACCCCAGGATTGATAGTCCCAGACCTCATACCGAATCTATTGACCTTCTACTCGGAAAATGGTCACATATTGTCAGAAGCCATCAAAATCGCTCAAACACTTAACCCTAATATCGAAGCATGGCTTGAGGGGCAGCAAGCCAATGTTTTAGGGGATTGGGGGGCTGAGTCTTCACCTCAACTCAAAGCCGAGAAATGGCTCTATGATCTCGAGGAAGGTACTTGGGAGGATACAGGTTCGATGAATACCATACCCGATAGGCCTACTAGAAAGCCTCAGCTCGAAAATGCGGAAGCGATTTTTGACTTCGGCGAAGACGTTAGAGTTCAAGAGCCCAGTGCTGAAAATGATCTCAACGAGAGTATCGATTTTCGACCGAAGAGAGCCATTGATCGGATGAGTGAATTTGACCTCGACGAAGAAGCTGTTATTGCATCAACCCTACCGAATAATGAGATTGACGTCAATCTCGGTGAAAGACCTGATGAGCTCTTGGATATCAATAGGGGCGAGGTGGTTAATTCCGGCCCTATCTACAGTAACTTAGGAAGTCGAGTGCTACAAGATGAAGGCCAATTAGAACAAGAAAATAGAGCAGCCGTTCGGGAATTCCCCAATGATATAGTTAGCCAAGTCGAAGCACAACAAGACAACCTTGCCGAAGAGATTTAAAACCAAGTAATTAACCAAAATCAGATACCAGCTGGACGAGAAGAGGCAGTCGAAGAACTTCAGAGGCAGATTCTCGACCAGTCCGTACTCCAGCCGAACCTTGGGCCGCTAAACCGGATCGCAGAAGTCGACGAGAGTGAAGTGCGCAGCCAAGGAGCACAATCACTTGCGAACCCCAACATGGAGAGTATGGAACTTGGAAGTTTTGATCAACTGAGCCAATCCCAGCAACTACTTCTGGGCAATGCTCTACAGGCTGGGGACCTAACTTCTGTTCTCGGTGAGCTTTATGCAGGCGACCGCCAACCGAGGTGGCTTGGTAAGGTTCGAATGGGAGGCCGCAAGAGGAGCCCTGGGCCCGGATAGTCGGAAATATATTTATAATATTCATATTACGCTTGTGCGGATTTAAATCATAACACTTCACTCTTTCTACCGATTGAATGTTCATGTTACTAAAATTTTAGCTAGATTTGTATCCACTGATATCTAATTTCAGTATTCAGCTATAAAACTAGTTAAGACGATTTTACTGTAGTTTCGATAGTAGACACGAAGCCTATGCATACAGGGCTAATCCGTGCTAATCTGTGCTAATCCGTTGCCTACATGTACAGGCCGCATAATTCGTCTGATTAATTATTCGTCAAGTCTGTGGCCGATAAGGATCCATGATCGCGCATATCATGATCGAGCTCATCTTAATTCGTATATATAACTCTGAGGTCATAGCAAGGCTTGGGGGGTGGAAAGGGGAAAAACAAAAGAACAATAGATGGGAGGATCCCCATACCCCCCAAGGCTTCATTCACACCCCTTCGCAATAAGAGCCCTTTTCAGCACATGGCATCCATTTGCGCGGGTATGAGAACCAGGACTATACCCGCAAGCAATCGAAAATACGACACAGTCAACGCAATTTTCGACCATTGAGATATATAACTTTATCATATCTTCGAAAATAATTCGAGGCATGTACTATGCGGCTAGATATGAGATATTGCTAGCGGGCAAGATAATAAATGCTACTTTCCTATTCCTAAGTAGGCTTTCTCGTAGACATACCAGCTACTTCGATTGTCGAAGCGATATACTCAAACCACCTCGGCCATCCCTATCCTTCAGACAAGAGAAGTCTCAACATACCTTCATGGTATATGACGAAGGTTATCACAGATATCCAGAAGGTATCGATATAATAAACAAGGAACTTCAATAAAAAAAAGAACCCACCAGCCCTAAAATGTTCTCGTCACTCCTACCCTTCCTCCTCCTCCCCCTAACTTTCAAAAGAACAATCGCCGACTCCGCCCCAGAAATCTCCGTCGAAATCTACTTTACAGATTACACAATCCACCGTTTCAAAATCGACCCATTCACCCCCGCAAACTGCAACTGGATCCCCTTCCATTTCCTCCCGGGCTCAAAAACCATCACCCCTCGTATTTTCGCCATCACCGCCTCTCCACAACTTCCCCCGACTATCCAACTAGATAGTCTTGATTTTTCAATCCACTTGGGTGATAACGCAATAGATTGCGAAGATACTCGTCGAGTGTTATATCGTGGTGATGTTGCTGGAGAAGCTTATAACTTGACGTTACCGTATTATGCACCGGGCTATTCTGGAAACGATGTAGAACGGGCGGAGAGGGTGGAGTTAAGAGAGAGGATGTTTGTGAGAAGCGATGAAAATGCGTTAGATCTGGACGAGCTTGGGAATAGAATCTGGCCGCTGGTAGAACTTCCTGATATCCCCGAGGAAGACGACGACGAAGGAAAAAAATCAAAAGGTGATAAAGATAACAATAATAACAGCGGTATGGGGAGAAAAGATTCCTCGGAATATCTCTTCCCGGGTAGTCTCGGAGGCCCTGACTCAGATGACTATGACGATAAGTATGGTCCAGGTTTCCAGGGCTTTGGAGTTCCACGCAATAGTCCTGAAAAATGGCGAGGAAGACAAGAATTGCGAAGAGAAGAAGCAAAGGAAGAAGCGAAAGAAGAAGAGGAACGCGAAGAAGAAGAAAAGGATGACCGAGAGCGCGGTTTCAGTTATGTGTCGCCACCTCGTGGCGGCGGCTTTAGCCTCCAGCTCCAACGTCGTCCCCCCAATCGTAGGCAAGGACTGGGCAGTTATTCCCCAAGAGATAATTACTACGGACTCGGAAACGTTGCCGATAGAATTTACCAAGCAACGGGCCGAACCCTTAGGCTTCGCCCAGGAGAGCACGATCCAGCACTCGACATCGACCTCAGCGATCCTGAAATGTCAGCTATACTTTTCCCCCCAAGACAAAGAAACCCAGTTTCCCAGCCTCCGAAACTGAATACTGAATCTGCAAATGCAAAGTCGGATGTTGAAGAGCTAGACGCATCACCAGAAATTTTTAATGAGGATAGACCACTAGAAAGACCCCTTATGGCGGAATTCGACGCAGTACTAGGTCAAGATGCAAACTATGGTGACAATGAAAGGCTAACCCAAACCAGTGGCGAACAAGAATATGAATCTCCCATTGATATAGGGGGTAACTTCAACTACGATGCCCCTGATGGGGACCAAGGAGAAGGCGACCCAGACTCTCCTGTAATCAAGAAGCGCAGTCTCTCCATTTCCCCATCCGCGACAAAGCGTCTTCACAAAAGAGTCATAGAGGTCCCTGAGGGACAACCAGGCCCTGCTCAGCTAGACCTTGTTCAACCAGACCCTGTTCAGCCAGACCCTACTGAACCAACCCCGTCCCTTGGTTTTGGCGAACCAGGCCAAATCGCAATGGACACACAAGCACGATTAATACGAGCGGGCAGATTCCATGGCTTCCAAGAACCTTATATGCTGTTTGAGCCACCTGCTTCATTCGTGATCCGTGCTAAATTTTCCGAGAAGAAGCCGGTGTCAGCTGGTTATAGGTTCCGAGAGCTCGAGGATTTACCACCTCCAGCTAACTACGATCCAGACGATCTCATAAGCCTCCCAGATCATTTGTTGGAGTTTCTGTCCCGTGAAAGGCAATAGAAGCATTAATACTATTCTCAGGCGTCTCTCGATTTGTATATATATTGCTTAATCTTATAACTTAAATCCTTTTTCATGCTGTGTAATTTGATAAAGAAAATTGGAATCTAGGTTCTATCTAAGATGAGAAACTTCGATCATGTCGTATGAAACTGCCTACTAAGGTATCTAGCAAGTGAACTCGGGTCGTAGATATCCTACCCACACACATATAAACACTAGCCTAGAAATTCCCAATATATCGGCTGGCGGCAAAGAACCTTTCACAACAACTTCCAGATTGACTGGCTCTCCCATTCGTATACTTTATAAATGTAACCATGAACCGCTAGAACGCCCATCTAAAATATAGCAATGCCAAATACAACCTCAAAAGCAGCCACGTAATAAGACTGTTGAAGCGAACGATGCATGCAGCATAGAACAGAAAAATGATACTACGCTTTTTTTTTCAAAAAAAAAAATATGCAAAAAAAGAAAAACAATACAATTTACAGAGTGGGAACCGTGGAACCTTCGTGTGAAAGGGAAAAGAAAAAAAACGCCCTCCTTGCCCGGCTTGCATGATTGGGCGTTAGGCATTATTATATTTATATACAGGAAACATAAAATCAGAATAAATGGCGATAAATGGCAATAAATGTGAAAGACGGAAAGAGAACACGCAAAAAACAGAAAACAAAAAAGAAAAAGGAAAGAACAAGAACAAGAACAAGAACAAGGAGGAGAAGGTGCCTAGGGCACAACAGCAACTCCCGTGGCCTCATGGGCCTCCGCATTGGCTTCAGCAGCCACTGCGGCCCTCATCGTGGCCTGCATTCGGGCACGTCTACGCTTCCGCTTAGACGAGCGCGAGAGACCGAGATTTGAGCCAACAGCGGCCACTTCAATCGCCGCAGAGAGCCCTGCCACCGTTGCCGTTTGGGTGGTGGCGGCACCCAATTCCTCCTCTTCCTCATCATCATCATTGTCCCCCCCTTCCTCCTCCTCTTCCTCATCCCACCCGTCACCACCACCCCTTCTCCTCTTCCCCCTCTTCTCCCCCTCCCCCTCCTCCTCCACCCCCTGTTCCTTGCCATTCAAGGAACTATTCCCGCGGACGGGGGACTAGTCCGTCCGCGGGCGCTTCGCATCTTCCCGGCCCCTCGAGTCGCCCCCATCCCTATGGGGGCGCTTTTGGGGCCCAGCAGCATTTGGTCCCTGGGGCCATTCGCCCCGACTCCTCCTCTCTCCTCCCTCCCTCTCCCTCTCCCTCTCCCCCCTTCTATCCCTCTCCCTCTCCCTCTCCCCTCCCCTCTCTCCCCTCTCCCCCCCTTCTCTCCCTCTCCCTGTCGCCGCGATCTCTGTCGCGGCTGGGTTGGCCAGCTTGTTGGCCAGAGCCCCCACGTTCGCCGGTCTTTCTTTGCTCCCCCCGATCGCGGTCACGATCACGGTCGCGGTCCCGTTGGTCACGGTCCCGCTCCCGATCACGATCCCGCTCTCGGGGTTCGCGATCTCGGTGTTGGTCGCGACGACGTCCGTCGTCGCTCCCCCCGGCGGAAGCATTGTTGCCCTGTTGGGCACCTTGGTTGGCAGAGGCAGGGTTGGACTGCCCTAGTCCAGAGCCCTGCCCCTGTGTATTCCCCCTCCCCCGCCTCCGCCCACTTTGCCCGGGTTCGGAGGGGACATTCCCTCCTGGCGATGGGGCGCCACCCCCACCACCGCTCAGGATGTCCTGAAGCCCCCTAGCCCTGCGGCGTTCGTGGTGTTGGTCCAGGCTCTCCCTCCTATTCTCCCTCCCTCCCTGGGTGCCCTGCGCCCTGGACCCACTTGGTCCAGTCGGCGACGGCAATTCGCTCCTCGGGCCGGATGGTGCCGTGTTCTCAAGACCGATAACGGCTAATCTGCTTGGGTGCACATTAACGGTCGGAGAAGTTGCTGCTTGGGTCCTCCCGCTGCCGTTTTGGGCATTGTTAGAAGTTGATGCCGAAAAATTTGTGTTAACGGCTGGTGGGCCGCTCTTTTCGTCATTAAATCCTCTAGCACGATCGGGGTGCATTGGGATGGCAGCGTTTGAACGAGATGGCTGTTGCTGTTGGCCGGAAGAAGATGAACCTGCGGCAGCAGGAGCAGAAGGTGCACCGCCTGGTGCCCGATTATTCAAAGAAAGACTCGTACGAACAGTTCGCGGACCGTTAGGGACGTTCGAGTTGGCTGGGAAGCTAGAATTCTGAGCTGATCCACCGCTTGGTCCTGTCGGACGGCCACTTCGAGGGCCACTGGGGATGTTTGTAGTGTCAGGCTGGTTAAGTCTACCGTGATTGGGATCCTGGTTAAGTCTTCCATGATCTGAGGGTCCTGCAGGAGGCCTATTGCTACCGAATGAGTCTCTGTGACTTTGCCTGTTGCGATCAACATCGCTGCGCGGGCCTGCAGGAGGTCGTGGGTAGTCTCCGTGGTTGTCCATTCGCTGTTCTTGAATGGTGCTCTCACGCTTACGACCTGAGTCGGGGGATCTGGAACGATAATCACTCCCTTGCCGACGTCCGCCTCTTTGTTGTTGGTGCGATTGCTGTGCTTGCTTCGCATTTAGCTCGTCGATAAGATCGGGAAGTTGGTCGCTGCGTTGTTCACGTCCGGAGGCGCGGCTTTCTCTGCGTGGTGAGGCTCCATGGCGTCTACCTTCATTTCTAGAATCGCGGTTATCTTGTCTCCCTCGGCTTTCGGGCTCAGGGCGGTGAGAACCGGGTCGCGGCATTGGGGGCATCGGTGTATTTGGTTTTGCTGGCAAGCTACTCGGTGGTTGCGGCAAAACATTCCTTGTTTCAGCTCTTGAATCTGCTCGCTCGCGGCGGTCATCATGTTTGCCTTGTGCGGAAGAACGGGATTGCTCGTCTCGTCGGTTATCACCCCTATTATCTCGAGAGTCCTTTGAGGGGAAGAGTTCGACCGGAGGCCTTGGCGAGGTGCCTCGTCGCTGTTCTTGACTGCTAGATGGTGCCAATTCGTTACTGCGTGGGGCTCGGCTATCACTTCGGCCACGTGAATCTCGGCTCGGTGTCTGAGAGCGTGGTTGCTGGTGGGTGGGACTTCGTCCAGACCCAGGGTTAGAAATTTCCTTAACTGCCTTCGGTTGTAGAGGAGCAAGTCCAGCAATATTGGACGCAATATCAGGTTTATTGTCCTTGGCAGATGGAAGATCGTCAATTTCTCCGTCTTCAACTTCTTTGCTAGACTTAGTATGCACGGTGATCTGCGATAGTCCATTACTACGGTATGTGTTAGCTAGCTAGTTAGGATTAACCCGGGGCAGAGCTGATATGTACTTCGCAGATTGACCAGGTTTAAGCGGAGTCACTGACGGGTTCAGCGTATTCGACGTTTGTCCACCTTCCTGGGACGCATTAGAAGCGGGTGTTCCGGTTTGACTGGTCGCCGGGTTAGCAGGGCTCTTAGCGCTGCCGTCTGCGACAGACTGTTACACTTTAGTTAGCAAATGTATTCGCGGCTTCACCCGGTGACAGAGTACATACCAACTGGAACTGCTGTACAGGAACCCATTCCTTCTCTTTCTTCTTCAACAAACTCAACAAGGCTGTCGTTGTGATCTTTAAATCCTCCCTCTTCTCGTTCTTGCTTAAGAACTGCACACGCTCGACTAGGTTCTTACCCATCCAATCAACCGCCGGGAAGCTCTTGTTTAGATGCTTCAGGACAATGGTTGCGTTTCTCACATGCATGTAAGAGGTGCTATGCAACAGTTGACGAAGAGCAGCGTGGATTTGTTTATGCCACTTATACAAAACTCGGCGGAAATCTTCATAGTCAAGTAGAGCACCGCCCCATGTCTTTGCAAATCCTGGGAGATTACCTTTCCCGTGGCATTCCTTCTCGAAGGTAGCCTTGCTCCTATGCCATGATGTAAAATCTGCCATGATTTCAGCCAAGAAGCGTCCATAATTTTCGACTTCGCGTTCAGTCGACATGAAAATTGTAGCCTGTAGGATCGTTTTTCCGAATAAATGATCGTAAAGCAGGAAGGTCCAGAACTTGGGAGTACCGGATACATGCATTCTCTTGATAAACTTGGCGCAAAAACTAGCATCGTGCGGGCTAAGGACAGAGCGGGGGAGAATGCAATGCTGAATAATCTGCATGGGAAGTTTTGTCGGGTGAAAGGTTTCAGCTGCAAACCAATGTTGACTCTCTCGGTTAATCCTCTTGACAGTGCTCATCTGCAATCTTATTTGCATCTTCATATCCTGAGACAATTTGTCAGATTGGCTGCGAAGGCGTTCGGTCTCACGCTTTCGGCTATGCGCAGACATGTTTTTATCGGGAATAACGCGGACTATTTCGTTGTTCAAGATTTTGATCTCTTCATCGTACGGAGTTATCGGACAATGAAGTTCATACATCGAGAGTTGCCAAAAGGTAGCATAGAACGAAACGCTGATTTTGTTCCAAGTCTCTCCCGGTAGCGAGGGACGAAGACGCTCCATCAAATCAAGCATGATAGGGGAGAATGGAGAGGTCTTTCCCTCCTCGGCTGGGGGGCTAGGTCCGTCAGTCATAGCAACATCCTCGTCTTTTGTGGTGTTAGTAGCCTCGCCGTTAGCATCAGTCATTACAACTTCGCCATCCGCGTCAACAGTTTTGTCGGTCTTCTGCTTCCCCTGGGAGACTAATTTCTTCTTCGACTCCTGAGACAGTGGCAAAACCTTCTTATCATCCTCGGGGAAAAGCATGCCCTCTCGCTTGAGCATCTCTCGGATGTGCCCACGGCAAAAGAACCATGCAATTTCTGGATCCAGTTCGTATTTTATAATAAACTCGTCGACATTAGGTACGGCTTTAGCCCATTGTTCGAAGTCCAAGGTATAGTTCAGCATATCCATATACATGTTGATGACCGAATGGATTTCGTCGAACATGTTGCCAACTACCTTCGTGGGAACTGTATTGAGGTCTGACCTGTAGATACATTGCTTATATTCACGACCAAGCAAGATCAGGAGTTCGCCGGCGAGTTTATTGTTGACAAGTGCGGTGGCAAGGCGTTTGGCAGACTCGCGAGATGAATAGCGCTTATCTCCAAGTTGTCCAAGAATTTTAGCCCTCAAGTTTTCACTTCCGTAGAGACCCATGATTTGAACGTCGCTTAGGTTTGTCTCGCTGACAATACCAGCCATCGATTTGATCATTTCTTGCAAAACGATAAGATCCGCCGAATTCGCTTGCATCAATTTCTTCATAATATAAATAATGATGGGGGTCGGATCTAGTTCGGAGTAACGTTTGTACAATCGTCCACAGAAAGTCGCCAAAGCTATACAACGTTAGGAGCCACTAATCAATGAAAAGCTGGGGGCGGTTAACATACCTTGTAACCATTTGCTGACCAACAGGCCATCTTGCTGCATCCTGCCTCTATCTTCGCTCATCTTGTTGAGGATAGCATAGGTAAACGCGTCGAAACCGAGCTTTGAAAAGTGTTTAGCTGAATCGACCACACACTCGATAAGATTGTCGTAAGACTCGATCTGGCTGATTGTGACCATAAATGCGGTGACTGGGTTGCTGTATGATATCTTAGACATTCGACGGGCCATCTCGCGCATGTTGGTTGTGGACAATCGTTTCAGGATATTTTTCGTTTCTTTCGTTGCCTCCGCCGCTTTTGACTTAACCTCCGGAAATATATATGGCGCATTCTTTGTCCAAAATGTGTACATTGCCCAACGCGATTCCAATGGGTAAAGCTCCATAAGGGTGTAGATTTCGTTGCCGATAGCTGAATTAGAGCCACAGACAGATAGTGCCGGGAGAAGAAGATAGTTAACAACATTAGCCCAACCGTTACCAACGTCAGAAGCTGGGCCGTGTTCCCTGACTGCGGAGACACCAATGCGAATGAGCTTGGACATAAGCTTGACATCATTAGCAAGCCGAGTCCCGGAAAAGCCTCTGAGTAAAATCAAACAGAGGACACGGACGTCACGTTCCGTTTTGCAAATAGGAAGGTCAGTTGTCCATTCGGGGTCCCAGAAGTAGCGGTATTCGCGGCTAGGATCAGGATCTCTTCCAGGAAAGAACGGAAGGAGGTATTTAGTAATCTTAATAGGTGGTGCAGGAACAAGAGGTTGACGAGGAGCAAAGGCTTGCTTAAGGGCCGGATCAGTGGAGAGGACTTTCCTAGCGCCCAACTCGGCTGTTTGCAATGGCTCAAGAGGTTTGTAAACGTCGTCAATGCAGTGGTGGATGATGCGATGGAGACCATCGGCAACCTCTGGGTGCGGATAGGCGATCTTAGGATAGTTACCAAACAAGAATGCGATTTCTGGTAACGATCCAGCTGCGAGAAGAGCGTTTAAGAGAGCAAGTTTCTGATTTCGCGGTTTGATCGGAGGTGCGGCTGGTTCCTCAGGTTTAGGTTCTTCCTCGGCTTTCTTCGCCTCAGCCGCCGGAGCTGGGCCCTGGCCAGGTCTCGGGGGAGGGACGGTATCGTCGGGGAGGACACTCGCCATCATGAGGGCATTCATGGCACCAGATCGTCCTTTAGAATCGTTCTCCTTCAGCCATTCGTCGTAACCTTCCTTCATAGCGGCGTCGTCAGGTGCGAGATGAGGATACAAATCTCGGAAAGAAATAAAACCGATCTTGAGCAAGATAGCAGTCATTGCTACAAGATTATCGGGCAGTTGATGTGAGAGGCTGTCTAGATCTAGATCCTTCATCATGTAAAATTTGAATTTGTAACCGATGACCTGTGCTGCAACCTTGTTCCCGCCTCGTCGAAGAAGAATATCGCTACCATCTGGAAGTTCGCAAAGAGCTTTGAATCCGTCTCGCTCAAGCCTGTCGAAAAAGTCGTCTTCCTGGTAAAGAGGGCCATCAACCGAAGGGGCATCCTTAGGCCACCATTCACTCTCACGAAGCAATTGAACGAAGAAACGCCAATTGGCGACGACTCCGTTAGCGAAGATGTCAAGAATAACATCGAGAGCACGGTTAGGATCGAGGTCAAAGCAACCTATCAATGATCTAATTTTATCGAGGGTTTCTCCGACACGAGTGAGAGGACCACGTCCGTACTCAGCCATAAAAACCTCGGTGATTAGTTTGGCGAAACCTTCGGTTTCTTCACGCGATAAGTTGTATTTTTGAACTCTGTAAAGAATATTGGTGTGGACTTTGACCTGTCGACCTTTGAAGGAAGAACTAACCAAACCAAGCGCCATCAAAAGCGTATCCTGGAGCTGCAAACGGGCTTCACCAATCCCGATGTAATCTGGAATAAGAGGGGCGATCATCGCTGTGAGAGCTACGTGTTGGTCGTAAAGAGGGACCGTGTCGAGTAAAATGTCCGTGACCTTGAGTTGAGTGACACCATTGGCAATGGCTTCTCGATTAGCCTTGATGGAGTCGATGAGAACGTTAGCTGCTAGGATTGGCGCGATTCTCCCGTCGATGCCAGCGTATAGGACCTCCTGAATGACCATAGTCGGTTCCTCGTAAATATTTGTAGCGGCTGCCGTAGTAATCTCATTGACGACTTCGGAATGCCCGGTAGCAGACCAGGCTTCCAACCTTGAAGGTGTGATCCATAGATATCCTCGTTGGACTCCGGCGGAAGCGTTAACCTCGGGTACCGAAGGAGTTTGCATAGCGGGCGTCGACATCATACGTGATGGAGGAGGGATAGAAGGTGTTGGTGTTGATGGGGGTTGGAAGGCCGGCTGAGCAGGCTGACTCTGTCGAGGGGACTGAGCATTGGACTGGGAAGAACCAGGTCTCGGCGGCTGTGGCCTTCCAGGTGGTGCACCACGGTCACCAAAGTTTGAGCCACCTCGACCTCTGTTGTTGCTATTGGCGTTGTTGTTCTGGTTGCGACGATTCTGGTTATCCTGATCCCTCGGAGAGGGTTGCGGTGGTCGCCTGTCGTGACTGGGTGATGATTGGTAGTGGTCACCGCCACTATGGCCTCGTTTTCGCTTACCGCCACCAGGAGCCATCTTGTGATATTAGTTATTATGTTATGAAAAGGTTCTGCGAAAGGAACCGTTGCAAGGGTTTTTTCTCTGGTAGAAATGACGTCGTGCTCGCGACGTTGCAGGATGTGTTATCGGGTTCTGCAATTGCTCGTTATGATGGATGGACTGAAAAAAAAGCAATATGGGTATCTTCAGCGGATGGACGGATGAAAAGAAGAATGGAGCAGATGCAAATGCAGAGAGTCTATATCATTCCGAGGAATTGAAGCAGCGAGGTCCCAGACCGTTAGTTGACGATAAAAGGAATCGAAGACGATTGAAAGATCGTAAAGAAAAGAAGAAGCCGCCAGGACCAGAGCAAGAAGAGCAGGACCGGGAAGAAAGATGAAAATGGAAGTAGAAGGGAAGACTATGAAGAGAGAAGACCAGATCGTCAGCCACATATCTTTGCCGTGTGGACGGACGAGGAGATGATTTGATGGATGGGAAGTCGACGAACCAAACAAGTTGCGATGGGGTTGTTGCTTTTAGCTAAAATCGCGAAGAAAGACGGACGCCGAGGGAATAGATAAGGGAGCACAAGGCAGAATGAATTCGAGAGATCTCGAGAGGGAATAATAGAAAGCAATGGGAGCCGAAAAGGATAAGAATGGTGATGATACGATAGAGTGGGAGGTGTCTATCGTGGATGAAGCTGTTGGTTGGTTGGTGTCGATGGCGATGGATGGTGATGAGGTGAGGTGAAGTGAGGTTGGTTGGCGGAGGAAGATGGCTTGATGGAGTGTTTTGAGGTTGGTCGAAAAGTCGTTGTTGCTGGAATCCGTCGCGTTCGAACGAAAAGCCCGACAATGGATAGGTCACGTGAGCACCTTTTTTAAGCACGACAACACATTATCATTTTCATTCAGGGATTCGCTTTCTTTTTGATTTTCCGTCACTAGACTAGGATTAGACCTAAATATGCATACAAATCCAGCACTGTTACTGAAGTGGGTAGCTGATACTCTAGTTTGTCAGATACATGTGTAGTGTACCACGGCATGGAGAAGGTGGATGACGTTGGACTTACTCTATAGCATGTGTTGCTGTGTTGTGACATGTGTTGTAGCATGATGTCAATAGGTGGCATGGCCAGTGTGTTGTGTGTTGTGTGTGTTGTTGGGGTCTATTGGTCGTGTGGCTGCTGTAGAGTGGTGTGGCTCAGCCACGTGATGCCACTTCCCCCACCACCAATAGTTAGCTTAGCCTAGCCTTAGCTTAGCTCCCTGCAGCGCTGATACCCCTCCAGTCCCTCATCCATCCATCCCACTCATCCACCTCATCCCAGATCCTGTCCCATATCTGTCCCCAACGTCATCACTACCACTACTAAGTACCCATATACAGTATGTCTGCCTTCTACTCACCTTCTAGCTCTCGACATATAAAGTATATACTAAAACTACTTCTATCCGTTCCAGCTAAATACCATAGTACTTTACAAATACCTACGTAACCTTCCAAAGCATCAAACAAAACGAACCAAAGGAAGGAAGGAATCATGGCTGCCACAGTCCGTTCCATCTTCTCCGACCTCCGCGATCGCATAACCCCTCCAACTCATACCTCAACCTTCCTCACAACCGGGAAACTAACACCCGAAGAATTCGTCTCCGCCGGTGATTACCTAGTCTACAAATTCCCAACCTGGTCATGGTCTTCGGCTGCTCCCGGGAAGGCAAAAACCTATCTACCCTCGGATAAACAGTTTTTGGTCACAAAGGGTGTCCCTTGCCATCGTAGATTAGACGATAACTTTGCTGGATCGGCCGGGTTAAATGATAGGGTTGTTGAAGGTACAGAAGGAGGAGAGGGAGAAGATGAAGGGTGGTTGAGTACTGGTGTTACGAAGAACGAAGAAGAAGGAGCGTCGACTGCTAAAGATGTCAGAACGGTCGATGATAAAGGCCGAGTTGAGGAGAACGATGATTCGGAAAGTATAGGTGATATGGAAGATGAGGAAGATGACTCCGAAGCTATCATCCGGGATGGCGATAACACTAAGACGTAAGTACCCTAACCTCTTATCACACACCTATCAAATAGATATACACATAAGTATAAGAGGCGTCATATATTGATACACAAAGTAGACCCCTCCGAACCTACACCCTCTACATAACCTATTCAACCTATTATTCCACCCCTCGATTATACCTAACTGGTCAACATGGGTCAACCTCCACCCCTCTCACCCACGCCGAAATGATGCAAGACATTGTAGGAGACTACCAAGACAAAACCGTCACAATCGAAGAATTCCCTTTCCTCGAAGGAAACCTTAAAATGCCTTCGGTACACCCTTGCAAGCATGCTAGTGTCATGAGGTTACTATTAGATAGAGCCAACGCTGCTGCAAAGGCAAAGAAGAGAAGAGAGGCCGAGGCTGAGAAGGGGGCCGAGAGCGGTGGTGAGACTAGGGAGGAGAGAGAATGGGAAGAAATTGATTATTCTAAAACATTGGCCGAAGCCAAGGAGGAAGAGAACGACCAGCAGGGTAAGGCCGAGGGCAAAGCTGTTAATCCAGGTGACGAGGCAATCAGAGTAAGTTCCCTTGCTATACACAACGATATATCTTCGAGAAAGTCACTAATATCATATAGGCCGACCAATATCTTGTTGTCTTCTTGAAGTTTATGGCTAGTGTAACACCGGGCATTGAACACGACTACACTATGGGTCTATAACTCGTCTTTCTCTTGATCATTTTTTTTGTTTTTTGTTTTTTGGTCTTGGGCAAGGCAGACACTTTATAACTACCTACTCACTTAGGTATCCTAAGTGATTTTTTTTCGTATTGGCGGAAGGGAATTAGGACTGGGCGGTGTCATTGGAGAATATCATTAATTCGGTTTTGTTTAATGTATGAATTGCAGCCTGTATCAGGAATGGGTCCTTTTGAAGAAGGAATACAAATAGCATTCTTCTGATCTTCTATAAAATACTTATTTATAACTACCTAACTCACGCTAAATACTAAATGCCTAAGTACCTACTTGGTATACATCACATGTGACGATTTCTTAAGTATGTAATTGTAATTGGGGTGAAACTGTGTCTTCAGATCAGCCACAATCCGGTCCGAGAGCCGTTTAAAAGCTTGTCCGCCAACATCCACTAAGTGCTTCCTTCCCGGCCCGCTTACCTAGGTACCTAAGTACTCTGTATATAAGGAGGCTCAGATAAAGGTCACGGAGATACAAAAATCCCGTCTTCCGTTCCCCCCAAATAGGCCAGCTTGCTGTCAATATAACTGGCTAGGTAAGTAACCGGCCATTTTAATACATAATATACACGCACTGAAATGTGACAGTGATATGGTCAAAGCGAGAGAGACTTCGGTTGAGAGAGATGCTCTCAGTTTGTCAGCCCGATTTGTCGGATGAAACAGAAACATGTTCCCTAATCTCAGCCAAGACTTGTATATGTACTTGGTACTATCAATCGATATGTTTATATCGTCATGATGATATCTACTCGAGTATATATAAAGTCATGGTCGATATTTTGAGTGTTCAATTTGGTGTTTCTTTGTTATCCATCTCCAGTACCAAGTACTCGTATATCCTAAGCTCAGCCACAATCATCGTCGACTACCATCACTACCATTGCATGTACATACTACAAGGGCGACACTGAGCTATATCACGGGTAGATATATACCCAAGTACCCAGATACCCAGCTATACTCGCAGTTAGTCCCCAAGAGCTTAAGAGTGAGTTCAATTCAGCCGTCGTAGGTTAGGTCCAAGGCTGCCTTTCAGTCCACCCCGCGAGCTGTCTATTATAACTTACTTCCCCAGCTGCCATTCTGTTCTCAGCTTTCTCTTTCCCTCCTCCCCTCCCTCCCTCCCTCGACATATAATATTCAGATGCTTCGACTTGCCTCATCGATATCGCCGGTTTAAGCTTAATCCATTCCTGTGCATGTATACTTATGTATATGAACTAAGTAAGTAATGTATACATGGGCTGTAGGTCTGATCTGATTCGGTGCCTTCCAGATTTTACCGAACGGTCGGTCGGCCCATTGCAAGCTAAAAGTGCTCACCGTTTACCTGCAACTGCACCGCACTGCACCGCACCGCACACTGACGTTACATTACGTTTCGTTTCGTTCCTTCAATTCCATCCCATCTTCCACCATCTATCACAAACCTCTACACTCTACCAACTACCCCCCCCCCTGCTGCGACTTCAATTCTTCTGCCCTTAAGCTTTTGTAACAGATCTAGCCATCTGGCGACTACAGTATTCTTCGTCTGGATAATCTGCGCTTAAAGAGGAGCTAGCTCGAGGAAGAGAGTGTGTGTGTCTACGCGGGAAAAATGACGGACTCGACCACCTCCCTGAACGGCTCCATTCCATCCATCACCACCACCATCTCCGCTCCCCCAGAACCCACAAATTCTTCTCCCATCTCCCGGGCTCTTTCTAAAGCTCGCAAGAAGAAATCCTCCCAAAATCTCGACATTTCCGAGTTCCCAAACCAATCCACTGCTTCTCTCTCTTCGAACGAAACCGGTTCAATCAAGTCCTCTACAAGTTACATTGATAAACTGCGAAAACGTCGTGCTGAACGGAAAGAAAGGAAAGAGGCTGCTACAGCTCTTGATAATCTTCAGAATGGGAAGAGGAGTCGGAGGAATTCTGTTTCCGGTAGCTTTGAGAGTGAAGAGCATGAGGACGATAGGTATGTTTCTTCACTCGTATACCGTATAACCCATCCTTGCCCGTCTTCGTCCGGAACACTCTCCAAAATTGCTTGGGCTTGCCCGGTCCTGCCTGGTCTTACGGGGATGTCGGGTATTTTGCCCTTGTTCGGCCAGATCTATACATCTTTCCCTCTCAAGATCCTTACACGTTATCTATCCTCCAAAAGAGATATGTGTAGCAGTCTCGAGATTGCACACTGGTGCTTTGAGACACTCCTGATACTTCCCACTTGTCGTGTGCTTCTGGAACGATATACGTGCTTCCATATATACACTCCCATCAATTTCAACATCTAACTTCAACATCAACACTATCAACTGTCAATCTCGGTTCTTCAATTGAGAATCAATTGGAAAGAAGAAAGCGAGCTGACGAATTATGTATGATTGATTTAGCATCATAACCTTCGAACCAGGCCTCGTAGCTGCAGACCCCGCCTCCAAATCCCTCGCCTCTACTCCCACCTTCCCAATAAGCATATCTACCTCTTTCGAAGACCCTTCCCAATCCTCGAGAACCACCCAGCTCCAAGTGACCCCAGATGGTCGTCCCGTCCGTCGCTCTACCTCCCCAGTTCATTCATCAGGTTCTCGTGATTCCTCTCCATCTCCTGCAGGTGCAAACGGTCCAGCAACCCCAACATTGGCATCAGGAATAGTTCTCGGCAATATCCTCGGCATGAAGGGAAGACACCGTTCCGATAGCTCCACGTCCAATGCCTCAGGCGGCTCCGGTACGGAAGGCACTCCTATCCCCCGCTCCGTTCCAATCCTTCAACCGAAATCCACCCCCTCAACTTCTATCTCCACCGACGCGGCCGTAACAATCACTAAACCCGACACGGTCGTCACACCTCCTACTCCGATAGAGCCACCCAGCGCCCCTGTCTCAGCCGCAACAAATATAATTTCCCGAAGATCAAGAGGGGCAAGCATCAGTAAGCTTCCCAGTAAGCTCTCACATTCCTCGCTTCCAGAAGAGGGAGGCCTCGGCGTTGCGGGAAGTTACAAACCCCTTTCTCCGACTATCGAAGTCCCCACTCCGCAATCTACACCTACTGTCGGCACAAACGCATCTTCTAATAATAATAATAATAACCCCAACGGGGCCAATAATGCATCTGGCTTCTTCTCTAACATGTTCTCCGCCGCACAAACCGCTGCGTCGCAGTTAAGCAGTACTATTGCCAACACTTCCCTCGCGCCGGGTGCGAAAGGGACAAAAAAGGAACAAGGAGGGACCACCACAAACGGGACAATTCCAACACCAAACTCTGGAACTACAGGCGACATTTCAACATCTTCAGCTCCCGGTACACCTGGCAAGTCTAACTCTGAAGACAGAGATCGTAAACCACTTGCAGTAGAAACACTAGGACAAGGGGAATTAAGTCTAGGATCTTTGGGAATATCAGTCAGCGACGGCAGCGGACGGGAACGAAAGCGGAGAAGTCGACCAAACAGCACTGCCGGCGTCGAAATGCCCGAACCAGCGGTTCTACATGGTCTCGGCCTGACAGGCGAGAAGGAAGAAGAGATTGGACAAATCCCCAAGAGTGCGGGAGGTTTCCTCAACGAAAAGAGCTTTGATACAGTGATCTACGATAAGGGAATCGGCTCCGCCACACCATCTGTAGCAGCGCCTCTAGTCGAAGAAGGAGAGTCTGTAGGCTTAGGCAGACAACGAAGCGATAGTGGACGATCGGTACTAGGGCGTCACGGCAGCAAAAAGCGACGAGAACGAGGAATCAGTGCTGCCACACAAGGCAGCGACTCGTTAACCTCCACACCCGCACTCAACGGCCGTACCGCTACATTCGCACCGGCGACAACCAGACGGAATCGTGACTTTCACAGTTTATTCAAGACGGTCCCTCAAGAAGATAATTTTATCGAAGACTATGGATGCGCTTTACAGAAGGAAATCTTATTGCAAGGGAGAATGTATGTTTCTTCGGGTCATATATGCTTCTACTCCAACATTTTTGGATGGACGACTACTCTTGTCATTTCGTTTGATGAGATTGTGGCAGTTGAACGGAGGATGACAGCGTTGGTTATCCCTAACGGGATAATGATCCAAACTTTACACGCAAAGAACGTATTCGCGTCGTTTATCAGTAGAGATTCAACATACGATTTAATCCTTGGGATATGGAGAACCATTCATCCGAATCTAGTTGATACAATAAACGGCACCCGACTCGGCGATAAAGAAGAAGGAATCAGTGAAGGTGCAGAAGAGGATGACGAAGACGGGAGTGAATACGACGAAGACGATGAATACGATAGTCTTGGAGACGAAAGCGATCTTGAGCTTCCATCTGCTGCAGAGACACCAGTGGTTAAAAGTGTTTCTAAGAAAACATCTACACCTGCTGTTGGCGGTGGTGTTGTTTCACCTGCTCCGGCTGGAGGTGTTGATGCTGGAGCTGCGGATGGGGTATTCCCTGGACCTACCACACATGCACCAACCGTCTGTGGAGACGAAGCTAGTCATTTAGACCGTGCTTTATGCGACGAAACTATTGCGGCACCGCTTGGAAAGGTGTTTTCGGCCATGTACGGTGAATCATCATTACAATTCCTTACCCGTCTACTTTCAGAAGACTGCAAAGTGGAGAATCTGTCCATTCCGGATGCCAAGTTCATTGAAAACGGATCTGCGGATTACCCTGGTAAGAAATCTAGGAATTTTTCGTACGTAAAGCCGTTGAATGCGAGCATTGGACCGAAGAGTACGAAGTGTTTGATTACGGAAGTTGTGGAGCAGGAGGATTTAGAGAAGGCGGTGACGGTGGTGACGTACACGCAGACACCGGATGTGCCGAGCGGTGGGGTGTTTAAGGTACTCACGAGAACTTGTTTGATGTGGGGGGATGGGAATGGGACGAGGGTTGTGATGAATTGTACGGTTGAGTGGAGCGGGAAGAGTTGGATTAAAGGTAATTTCCCACGTTTTTGATATTTTTCATTTAGGGATTTTTCTTTTTTTGCTAATAAAATGTAGGACCTATCGAGAAGGGAGCTTCGGACGGACAGATCTCTTATACGAAGGATTTATTGAACGCCTTACGTCGGGAATTTGCACCCAAAAAAGCTGTCGCAGCGGGTGGGAAAGGTGGGAAGAGGAAACGAAAGGCGGGTGGAGATGCGGCTGCTGCTACCGCTGCTACTTCTGCACCTGTGAAGCCTTCTTCTTCCAGCGCGGCTCAGAAGTGGGGTATGCTCGCGCCAGTTATGGAACCCATTTCCTCAATGGTTGGAGAATTTGGGGCGGGAATATTGGTTACACTTGTTGTTGTAATGCTCAGTATGAGTCTTAGCCGCGCGATATTTGGAGATCCGTCTGCTGGTGGAAGAGAAAGAGGGTTAAGAAAGAGTGAGAGGGAAATATTGGCGGAGATGTGGTTGAGAGAGGAAGCTGGGCTTTGGGAGTGGCTTGAGGATAGAGCGGGATTGGAGGAAGTTATATCACCATTTGAGGAAAGGGTTGGAAGACGGTACGGATGGGAAGCAGCGGCGATGAAAGAGGGGATTAAAAGACAAAGTGGGAAGGTTGATAAAAGGATGGCGGATAGGATGGTGGAGGAAGGAATTAAAGTTACTGAAGAACGGTTGGGGGTTTTGAAGAGGGTTAATGAGGAGAGGAAGGGGTGTACGTGTGGGAATGGAGGGGTTTGCAGATGCGAAGGGGGGTGTAATTGCGCGAAGAACGACGCTGGTGGTTCCGGGTGTCAGTGTGGAAAGAATGGGGGAAGTTGTCAATGTGGGAAGAATGGGGGAAGTTGTCAGTGTGGGAAGAATGATGCGGCCGGTGGTGCTGGGTGTCAATGTGGAAAGAACGGAGGAAGTTGTCAGTGTGGAAAGGTTGGTGGGAAGGGATGCGGGTGTAAGAATGATAGCGCGAGGGTGATAGAACAGCAGCAGGAAGAGAAGAAGGGAGGGTGTGGGTGTAAGGCGAAGAAGGCAGTCGACGGGTGTGGGTGCAAATCCGGGCAACTGTGTAGTTGTAAGGACTGCAAGTGTGGAGGAGGTAGTGGAGCGGAGAAGGTTCAAGTGAAGCAGGAGCTTTGAATGTTCTCGTCTCCTCCTTCTTCTATCATCCTCCTTCTATCAGAACGTTAAGTATGTTCTGGGGAGGGATTGTACGATGGGAGCCCAAAGAAAAGAGATTGGCGATTTGTGATATTAGTTTGACTGCTTGGAACTCGACTTGCAATTGTGGCATGGGGTTTGGGTCTTTCTTTTTTGATTCGGTTTATTAGGCATACATGCATAGCATTTGGATGTGCATCTCTTCTTTTCGGCAGGCAGGCAGGCGAGGTAGTTATTGTCAAGGCGGGATCGAATAGGTTGGATATACTTTATATTTTATTCCTTTATCTTTTACTTCTTTTTCCGCTTCTTCTTCTTCTTCTTCCTCTTACCCAGATTGTAGGCGTTTCTATTTCTTCCTTCTTCTTTCTTTTCTCTCTTTCTCGTTTACTTCTATTCTTTTGTGACTGTAGCTATAGATCTTTCGGCGAGGAGGTGTAGATTTAGTGTATCAATCGAAAAAGAAATTGTTTATATACCCTATTTTATATTCATTTTGAACTTGAACTACACTCGAGGATCGGGATACGATCCGAACAGGAAAAGACGGCAATTGATCAGTTGCGTCTTTGGCTATACAATGCAATGTTGGAAGTTCAGGGCCAAAGTGGTAACATGTTAACATCGAGGCTGTCGTCTATCATAAGCACTCCCTTCAATCATCTCAACTTCACATACCCATAGAAGAGGTATATATAAGATATATAAAATGCCAACCCTCCTCTCCCTCCCCGCCGAACTCCGTCTCAAAATCTACTCCTACCTCCTAACCACCCCCTCTTACCCCCCTTCATTCTCCTACCTCAACAACCCCCGTTCCCAACGTCCCAAATACCCACGTTTCATCGTTCAGTGTCCACAGATCCTAAGAGTAAATCGACAAATACACGACGAAGCTTCGCAGGTACTTTATGGGGGGAATGAGTTTGTGGTATGGATCGGAGTACTTGGGGAGTGGTGTTCTAACGGTGAGGTTGAAAATGGAAGGAAAGGGAAGGTGATTGGGTGGTGGAGTTGTCCGTGGGAGGGTTGGGGGGTTGGAGTGCAGTTTGAAGAAGGGTTTTGGGAGTATGTATATTTCCTTCTATCTTTGATACTTTTTATATATAGAAATCGTGATCTATAAGAGGGTGGGTGTACTAATTAAGTGGTATATTTATATATATAGGAAATACCACTACCGCCAATCACCGGACACAATGCTGATAAAATACTATCCAAACGGCTATTTCGACTCTTCAATCCCTTCCCTCTCGAATAATAATATATCACAAACCCCTCTCCTCCCTTCAAAATACAGTCAATTAATCAAACACCTCAGAATAGAAATTTTCGAAGAAAGAATAACTCCGGCATGGAATATCCCTTACAATCCCATAAAACTCTCGATGCAGGGTTATAACCCACAATACCTACTTTTACCGATCTATAACCGTCTTGACCAGTTACTTTTTAAAAGTAATAACGGTTGTGGTGTAGATGTAGATGTAGGTTTAAAAATATCTGTTCATGCGGCTTTGACATCTGATCCGGAGTTTTATTGTGGTGGGAGGTGGGATGAACAGGAAGGGTTTGAATGGGCTGTTAGGGTTAAACCTACTTTTTTTGGAGTATAAAGGGTTGATACAGACGGTTTGGGGGTTTACGAGGGGGGGATGGAGGAGGAGGAGGAGGAGGAGGAGGAGGTATACTATTAAGATGCCGGAGATGTTAGAGGAAATGTTCGGAGGGGGGGAAGTTGTAGAGAAGGTTTTGGCGGAGTGTGATGAAGTTGAGATGAGAGAGGGGAGGAGGAGGAAGAGTGAAGTGGAGGTTAACGTTGGGATGGTGGAGTGGGGGATGTGGGTTAGAAGCGGGGGGAGGAGGATGTTCGTTCTGAAGAGTATTCGGGGTTAATATAATATAATAAGACTTACTCTGTCTATATCGAAGTATCTGTCGCATTCACATACTCCAATCGATCTCATTCGAAGGTACACCGCCCCCCGCATGGAACTGTTCATATTCGGCTAAAAACAACGCGGAAACGTTACCAAAAATGCAACAATGACAGCTGAAACATAGTCGTCGGGTTAAGGCGATGCGAATGTAACGTGATAAAGATACACTAGAGGTCTTAGACGTGTGTATAGTATACTTACAAGCTTTAAATTTAATATTTGGGTAGAAAATTAGGTCAGGGTATGCGGGTAGTAGCTCTGTATAAGGCTCCTTTTTGTACATTTAGTAAGATTTATAATTTAAAAAGGCTAAGGAATATCCGAAGGCCTTGAGGATGCTTTTTGTTTACTCTTACGTTTCGTTTTATACAACTGGGGCTATAAGGCTGGCTTGTAGTTTCTGGATTTAATCGGATCAAGATGCGAGATGATATCATTGATCGGGAAACTTGGTGGGTCAGTAATATCAATCGGGGTTTCTCCTGGTATACTTTGAGGACCTATACTAATTAGTTTTAATTATAAAGCGTCCTCCGTACGAGGGACGGCAAATGTGTTCCGGGATGGCTATGATATTTAAAGTTCGTGTATTTGACAAAGCGGATAAGACGGCATTGATTTTTGCTTCGCAGTATCTGGGCGAAAATTGGATTTGTATATATATATATATATATATATATATAAGTATACTGATGTAATGTTGATCATTTCTGTTCTGTAGGACTTTGACAGTTTGGATCTTGGATGTGAAGGGAAAGATATTTTTTATCTGTCACTCGTTAGATTTTATATTGATATTCATATCATATTCATATTCATATTCTCTCTTTTCTCAAAATTTGAGGCTCTTATATTACTTTTTTATATATATCCTCAATTGACATTACTTTATTACACCTTCCCTCATTCCTTAAAAAATCCAGAAAATGAAATTCACAGTCCCCTTCTTCTCGATTCTAGCCATAAGGTAGTACCTTCAATCATCTCTCTAACATATAATAACAGTCGATCAATTACTAACTTCCTAAAAAGTACCACCGTCCTGGCTTATGGCTACGGCGACGAACCAGACGAACCAGCCCCAAAGTGTACAAAAACAATTTCCAAAACAAAGTGGATTACAAGCCGGGTTACAAGCCGGGTTACACAACCCGTGTACATCACCAGATCGATCCTAGTAGCAACTACCATAACAAAGTATGTGACTTCTACTGTTGCAGCTGGTAGCGAGACGGAGGAAGAGTAAAGTGTGTGTATTCATATGCTTGATTTGTTAAATGTATATACACCACCATTACCCATGTATATCAGTACCTATGTACATAGATATATATATATATATAGGTCTATACCTAAGACTGGTCTGGAGACAAGACCTAAGACTAGTACGAGAATATCTACCGATGACGGTTCAAATCCTCAATATGAATCGTCAAAACACCACTTTTACTCTCCACCCCGACCTGAATCACAAACTTCTCCCCTTCCTCCCCAGGCACCATCAACAAACTCTTCTTCGCTCTAAACCTCCTAATCCACTCTTCAAACTCTCCCAATGTCATCCCCTTCTCCTTCCCAATAACATCACCCTGCTGGACTAACACCTGATAAGTCGAACTGGCTCCACAGTTCCTATTCATCAGGTATTGTAATCTAATCGTCCTCTCCACGGGTTTAAGACCATCCTCTGTGCTAGTGTCCGGAATTATCAACGGTTCATTTTTGTATAATATAAATTCTTGGGTGTTTTCTAATAGTCCACTTGGGATTTCATATTTTTTGCGGGGACGTTTGGTGCCGCTTAAGACTATTTTCTTGGTTTTGGGATCGATGGTACGGTGGAAGGAACCGGTACAGTTGAAGAGGGCGGAGTGGATTAGGAATGGAGCTGATGATGGAATTAATTCTGTGCACCAGTCTTTGTAGGGTTTGGTTATTAACGGTGGGGCACGGTAGAGGAGGGATTTTAGAATGTCGATTTTTGATTTCCAGAAGATTGAGACGAGGCGGAGGGTTGGGTATTGGGTTGGAGAGGAGGATTCGAGGATTAACAGTTGGAGTTCGGGGGGGAGGGAGGACATGGGTAGGGATTGATGAGGCTGTGGGGTTTTAAATTTTGGGATTTTTGAAAGACGTTTAGAGGGGTTTGAGGCTTTGAAGTTTTATGTATGATTCTTTTGTAGATGTTGGAGTTTGAGGTTTCGCGAGGGGATCGCGTTTTATGTCGAACGTTGGATGGTTTGGGGTTACACTTTACTCGATTGGGAGGGGATTTGTACCTGCGCTTTGGTTCTAACATAACGTCACGTTGGAGACATCACTTACACTGGCATCGTGATATATTATACCAATATCTATTGAAGTAATTGAATATATTGTTTTCTTAACTGAGTACTTGTATATAGTAGTGTACACCTAGTATAACTAATTAAATACCATGTTAATCCTAGATCTATAGAATTCTACCGCAGGAATGTTGATCGATTTAAACGTTTCAACATGGAATCGAATCTAACAAACTCCCAATTCCTTCCAATTGCCGATTCTGGATCTACCATTCACAAGACCGCCTCATTTTGGTGGTCAGCTGACTAAAAGAAAGAAATTCTATTTTCTACTATTTTCTTGAAAGAAAGCGCTAGATCATGAGGCTGAGATTCCAAAGTTCAAGAAAGAATAACCGACCCGGTGCCAACTAACCCCAAGCGTATTCTATCCATACTAGTATAGTATACATATACACAATCAAGTTTGCATGAATACCCTTTTCCTTTGAGAGATCACAAAGACAAATTCCTGTAAAGGATTATAATTACAATATACTACGTAATATATGGCAGAATGAGGCGTCGTCCCATTTGTAATTAACTTGCGACACGGCCTACGATTGAAATTGATTGAGAGAAAAGAAGAAAGCCATGATTTTACGGAGAATTCTTGGGCCACGTTTGGTTCCAAGCTATTTTAAGCATTTCTCTTCTTTCTCTTCTTTCTTCGCCGAAACTTTTGCATATTACGTGGAGACTTGGTTAATAGGAAGTTTTTCTCGTATTAAATTCCGAAGACCCTTTTTTCCCAATACAAAGTTTTGTATCTTAATAAATATTTCTTTTTTTCTTTTCGAATCGATTCAGAAAGAGGGAAAAGGGAAAAAAGGCCAAATTGGTCCATAGTTTGCCCAGCGCTTGCACAAGGTCATGCGATTGGTCGAATAAGCCATGACTTGCAGGTGGATTCCCAGCAACCTGGTGGAGATCCCGTTCAAGAAGCAGGGGAGTTACCGCCCGTCGATGCCCAGGCTTCGATTGGCTGAGACGCAATCTTGGTCGGTTCTGATATTTTCTGTCTTTCTTTCTTTCTCTTTCTCTTTCTTTTCTTTTTGGTGCTTTTGTGTCTTTTTATTGTTTGTAGGTGCAGGTAGACATATGGAGTCAGAAGAAAGAAATGAGACTTTGACTCGTGCGAGCGAATGGAAACGAGGCGCTCATGGTTAGTACCCGGCCGGCCCTTTGCAGAATGATTCTGCGAGCCAGGGTCCTTTCCCCCCTCCTTCGTTCGAAGACAAGCTGTTGGATGGTGTATTTGTATGGGTTATGTATCCCGTGATATCATATGAGTTGAATGATATATATACCTATATATATATATATATATGTATTGGCTGTAGGGCTTCCCCCGGGACGAGCCTCGATCGAAGCGCTGACTCGCTGGAAGAACTTCGAGCTAACCTAGACTTTTTTTTTGTAATGTTTAAAATTTCCGGCATTGATCTCGAATACTTAGCCGTCCACGTACATATTCTCATACAGTTTTGTTTGCACTGCCCGTAGTAAATGAACTATTTTGAAAGAGCGAAAGAAGGTATTTGGAAGTTCGAAACAGCTGTGCATATTGATTGATTTCGCAAGTACTACATCAACAAACAAGTATATCTAACTGGATTCGAAAGGAAGGCTCGTTAAAAGTTAACTTGTTTGTGGGAATCAAAGGCGAACTGTGGGGTATTCCTTGATTCGACTTACCCTTTCTTTGGTGGGATTCTGTCCGGAAGGCGTATTTTAGTCAAGGGCGCTTAAGTTGTCGCTGCAATTTCATAAGATCAACGAGGGCAAGCTGTATGCATATGATATGCTATGTCATCGGGAGAGGTAATAGGTAGTTGCTGCCTACAAGGCTAAGACGGACAATGCAATCACCAGATTATATTGTGAAAAGCAACCTCTTTTTCTTTTCCCTCTCTTTCTCTCTCTTCTCAGTTGAGTACCTGGTATAGTAGTTGAGCAGTTGAGTATAGATTTTGGTAATATAATAGAAGTTTTGAAGTATTTGTACTGGAGAACAGGTGTTCTGTTGATAACTCCAATACTAATTCATCTCCAACTCAACTCAACTCGACTCAACTGAACCAAACTAAACCAACTTCAACAACATCCGACACAAACGCTTCATCGAACTACCCTTCTCCGGCCTACCTCTGCGACACCATCACTCCGGATCAGGAACGGTCCATCCGCCATAAATAAAGAAATAAATATAATAAAAGAAACCGAGAAGCATCATCGAAGCCAGTAAGTGCAGTTTGATCACAGTGCTTGCAGAAGCTGCTACGTTCTCCGTGTCTGTGTCTGTGTGTGTGTGTGTGTGTGCCTAGCTTGGCTAGCTTGCCTATTGTCGCTGTTCGGTTGGCTATTGTTTGCAAGCGTCCTCCACCGAATCAGCTGGTCAGAAAGCAAGAACAATCGACATTGTTCGACCGAAAGAACCCCCTGTTCATTGTTCATTGTATTATATTACACGGTATTGTGTCAGTCGGTCAGCCCAGCTGGTGAGATCCCCCTTGATATTTCAGCCAGTCACAGTTCATATCCCCTGTTCAAACCCGTTCAGCAACTGTCGAGGCGCCGACGGTTTGGGTCCGGCAAGGACGTTAGTTCATTTTCAGAACATCCAACAGACGGTACGTACGTACTTACATACATACTGACTGAACGGGGGTGGAGAGGAGGGGCTCTGATGCATATCATTGTATTGTATTCCAACCTATTCTTACTTCTTCTGACATACATACATACACACCTACATTACATGCATCCAACTCCACTTCTTACCAACAATAACTACTCCTCCTCCTCCTCCTCCTCCTCCTCCTCCTTCTAAGATTCGGATTCGGATTCAGATTTAGGTTCAGATTTAGATTCGGATATACCAATCTCTGCCTCTCTGTCTCTCTTGTCCCGTATCCTTTCTTTTAACCAGCATAGCTCCGTCGTTCCGCGTTTCTCTGCTTTCCTCTCCATCCTTTGACTCCTTCCGTTCTTCTTCTCTTCCCTTCTATATTGCCCCACGTTCGACTTGAACCACATTTAAAAGCCTCCTGCTTGCCGCCAGACTGCTGGCCAGTGCCTGCATCTTCTTCGTTCTGATACACTTTATCGCTCACATCGACAAGGTACCAGCATCACCGGTCAGGGATTCTGCATAGGCCACGCTGCTGCAATCCTCTGCATGGTTAAAAGAGGCAAAACTCATCATCCGACCAGCTGTTGAATACATTTTACCTTACCTTACCTTGCCTTACCTCACCTCACCTTACATTACATTACGTCTAAGCACTTGCAGAACCTCCGCTGCCTTCCTTTAATTCTCATTCCTCCTCTTTTTTTTTTTTCCCTTCTCTCTCTCTTCCTTGATTCGATTCAGACGGGAAACAAAGAAAGAAAGGATCTAATCTTCTTCTTTTTTACTAACTAGATTTTTTAAACTGCCGAATCACAGGCTCGCTGGTTCGAGCTAACCGCCCTTCTCTTACGATCTCTCTGCACGGCACTGCATACTCTCTACGTCCCGCCCTCGTCTCCTCGCTCTGTCCAACTGGCTAGTTTGAATTACTCGCCCGACAGATTCACCATAACTCCATTCGTCGTCGTTCTATCTCGATAAAAATAAAACTACTGGGTGGCTTCTCCGACAAGGCATGAATTAAGGAGGAAGGAATTCCCAAATTCAAGATCCCCACACAATACTTTTCCTTCTTTGGCTTCTAAAACAGAAGAATTTGGAAAACCGTTGACCATGGAAGCCGCACCTCTGACAAGGGTACGTACCATTCATTCTTTCATTCTTTTCGTTTTTATGACGCCGCCTGGCACCTGTCTGGCAGGTGTTCGGTACCGGAGGTACTACGGAACATGTGTTCGAATCAAAAAACGAACTAGAGAAACAATCAATCCTACAATTGAAATACAAAATACTTTTTTTCCTTCTCTTTCTCTATTCCAAGTTAATGAACTTGACTTGCTGACTGACGTCTTCGATATTGTTTGTTACCCCCCCTCTTAGGCTCACGCACACGCTTCGAAAGCCACCCACCAGCAGACCCTCCACAACTTCCAGCTCGCTTCGCAAGAACATAAGGACGCTGCCGAAGAATTCGGAAAAGCTGAGCAGGAAACCCAGGACCCTGAGGTTAGTTCTTCATTTCGCATATTTCTGCTGTTTCAAAAAAAAATAAAAATTGGGACAATCCTTTTTTTCCCTTCGCTTTCTTTATTTCTGCATTTCGCATTCTCGAAGGGCCTGTCCGGTACCGAAAGCCCCTGCTCGTCCCGGCTGTTTAAGTCGTTGTTCGTGGCTTGAATGGGGTGGTGTCCGGTTCCAAGATCTCGGACCCGCCCATAAAACCTTCACCACCTCACCACACCCACTTCGGACTATTTCTTTTCGATTCTGCATGTAATCTCATTCTGTACTCGGAGTCTGTTCGCAAAAAAAAAAAGTCTGATCATATATTATATAGTCTCATACCCCCTATTCGACTTCTGTCACTTATAGCAATTTTGTATCCTTTGGCGGGAGCGTTCACAAGCTGGTCAGCACAAGTAATCTCATTTAAATGACATTTGAGGCTTCAAACTTGAAACACGCTAACAAGCTATATTATTTCGAAACCCACAGGCTCTTCGAACTCTCGCTTTATTACAACAGCACCACCGGGACCTATCATCTAGATTGCTGGCATCTACCGTCCAAACTCCTCCAACTCCTCCTCCAAACCAAACATCATTTTCTACCAAAGAATCAACAATGGCGAAACCGGTAACAACCAACGCCACTACATTTTCCCCGCCTACGTCACCCAAGCACCGGCCTCCACCGCTGTTTGGGCCAGAATCGAATAGGCCGGAGTCCCCTCAGTCGGATAAGCCTAAGATGTTCTTCCAACCATCTACACCGACCACTCCTAGCACTTCGGATAACCCGTCCCATCCGTCAGGTACGAGGAAGGTAGCGCCACCGCCAATCCCACTACCCTCGCCTACATCCATCACTACTCAAACTCTCACATACACTTCTATGCGAGATGGACCGGTTCTACCTTCTCCCAATCCGTTCCAACTAGCTCATGAACTTGCCAATGCCAGAGGTATCCGTTCTCCGGTTAGAGGCCGAAGTCCGGCGAATACGGGCAATGATAGGAATTTCCTGCAGGTTCGTGAGCCGGAGCCAGGTGCCCGTGCTGCTAGTGCAGGTGGGACGGTGAGGGGGACGAGTCCGGTATTATTGAACGCACCACCGAGGAAAGAGAGGAGAAAGTCGGCCAGTGCCACCAGTCCTGTGGTTGGGCCGAGGGAGGCTCTTCCTTTCGATTCATTCAAGGGCCCAGCTCTTGGCGAAGGACCTATCAGACCTGCTGTGAAGGAGTACGAATCTTCCTCAGCTAGGGGTACCAGTCCTAAACCGCCAAAGCTGGATATGGCCTTCACAAAGTTCTACAGCCAGTTTGAGGAATATATTGAAGCTGTCGGGAACCCGTTAGCATTTGCCGGGCTACCGTTGGATGGGGATCTGTCGAGCATGGACCCGGCATTGAGAAAGGCTGTAGCTGACAAAGGTGCCGCCGAGAGCTTTTATGTCGTGCCGACAACCGGTGGTACGATGTCGTACGCTGGGATCCTAACACGGAACCAACAGCAACAGCAACAAAAATCTAATAGTGGTGATAAGAACGAGCCGGCAGCTGTTCTTACGGTAGGACAGAAGCCAGCGGACAAGATGATCAGCTCGAAGACCCGAGAGGAGCTGGAGCTCGAAAACACTCAGCTGAGGCAGCTCACCGACATGATGGCACACAAACTACATACATGGGAGACCAGTGCGAAAGTGAATGCCGCAAAGATGCGGGAAAGCTTGCAGGTACTGAAGGAGACGAGCCACAACAGCCCGGTAGCAGAGGAAACCGATCGTGGATTCGGTAAACTAAGGATGGGCGGACGCTCGCCGTTGAAGTTGGGGGGTGTTAGCACGGGCAAGACGGAAACACAGATCTTGACTCTACCAGACCGACAGACAGAATCGGAGTTACCTCCAACTCCAAGGTTAGCGCCTAGGACACTAACACTTCCTGGAAGAGGTGCAGCGGACGATTATGAGCCCCCAAAGACTCCGAGATTCGGTGGAGGATTCCCCAAAGATTTTGATGACGACAAACCGACCAAGTCGAACCGTGCTCTTTCACCGAATCCAGCCGGGAAGGTTCGAGGTATTTCACCCCTTCCGGGTTCCTCGAAACCGAGAGCGTTGTCGCCGGCCCCTTCGGTTCTTTCGGAGAACCCATCGTTTGATGAGCTTCAAGCCGAGGTTGCAAGGTTACGGCAACACGAAACCAAGATCTTGAAGGAGAACGATAAGCTAAAGACTGTTGTGGGGAAGTACCGAGATCGATGGGAGAAATTGAAGGAAGGGGCCCGCGCTAGAAGAGCAGAGCAAGAAGACGGTGAAAGCGTCAAGTCTGAGGCCACGGATTTCAAAAGCAAGATTTCTGTGGACAATTGAAGCTTTCACTATTGATTTTTCACTTCAGCGAGAGGAGAGAAAAAAAAACCTTCCCCATTATATATTTATTTTTTTGTTAACGTCATTCACGACCCTCATTTCATATTGGCGTTTATCGGTTTTCTTTTTTTATTATTATTATTCTTTTCCTTCGTTTCTTTTGTATACCCTTTTTTTTTTTATTAGTTGCATTATCTTTTTTTTTTTTCTCTTTTCTTTTGTTTTCCGGCAGAAAAGTCTGGTTGATGAGACTATGACTTGACCACCAGGTACCCTCTCGGACTCTCCTTCTGGCTACCTCATTCTCTAGTAAAAGTATTACGAAGGCACGGTGTGCCGTACAATGTAGCTTTTTATATAAGATGTGGACAAAGAGAGAGAGAGAGAGAGAGGATGAGAGTGGTCTCGTAAGCCAGACCAATTGGCGAATAAGATTTATATAGAGCCGGATGGGTTGTCTCAGTGTTTTCATTTGTCGTCTGCCTCGTTCAGGCTGGTATTCCTACTATTTTACCTTCTTTTACATTTTACATTCTTTTATATCCAAGGGTTTTTTTAATGTTTATTTTACTTTATTTTTTTTTACTTTTATTTTTTCGAACTACCACTTCATTCATTCATTCATTTTTTTGCCTCGTTTTGGTTTATTTTTATTTTATTTTTTATAAAGATGTAATCCTTTTGATCTTCGTTATCTTTTTTAACCTACCATCCAGCACAAAATAAATGCATAGATTGCTCTTTTTTTTCTTCATACTATTTCCCATCATTTTGGTATTTTTTTTCCTATCTGTTAGTTTTGTATGTATGTGTTAGCATATATCATCAGAGGAGTGGTGTTTTTTCAGTCTTGTTTTTATATATTCTTCTTTGTACCTACTTACTTGGTTACTTTTACTTATTGAGGTAGTGTACTTGCTACACGATATCATTCTATACACTTCATATATACTAGTAGAGTAGTACTCGATGTAGATAATAGATATAAAAGAAAGAGAACTACTTCCTCCCCCAAACAACCAAGAAATTAAAATCCATCTCACAAACCTCTTCACCATCTTTAACTTCAGGTCTCTTTCCATTCCCATCAAGTCCCCATTCACCAGGCCACCGTTCAACCTGTTTCCTCATAACCCAGCCAACCTCGACTTTAACATCTTCGAACCCCGTGGTAACAAGTAACTCCTCCATCTCCTTCCTAACCACTCCATGCCTTTCAACCCCTTCCATCTTCCCCTCCGGATGAAACTTCCTACTTTCCTCCCCAACGTTTTCAAAGTCCGTCAGACAGATGATACCACCGGGGTTGAGTAATCCGTGTGTTAGAGTTATAAATTCGGGGAGGTTTGGGATGTGATGGAGGACTAGGTTTGAGATTATTATATCGAATTTTTGGGGGGTATTTGTATTTGGATTTGTTGTTAGACGGGGGTCTGATGGGGAGGTTATTAGAGCGCATAGGGGGGTTATGTTCTTTGGGGAGTCTTTCTTTGATAGTTTTTGGGAGAGGTGGGAGATCATTGTTGGGGAGGGGTCGATGGAGAGGATTTGAGAGGTGTATGGGGAGAGGAGGAGGGAGAGGAGACCGGTGCCTGTGCCGAGGTCGAGGAGGGTTGGTTCTTTTTGTATATAAATATTAGTATTTTATAGTATTTTATAGTATAGTATAGTATAGTATAGTAAGAACATACTGGATGGATTGTCGAGAGACAAGGAGGGGATACGGCGGAGGATCTCATTGAAGGCGGAGTTTGTGGCGGATTGGACGTCTGGGTTTTGGTCCCAGGAAGAGGCTTCGGAGTTGAAGCGGGCGTTTGAAGCTTCTGTCATTTTTATTCTATTCTATATACTTATTATATATATTATATTGTATTATATGCAAGGATGGTATTTCGATGAAGCTGTAAATAAGTATCATGAAGTAGATGTATGTATGTATGTATGTATGTATAATGATAGCTAGTCGGGTAAGCTAAGCTTGTTCTAGCCGAGAAGTATCCGAATAACCCTCAAACTTCATAGCAATCCTCGCAAGTCTCAGGACCCCCTCCGTACACTCCGCATCCGTCGGCGGTGGTAATAGTTCCAGACACTTTTCTACTTCCTTTTCATAATCGATGTATCCATCTTTTCCATCTTTTATACCATCATATCTATAATTATATTTATATTTATGTTTGTATCTATGTCTACAACCAAACAACAACGGATCGTAATACTTCAAATACCGTATAAGATTCCAATCTGTAATCGTAATCCCCAGTGTTTTTAAAATAGTTAAGAAATGAGTATGGTGGGGGAATATACTCGGGTTCTTGTGGATTGTGGAGATGGCGTTTGCATTCGGTGTTAGTATGCAGTTGGAGTTGGCCGAGGGGGATGCGTATGCATATGATGGGGATGTTAGAAGTGATTCTTCGGATCTGAGGAAGTTTGCTAGGAAGATGTATTTAGTGAAGGAGGAGGAGGAGGAGGAGGAGGTTGGGTTTTTATCAAGATTGATATTAAGATTTAAAAGGAGGGAGGAGAGGTAGTTGGTGAGGATTTTGGTGGTGATTGTGAGGATTGCTTCGTCGACGAGATGGCGGAGGTGCTGTTTGGTTTCGTTGGTGTTGATGTTATTGATGTCTGGAGATTCCATTTTGATATCAATTGATTAACATTAACATTCGATGAAGTATTGTATTCTATGATATGTATACGAGATGATGTATTTTGTATATTTTACTGAGTCTAATTAACTACTCTCACTTCCATGCTGGACTGTCAGTAGAAGATAAACACTCCAGATCTTCGAGCTCATTTGATACTATCGACATCGAATTGATTTGATGTCGCGTGTCATGTGACCTCGACGGTTGGTGTTTGTATGAAATGTGGAAAACATGGCATAGAACCTTCGCGCAACATTCCCCTCCTCATCCTTCACCACCACCACCACCACTTTTGTTATCTAATCACCAATCCATCTCTCCTTCTCCACCAAGAAGTATTACCAAAAAAAACAAACAGATAGGAGTGTCAATCAATACTCATCGTTTATACAAGAAGAGAGAGTCATCATGTCGACATCAACTGCTGCTGCTGCTGCTGCTGCTGCCCCACCAGACCCCACACCTGAAGAACTCAAAGCCGCTAGAGAAAAAGAACAAGCCGAACAAGCCACTCTACCCTACAAATGGACACAAGCTCTCGAAGAAGTCGATATTATCGTCGCTCTCCCGGCCGGCACTCGAGGACGGGATTTGATCGTTGATATCAAACTTACCGGGTTGAAAGTCGGGTTGAAAGGCAAGGAGCCGTTGTTCGAGGTTTGTCTATCATTAACTACCATCATACTCTTTGTATTGGATATCTTACTTATATAAACAGGGAACACTATACAAACCCATCCGCCTCGACGATTCAACCTGGTCCGTCTCGGACTCAACCCTTGAAATCCATCTGGATAAATCCAACAAAAAGGAATGGTGGCCACACGTTCTAACCCACCATCCCAAAATCGACGTATCCAAGATCCAACCCGAGAATTCAAAATTAAGCGATTTGGACGGTGAGACCAGAGGGATGGTGGAGAAGATGATGTATGATCAACGACAGAAGGAGATGGGATTACCGACTAGTGATGAGCAGAAGAAGATGGATATGTTGAAGAAGTTTCAGGTGCAACACCCTGAGATGGATTTTAGTAAGGCGAAGATTAATATGTAGTTTTTTCCTCTCTTTTCCTTCTTTTTTTATATAATGGGATTATACATACCTTTTTTTTGGAGGGGATTCTTTTTGGGTTTATGGTTTGCATAGCGTTTTTCAAAGTCTATCGAATGATTTTTTTTATTTTTTATTCTTTTTTTTTAATAAAAGAAAATAATGACCAATAGTGTGATGAGAATATGTCATCCGGTTTCTACATATATTATATTACACGATATCACTGTGGATTCGGTACGTCGGGTCGGATGACGGAACCACTCTACTCGAGGATTTCTTATACGCTGTAAAAGTTTAAACTTTTTTTAAAATTGAAAGCGCCACAAGCCCTAGGCCGACCATCTACGTAAAGAATATATTCGCCGACGAAAAAAAAAAAATACAAAAAAAAATACTGACATGATATTGACTTGATTCGGTTATATCTAAACAATATAATATTTTGTATCCGTTCGAGCGGCGGTTGTAGTTATCGTGAGGATTCAATTCATATTCAACGTTATTACCTATATAGCACTATATTATATACTACTATGTACTAACACCCATCAGAGTCGGTTGGATAAAAAGGACATCTTCATATTTGATATTTATGATTACTACTACATACAAACATCCCGAAATTATCTTTAATTTCCTGCAACAATCGTATCCAGCTAGCATTACTACTTGATATCATATCAGCCTAGAAAGTGGGGTTGAAGGGTTCTTATTCTTATTCTTATTCTTATTCTTATTCTTACCGGGGGGGACAAAAGGAACCTGTCAAAAGGAAAGGGATCCATCTGGCCCTTGCTTTGTGCTACAGAAGCTGAAAACAACGCACATGTTCCCCCACCACCCATCCCATGTCTACTACTTTTTTGTTTAGTTTTAGTTTAAGTTTAACCAAAAGGAAGTGGCTGTTTCTTGCCACGATGGTATAATCGTATACACTTATTTTTCTTCTTTTCTCGTATTTTGATCTCGTAATTTTTCCTTGTTATCTCTCGCGTGCGGCGCAGTCGAGTCGGACGAGATGACCGAGGGGAATTGAGGGTGGTCGGAAGATACCGAGTCTGATATGATGGCCCCCGCATGGAGTATTTAAAATGGAGAAACGGGGTAAAAACCTCCAAGCCAATTGGAGGGTTCGATTGAAATTGTGATTTGTGCGTCTGTGGATGCATATACATAAATACATCCATACATACCTACATATGGTGAGCATTTTATACGTGCAGGGGCGGGATTGTGTCATTTAGTATGGATATTCGTTTCGTTCTTGTAGTTCATAACTGAACTTCATAATTTCATATTCTATTAGTAAAAAAAAAAAAATACATCCAAGCTGAGGAAATCTAGAGCGACAAGGGGGAAGAAAAGCTTCATTCGAATCATGAAGTAATTAGTACTGGTGCCGACAGCTGGTGGCTTTTTTTTTCTGGGTTAAATTTCGTTTAAAAAGAAATTTGAGAAAGAAAAAAAAAAAACTTAAAAAAGTCTACGAAACTGGCTGCCAAGGTGGAATTGAACCATAGATTTGGGCCGGCGAAAGGCGACAGCGGTAACGGTAGCGGGTTTAACTATGGTAGAGCTCTGACAAATTGAAGATATCCGAGAAGAAAAAGACAGAATGGCGATAACACATGTATGTACTCTGATGTAGTATCTTTCAGCCACAAAAGAATGTTCACAGTTGCAATTGCGTCTCGGTATCTACTATGTATATGCAATGCACTGTTGGAAGAGGGATAACCTTGTAAGTACTGCGGCATGACGATATATCTCTTGATATGCCCAACGGATTGCTCTCCGAACTCCGAGAGCATATCTTCTTTCTCTGCCTACAAGAAATAAACTATAAGTTTCAGATATTATTGCAGAAAAGGTACTTGCGAAACTATTTCTATTGGTTAGAACTCTCCCTCTCTTCTTTTTCTTGTTAAACTAGCGAGTACGAAGGAATATCCGGACAGGGTCCCGCTATCTACTTTGTTTCTTTTTTCGATAATACCGCGCGATCCAACGATGCTCGGAAAGATGAAGAAATAGGGGAAACGAAGCTCCCCTCGGCTGATATTATTATTATTAAACGACCAAAAGACGAAAAAAGTTCCCACCCGCGGCGCGCCCGCATTTCTGTTTCCGCTAGCTAAGCTTTTTTGTTTTCCTTATATTTCATCAATTTTATGAATAAAGAATAGGAAAGGATTTTCATAAAAAGGTTACTGTTCTTGACCCTTTGTTTCATTCCCCCCCCCCCCCCCTTCCTTGTTATCAATTTTCCCTCTATCAAACGAGACCGTTTGAAGGCAGCTCTCATATCCCTCTTCTTGTTGGTTACACTTTGACCGGACAGGAATCCTGGAACCGAGCTGTTGTTCCCCCGCAGTTTCTCTGGGTGCGGTCTGACACACTCACTGGCAAGTTCCTTTAAGCCACTCACAGGCTCGCCCACCTTTTCCCTCTTTTTTTTTTTTTTTTTTTTGGTCCTCGCAAAAAAAGGTCGGGGTAAACTCCGCAAACCTATTTGGATTTTTTATCATGTTGGTCGAGATTCGTAAGGTTCTAACGTAACCGATGAATACAACGTTTCTTTCGCAGAATCTTTCCTAATAGGGCTGTCTATCTATATATATATACACCTATATACTCCACTACATATCGATACTCTAAAGCTTACCGACGACAAGCTCTTATCAAAATATTTGACAGTTCTGGAATCGGGTATATATTCACAGAATATTTCAAAGAATTTAACTATCGGATCGAATTCGAGGTTCTACGAAAAGTCCTAAGCTAAGGGGGAAAGAAAAAAAAAGAAAAAGAAAATTATGAGAAAGACGGGTCACCGGATCTTGTATCATCGCTTCTTCTTCTTCTTCTAAAACAAACGATATTCAGGCACAGCGCTTCTCTTTCCTCTCTCTCTCTCCGCTTTTTTTCTTTCCTTCCCCAGCTTTGTACGACTTGGAAATTAAGCACGGAGGGTCGAGCTCGAGTCCGATACACACGCAACAAACAAAACCAACAAAACCCACCACACCCTCTTCGCGGATTCGTCAAGACCCTCGACCTCAATTGGACGGAAAAAAAAAAAAGAATCTTTGATAATTTTAAAGATTGATTTACGAGGAGGAGGAGGACCCGACGTTAACGAAATATATCTAATTTATTTTATTTTATTTGATCTTTTTCGGATTACTACTCGAAATTTGGGAGGGGAGGGGAAAAGAAACAAGCTTCCTCCCTGTTTCGAGCGATCTTGCTTACTGGTTTACCAACTAACGGGCCCCACAGCCGGTCAAGGTTGAAAAGGTTCAGTACTTAAGTAGTTATGCCGACAATTACCCTGGCACATTCGTCTTTTATCGGAAGGGATCAGAGCTCTGATGTAAATGTAAGTACCCTCTTTTTTTTTTTTTTGGGCAGTTGCGCAAGGCAGGTCAGAGGTTCGGCTGCCTGTGTTAACTTATGCATGCATGTCTAATATACCGGCCTGCTCGCCTGCCCTGCCCAGCCGTTCACCTCATTTTCATGAAATAATATAATTCCTACCTCTCTCTCTTCCTTACTTTTTACTTTTATTTTTTCCAAAAGAATCACTTTCCCCATCTTTCTATCTGTGTTTTTTGTCCTCGGTTGGCTACAGGATAGCATCGCGCGTGGTGTACTACCTTAATACTTTAACGTTTAAAGTATACCCGGGTGTCCTGTGCTTTATCGAACATTTTGGACTTCCACCCAAAAACACACACGTTTAAATTCTTCCGCCACCGCCGCTGGTTCAACGGCTTTTTTTTGGTTTTTTGACAAGGGGGGGTTACCGGTCTTTTTTTCGCTCTGGCTTTCTTCCAAATAGCCGGGTAAAAAGGGCAATTTAATTAAGAAAGAAAGAAAGATAGATTCGCTGTTGATTTGAGTCTGGGTAAGCCTTGATGGCTTACTGTTTTGTTTAATTTGTTCTTTTCTTCTTCTTCTTGTTTTAGATTTCGGCTTATTGGCTTTTTATTGTGTATACGTGTGTGTGTGTGTGTGTCACCGTATTTCGCCGGGGCGCGCAGGATATATCTTTTTTTATTTGTTATTTTTTATTATTTTTATTTTTCTTATATGATTTCGATACCCATTTCTTTCGCACCGATTCATTCATTCCGATTACATCTCAAGTACGTTACATATGCTTCAAACCAATCTAACATAAAACAAAAAAAAAAAAGAAGAAGAAGAAGGACAATATGAAAGAGAAGAAGAAGGACATACCACCAACAATGCAGAAGCTAACAACTTCTTCCCCCCCAACGGCTCTATCCTTCAAAACCCAAGATCCAAATTCAAACAACATCCAAGAACTCGTCCCACCATTAACCCCAGCAACAGAAGTCGATCTTCAAAAGTCTTGTGCTAGATTGGTCCAATCGACGGGTTATTCCAGATCCTTCAAGGATGCTATCAACTCCTCCGCGAGTAAAAATGCAACAACAACGATGACGACAACTCAAAGAAGGGGGAATGGAACAATACCGGTGGTGAGGAGTTATAATCGGGCTGCTGCTTCTTCTTCTTCTTCGAAAAGTGGGAGTAGAACTCCGGTTGGGAGGGTGGTTAAGACTGGTTCTTCTTCTTCTTCTGCGGGGCATAGAAGGAATGGATCGACGGTGAGGTATGAGAAGACTTCGACGTCGAAGTATGTTCCACCTAGACGACCGGCGCCTGAGAAGGCTTTACCGGTGGCTAGGAGGGTAAGGGTCAAAAGGGAGGATATAGGAGGATCTGAGGAAGAAGGAAGCAGTAGCAGTACGGTGGTTAAAGAAAAGGGACAACTTGAAAACAGAGAGAAGAAATCAATGGATACTATTAAAGAAGCAAAGTCTTCGGATGGAAGTAGCGTGGAGGAAACGAGAACAGCAACAACAGAGAAGAATAAAAAAGTCGGGGTGAAGAAGTTGGTTAATGTCATGACGGGGTATATACGACAGCACGAGGCTTCATCACAACCGGCTATGGAATCACAGTCTTCTCCGTCAATGTCGAATGAAGTATCACCATTAAAGGAAAAGTCGAATCCGTGGGAGTCATTACAAATCAAATCTTCAAAGAGGAAGGATGGAACTACTTACATCGAAGCTATTCCCGAACACCTCCAGACGAAAACTAGCTCTGATGAGGAAGGGAAACATACGGGTCTAAAAAGAAGTGTTTCAAAACGTCTGGGTAATGCGGTGAAGGAATATGTCAAGCCTCCACATGTCGATAGGTTTACACCGGAACCATTGCATCCTATATCTCCAACGTCGAAGGAAGAATCGAAAAAGACGGAACAACAGAAGAAATATAGAGTCACGAAGGCCATGAGAGAATACGTCAGACCTTCTCCGACTGATATCTCCAACGTCACAATTGAAGAAGAAGGACAACCTCCTAGTTCACAAACTTCAAAGCCCGAAAGGACATCAAAATATATACCCGCAAAACCTCCCTCGCCCGTCGAGAAGCCAACTTCTCCAACCTTAACAACGACAAAGGACAAGAAGCCAACTTCTCCAACCATAGCAACGACAAAGGACAAGGACCTTCAAAAGGCGTCAACAGAATCCACAACTTCCAAACAGCCTACCGCTAATAATCATAGCCATCACAATCCATTCCGTCTACTCCATGACTATGTAAAACCATCTATGACGGAGCTACCAACCCTCCAAACAAACATTCCACAAGCTCCTACCCACCTTTCCCCCATCCTTCCCTCGGAAAGAAAACCCCTGACCACCCAAAGATCACAACCTTCGATGCCTTACGTCCCACCTAAGATTCGACCTAGAGGCAAAACACTCCCCTTGGACGACAATCCGCTATCTCCAAAACCAACTTCTCCTAATAATCCTTCCACCGTTGCTGCTGCTGCTGCTGCTGCCACCCGTCAGGGACCAATATTCGGAGGCGGATACCCCGCAAAACAAGACATTATAGCTACTACCACTACCACCACAACAACAACATCAACAGCGGGATCAAAGGATAAAGAAAACCGCGGACCGATATCACCTGGATTCTTTGGTAGAAATCCGGGTGGCAGTGGGTTTAGGATACATTTTTCACATTTTTTGAATAAGCAGAGGAGTGATGGGTATGATCAGCTGGAGTGAAGTATGAATTGATTGAGTTATGTATTTATTTATTTTATTTTATTTTTATTTTACGGTTGGTTTGGGGATTTTGTTGTGAATGGGATATACCCTTTTCTTCTTTTATTTTCTTCTTCTTCTCTTTATTAATTATTTGGTTTTGTGTGGATATGTTTCATGGCTATTTTGAATGGAATGGCTGGTTTATACTTTATTTACCTTTCAGATAATATTTTTTGATGGTATCTTTTCTTCTTCTTCTTCTTTTCTTTTCTTTTTGATAATGTTTATATTTTGTACATAGTACGTGAGATCAGCGGGTGTGGGGTGGTTTTCTTATGAACATTCTTTTTCGGGTTTACGTTTTTTTATTACTTTTTATTGAGATCCGAGTGGGTATATATTGCTATACGTCAGAGGGCTTCGACTTTTTGAATATAATACTTATTATTCTATTCCTAATTCTCTTTTTTACACACAAACCCTCCGGAGGTAACTTTTATTTCTGTGAAAGTCGATTTGAAGATATATATCTGAACACATACGTACTCATTTGAAACATCTGCGGGAACTACCGCTTGGTTTTACAACTACGCCGTGGCCCGTCATGTTGTGTAACCCTCCATGGCACTACAGCCCCCCTCCCCAGCCCCCTGGTCTCGATTGATTTGAATCAAGATCTTGGAGAAAGCCCATTCCTGAAAGTTGGGGGAAGACTTGATATCTGGCCGATTTGTCGGGAATGAATATTTCTATTACCTACCTTTCCGTATCTGATGCGGTGCGACCTGAGATTTGTGATAAGCGTTTTTGGGGGGAACAGGGGGGTGGGGTTGTGGGAAGAATGATGTTGAGGATTCATTGTGGATGTGTAAACTATATATATGAGTCCTGTGTCTGATTTACGAACTAGTAGTAGATTTGTCTCGTACCTAGCTGGTATGAAGATATGTAAACGCGTCTGAATCAAGAGAATACGAGTTACTAGATTTCAAATCAATTGACTTATCCCCGGGCCTTTTTGTGTTTAACGCGTGGTGTTCCTTCTCACGGCCAGATTATAATTAGAATCATCAAGATCTCCTAGCTTTCAGATCTGCGAGATGGATTCTAGAATATCTCCCCAAAGGTCTCACTTACCAGCCCCCTCCCGGGCTCCCCCAGGCTAGTTCCATCCACAGTGTGGCTGCAGTACTCTAGCTATTCAAGAAGTCGTACCCGATTACAACATTCACAAAATCCAATGAGGTGTTTTAAGGTTCTTTTCTCATAATCCCGATGTATGTATAATATAATAATAATGTATTTTCGTATATACAAGGTGAGAAGGATTGACACCTGATGATGACACCGCCCATGCAAGCCACTACTGTATACGTAGTATAAATGCATGCACCCACGAAACAGCGCCTTAATTCGAAGATCCTCCCCCTCCTCCTCCTCCTCTCCCTAAAAAAAACAAAATCCTTATATTAATTATTACACAGCTAACTTTGACGGCTACTTAAACTACCTAACTTGGTTTAACAAGGCCTAACAAATTAAAAGAATAAAAGAAGATACCCGATCAGCCCTGCAGTTTCTGACTCAATCATGCATATCTTGGGCTTCCGTTGAGACACGGAGGGATATATATATAAACAAGTTTAATTTGACGGCTCTTTTGTTTGGTGATCGTTAGTTAAGTATATTGTTTTTATTATATTATTACATTGAAAGACGGAAAGCCCGAGAATGGATGCATGTATGCCCTGTATTTCTTTTGTCTGGTATACTAGGTTAGATGTCGAAACCGCTTTGGAGGTTTGAAACGACAGATCCCCTGAGATGGAAGAATGGAAGCCTGTTCTTCCCCCCCCTCTTTCTTTCTTTCTTTTGATGAAAGGATTTGTATGCATGTTGGTTGTGTAAGTATATATGTATGCACTATGATATGTATGTACTAAACATTATCGATTAGAGTAGCTCTAAGAAGGTTTAGTGATGGAGGATTTACCGGTTCTTGATACCATCTGATACATAACCGGTTTATGCACCTACGTAAGGAGTGAACAGTTCATATATACTAACTAATTCCAAAGTAGAAAAGTCACCCAAAAAAAAACGCCCTTTCGAACGGGGGGAGGGGAGGGAAAGAGGGCAGATGCAAGCCCTTCCATACGCCCTACCATGAAATTCAAAACTTTAGCGAAAAGGTAAACGGCTGCCAAACCTTTTTTTCTCTCTCTCTCTCTTTTTTGTCTTTTTGACAAAACGGGAAAGCCGAATCCCCTCCCTCTTCACAGGTTTTTTTTTTGTCCTGGTGTGTGCGCCTGACCATATCTACGAAACCCTCTTTTGGGGCGAGGTGCGGGAGAAAAGCCACCGGTGCACCCTCGTGTGTACTTACATTTCAGCTGTCAGTCGTACATATAATACTATTTTTCCTTATGTGAGTATAATAAACTTCTAAGAAGAGTATTATAACCGAGCTGCTCATCCGACTGGATCGGTTGAACTGACGTTATGGGGGAGGGGGGAAGTATGTAGTAGAGACATCTGCATCCTTTTTTTCGATGCACGAATGGAAAACCTAGAACGGCTAGTACCTATTCAGCCTGGTATAGCGTATTAAGGCCGTACAAGTCGCCTATTGGTAGTCGGACCATAGGGGGGTCCGCTTGGAAACGGAGGGTTTTTTTATACAACATGGGTTTTTACGTTTCGAGTTTTTTTTTATTTTTTTTTAGTTATGGCAGCGGAGTGGTGGAGTATATTCGAGGGAGAGGGAGCTAAGGGAAGATAATCAGATCAAGTGAGGTTTCTTGGTAAGCTGGTGGTGGTGTTAGTGGGCTAGTGGGGTGGGGTTTGAGGGGAGGAAGAGGATTTATAAAAAGAGGAATCCTTCCCGCCGCCAGCTGTTTCTGTGATAGTTAACTTGATCGATCAAGTTCGAATCTAGTCCTTATCGTGGGATAGAGTGTTTTGAGTTATTTGGTTTTATATTATATGTTTTAGTTCTTTTTTTTTAAAAAACATATTTATCAAATATACTTGATCTTAAAACCTTTTCGAATCCACGGAGTTCAGATTAAGCTTTCGAGACCTTGTGGAGCGAAGCTTTCTATTATAAGTACGGTATATCTATATCGATAAGCTATCTTGGCCATTTACCCTACGTCATATATACAGAGTTAGGTACGTCTAATACACATAGACCCTTTTAACTCCCCGAATTACAGATACTAACTAAATACTTTACAGGACTATAGGTTCCTACTATACACATTACACCGTCAAATATGACGACCCCACTGCAATCCAGATGCGAATTCCCAAGCTGCGATAAATTCGAAAACCTCCAAGCCTGCGAATACTGTCAATACGTCTTCTACTGTTCCCGCGAACACCGTCGTTCCCATTTATCCCAGCACAAAGAAACCTGCACAGAGCTAGCAACCGCTTGTTCACGATACCGAGCCGAATATCGAAAACTCAAACGTTTCTCCGGGAATAGAAAATGTCCCAGTCAACCGTTCAAAAACGCCATCGGCCGGTTCACGGAGTTCCACGAAACCCAGGATTATAGGAATGCGAAAAGAACAGTGGTTGAGGTTTTACTCAAGGCCGGTACTAAAGAGGCTTTGGAGGCTTGTGTGGAACATGGGCTGGAAATGCATCGGTTGTGTTGGAATGGAGCTTCGGTTTGGTTGAGGAATCAGACGCCGTTGTATATGATCATGCTTGGGCGGGATCAAGATGCATACGACTTTAGCAAATGGCTATTCATGGATGATGAGGATAGGGATATATATTCGAAGGATGCTATTCATTATAGTCGTCGGGATTTGGAAGATTTGGTGCCGTTCAATTTGGTGAACGGGACGCTAGATTCGGAGATTTGGGAGTCCGTTCAGGATCCATTCGAACCACTGGATTTCATCCGCAAGAAGATTCCGAATGAATATTATTGTCTTAGCATGATTTTGATCAAGATCATGTTATTGCAGGATATGAAGGATCTAGAGAACATGCGAGTTCTGGAGAAGTTACCGGTATTACAGAAGAACCAGGAGATTTTTGATTTGATACAGGATCAAATCCCATCAACGGAGGTGTTCAGACGAGATACTGCGCTTAGAACTCTGGATAAAGAGGATTTCGACGATCTAAGGGATCTTTTAGATCAACATATCAACCGACTGTTTGTGATCATTGGAGGAGATAGGTTCCACTTTTGGACAGCGATGTTGAAAAGAGGTGGACCGGAGTATAGGCCGTCGGATGAGGCCTGGTACAAGATGTTTGAAAAGTTACCTGGAGCATCACAAGTTATCCAGAGTCGGTTGGAGATGGCAAGGCAAGGAGATCAGAGATTGTTGAAGTTTTGCGACTGCAGTTATCAGAAGTATCAGAGGGGGGAAATATCTAAGGGTTTTGTTTCTTGTAATGCGCAAAGGTGTTTCTTTGGGAGGAAGATGGAGAGCTATTGGATTGGTTAGTTAGATGGCCGGTTTGGTTCATCCCGCGAGAATATGGTTAATAGAAGGCATAACAGGGTATAAATATAGGGAGGGTAGGCATGGTAAGGGCGTTTGGAGAATGGGTTTCCTTGCTTAGCTTGAATGGTTTTTGTTGTATCTTTTTTTTTAGGTAATTTCCTTATTTCTCTGATAGCTTACGGTTATATATATATATATGATTTTAATTTTAAGCCTATTTTAACGAGCCTAATTAACAATAGCCCACTTAAGTAACGAGACATGAACTTGAATATCCTCTATCCCACCCACCGTCCGTTTCGTATAGTACGAGCACGTCTGGTCACGAAAACGGTATAAGAGAACCTTGTGTGTGGTATTTTGTCGTCGTCCTGTGTTGTTCGCTTCGAAGCGTGGTAATATATAATAGTAATATTACCTATGATATTCCCAGGTATGTATATTAATCAATTCTCAAACATCTCCACTTGAAGTTTCACAAAACTCCGCGGAACGATTCCGAGATTCATGAGGATTCCCTCCCCCCCCTTTTTTTTTACAACTAATTAAAACACACACGCGTAAGAGCCTCAGTGGATGCCTATGTAAGATGTAAAAAAGTAAAAATAACAGTTCATTTATAATGTTATAGATATATAAAATTGGTCTCGGATCTAGGCTGACTCCTAGCCCTAGTTCGAAACATGGCTCCGACGGAAATGTATTTATAGATGTAGTAAACGAGCCGATGTTTGTTACCGAGTGTCTTGTTTGTGGGTTCTCCGTAGTGTCGAGTGTGAGACTAGTTGACTTGAGGTTTCTGAACGTGAGCGATTAATCTGGTGGCCGAACAATGGCTTTTATGGTGCTTGGATGGTTTAGTCGCAGCTGTGTCGAGTTCTAAAATATGATAGCTAGGTTGTTTTGCCTCTAGCGCATAATAAATATGTTGATGAAGTAATTTTAGTGAGGCAGCTTAGTCTTCAGATCGCAAGTCTTAGATATAAAGCTGTCTGATACTGGAGTCTACTTACTGTAATGTTATTGAAAGTGTGGAGGGTGGATACCGTAGAATTATCTCGTAAACCATAGTGAACGATACTCCGTAGAAGGTGTCTGATATCAAAAGTTCATTCTATCGTGGTATTGTCAATGAAAATATGAAGTATAGAGCGTTAAAATCCCCAAACTGAGAAGCTCGAAGGCGGTCTTCACAAAAAAAGAGAGCGTACGTTCATAATCGATCCCAAGTGTAAGACTCACATAGAGAGAACTAGAGCCTTCCCTGGGAATGTTTTAGACGCCGAAGTTGGGAAGGATCATTCAGAGGCGAGTCCAGACCTTGGGGCCATTGGCAGGAAAATTACAATGCCTCCTCTATCGACGAATGGAACGACCATGTACACAAAAAAAAAGGTACCTCCCTGTTATAGCGCTAGTATGCCGCAGCTTCTAGCTCTATGCCTTATCGCACCCAGGGTCCTCATTCCCAGTAACCGACTTTCCGACTACGGAATGTTGAAGTACGAGAAATCCACTTCCATGCCAGGGATCCAAAAGAAGAACTGATGGATTCTTCTTGCAATGCTTATCTTCGAAAGCCCGGTTTGCCTTTTGGCCCATGGGGCCGGGGAAATATTCATCACTCCGTTCATTGACCAAACCAAGACAAGGTTTAAGGAATTTTGCCTGCCATGAACCTTACCGTTCTCAAGAATATAGTCGTCTAGTCTATCGTACGATAATGTGCGCGCATTAGAATCCCGCACTGCCATTCGTGAGCTTATGAGGCGAACCGCATTGTTTTTTTTTTTTTTTTTAAGATTGGTTCTAGATCTGGTTGGTGGCCTGACGTTCGTGAGGACGACGATCATTTCAAAAATATTTCTCGGATCCTGGTAGGCCTAGAAACCGGTTCGTTATATCATTGGTTGAGGATCAGCGGGTTCATGTATACGTTCTTAGATATTCAATTTATGTACTTACATACACGAAGGCTTTCGAGTTGTGCTCTGCATATCTGATCCAATGAAATTGAAGATATACATGCACATATCTGGCTTGAAAAATTATGCAAAGGCAAATGACATTCAAGTCTCCAGCGAATGGGGCGGACTTTCAAGCAACGGTGGCTTGATATACTTCACTTCCAGCCATTATCAGTTGAAGAATTCTAGAGATGCTACCGGTTGTCAATAATTTCCCAATCCATGGTACAAACAAAATATCTATATTTCTGGACTAATGCCAAATATAGCTTTACCGATATACACGCATGTATGTACGAAGCTAGCTAGCTGCAGTTCTGCAGAATTTTGCAAGGTTAACCTGGTTACCACGCATGCACGACCTTGTCCAATGTAGCAAATCTTTGCGGGGCCGTAGAGCTAGGACAGGTGGCTTTAGTTTCTCGGATTCTCGATATGCAAACGAAAAAGACATCTAATGGTGTCTATGCTGTCGCGTGCGCAAAACGTAGGGGTACTGGTGTTCCCATACGGTACCCAAAGATATGCTCGATTGCAAATCTTTAGCTTTGTTTATGGTAGTGAGAGAGAGAGAGAGAGTTGGGTCTTTAGTAAATATAATAACTTACTGTTCAAAATTTTTACATGGTGAGCTACTTTTCAAATCCTACCATGGGATATATATGTATATAAAACACTTGTGATCTGATTACTAGCTTAGTCACATGGATTCAGGTGAAATGTCATAAAAAGTGGAATATAACCAAGCTCACGCGTGAGAGCTGCTAAGAAATTCTATTATTTGGTAATTCTAATAATACTAGATTCGACGTTTCTTTTGGAAGGTGACTCGAGGGATGACATTAAGGTGTATGCAGAAATTGTACACCATCAAGGTGCTAACACACTGCTTTGCTCCGAAGATAAGTATCTAAGTGCCTAGACGCCGGCATAAAAGTAGAGAGAGAGAAGAAAACGTCAATAATAAAAAATGATACAGGATTGCCAAACCTGTTTACCCGGAAAAGAGAATAGAGGGAGAAAAAAGTCAAAATAAAATAACAAAATGTGCGCCAGAGGAATAATAAAATGGCCCCAAATAGCAATCCCGAATTTTGAAGAATAGTTTTTGGCTTGACCAGCCCGTAAAACAAAAGGATAATAAATAAAAAATAAGGTAAAAAAAATAAAAATAAAAAAAGTAAAGGAAAGGCTCCATGGTATCCCAACTCCATTGCTTTTCATAATGGTATTGTCTCCTGATCCGTTGCTAGGTTGGAAAGAGCGTATGATAGCTATAGCTTTAGTACTCTCTAATTCCTTCCGTGTTGAGAATATCCGTAATTTTCATGATGCTTTGCCGCCGCGGTGACATGGTCGGTGACATATTGCTGTCGAATGACGACCTTGAAGATGAAGAGGCCGGGTGATGGGACGTATCATAGTGATAACCATCTTCGCTCATTCTGTAATTTGAAAAGTTATCACCATGGTCTGGAAAGTAGACTGAGTTCCGCCTACTATGGCGTGGGCTAGCGCCCCCATAAATCTCCTCGGGGACATAGATTGACTGTCTCCGGGAGCTTGGCCGCGAAGTCGTAACTGGAGGAACTCCACCATCGAAGTCCAGCGACAAGCTCCTACGCTCTGTTCTCGTCATTTTGTTTACTAGAGCGTGATTTCCCCTCGTGTGGTTCATTATGAGCCAGCGGATATAGCTTTTGAGGAATTGCCTCTCTTGGATGATTCTAAGAATGTCATCCTGAGATGCGATCGAATCTATGAGTCGAGACAGATGGGTTTCGTCGATGAGCGAAGATTTCTTGAATCTGTCAAGATTGTGAAAAGTAGTGTAATGTGTGCATATCATAGACACGATTTTCTAGGTTGCGGTATGTCAGCAGTTCGATCACATTACGGGTAAGCACATGTCCAAGCACCACCACCACCACCACCACCACCATGCCCAAAATTCGAACTTTGTACCACCGCCTCCAACACAACTGCTGGGATACTTGGGAGGACGAGATCACATAGACCCGGCTGGAAATGCGTCTGTTTTTAGAAAAGTGCTAGTGAATGTAATTAAGTAAATACCTTTGTTCTGTGCCAGAGCTCCGAGTGTGGAATTCCAAGGCAGTCCCGAATATCTCCTGCAGTCTCGTTTTTTAGAAACCGCTCGAAGTAGGAAACCTCGCTCTCTAGTTCCTCCTGTCGCTGAAGATCCAGCGGCCGAACAAAAATTGTCCTCTCAAGTTCTTCTAGACCCGGTCGAAGAGTATTCATCATGAGGATATTTCTAAGTTAACGTATGTGGCTGAATTTTCTACCGGGTTTTTACTGTGCTGCAGTGTTTCGATATCGATTGGAGCTACGTTACACTTTGTGGGATATCGACTTTCGTTGACGAGGCGCTTCGAGGCTCGATTAGATTGATCAGTAAGATAAGTAAGATAAGTAAGTAAGCAAGCAAACAAACAAGTAAGTGAGTAAGTAAGTATATAGTATATATATAGATAAACCGATCAGCAATTTAAAGAAGGGAAAACTGGAACTAAAGATTGATGTTGGATGTGAGCATAAGACATCTCCCAGGACCGAGGATTTGGGGTGAAATTTATGTCCCGAGCCCCAGGACCAATGGAGCCTCCTGGGCGTGTGTGGGTGCCTGATTTTTTTCCATTTGAAGCCCTGATTTATCTTGTCTCAGACCCTCCCAAAATACAAAGTGGATGAGAATACTTCCCCTTGCAGCGGTATGCACCTAAATGTTAAGTGAAATCAATCATGGATTGCATGTTATGAAAAAAGTACGGAGTACACAAACGTAGGGATCCCTTTCGTTGGTCGCTTTGGATTACGTGCAGTTAATTAACTTGATTAAGCCGGGAATTCAATTGTACGTATGTATGTAAGTACAAACATACATACATAGATACAGAAGTACTTACATAAGTCTGTAAGTAAGTACTGATTTAGCATTTGATGTACATACGTCTGTCTGTCTGTCTGTCTGTCTGCCGTATGCAAGAGCATATAACATACATATCCAATCGCAAGGAGATCTCGAGGGCAGTGTATAAGCCCGGTATCTCGAACCGAGATGGCGCTTAGGGCCGTCCCGTTAGACAGCGTTCTGCAAATGCAAGCGGGCATGCAGGCTAAGAACCAATTCGACAAAGGAAAGGGTCTGGTCTGTCGACAGTTTCGACCAGGCTGCAGATACGTACCGAGATTTCAGAGACGCCCGATCTAGAGCAAGGGGATGGCGCCCCCCCCGGATCGACTCTGATACACTGTGGAAGTCTAGAACGGTCGACTTTGCAACACACTGCAACTGGCAACTTGGTACTTGTCAAGTGCGGGCTGTATGTACTGTTTGTTTTCATGATGATGTTATGTTATATCTGCTTCGTACTTACTTCATCGTCTGTCATGGTGTCGTATGCGGATTGGACCCGCCTTGGAAATTGGGAAGCTGGGTTCCTGGTTCATTGGATACACCGCATATGCAGGAAGCCTCTACGTGTCAGCATTCAGTACTATGTAAAGTACATCCGGTCTGCAGTCGAATTCAAGAGTACATATATGCATAAAATCCTCATTCCATCATCACCGGATACGGGTTGCAATCGACAGTTCTGAATTCGGCTTTATTCGGTCTTTCCCATGGCATATCCCCTGTCCTAAACTGTGATGGCACTCGAAATGAGCTTGCCCGACTTCCTGAGTCAGTTTCAAGGTTGCTTTGGTGTCAAAACTGGTCCCTGGAACCGAACTGGGGTATTATCAGCTGATAGCTGGCATGCCATCCGCTTACCCGCCATCCCGTCTTTTCAACTCACTAGCACTTAAGCTATCTTGTTGACACTTTCTTTTTCAAATTCTAGTCGCTGCACTGGCCTGGTATTTGGGCAAGCTCAAGTTACACATTGATGGTCATGAGTCTCTGATTAATGCTCTGCAGTACACAAAGGGCCGGTGATACTCATATCACATATCTCATTCACTCCTCGCGGCCTCAAAAACTTGTCGGCTACCCCGTCCTTACGTGGATCGATTATCCCTGGCCTGTGCTTTAGCGCGTCTATATGAAGCTACCCCATAGCTTCCAATAAGCTCCCTGCGTCGACCACTCTACTATTCCCCCACCCCCCCTTCTTATGCAAAGTCCAAAGACGTCTTTGTTGCTGCGCTTGTATCCAGAAACATGCTGGCTGCAGCCTACTAAAAGCTCCACAGGGGCACCGGGGTCTTGTTCCTCTTTTGAGCCCTTTCGTTGCCTTGCCTGGTAATATAAGACAAGGCGGACCCATACTCGTCTCCATTGGACTGAAAATACTGATGCAAGGGGGTGACCCAATTTACGGGAAAAGCCTCAGTCATCATACCAAACAGGGTTCATGACCCCAAAGAACTGGAATAGATGAATTGGCTTCCCCCCAGATCAAGTGTCCAAAATGCTGCCTTTCCTTTTGGGCCAGAACCCGCCTTTCTGTGTTGTGGCCAGAAGCGTCTGTGCTCAAAATATCGAAGGATCCCTGACCCGCCCTAAAAACGGACATTGCCCAGGCCCACTAGGCTCGGGGAATCATCATCAAACATTGTCGCCAAGAGCCCGACGAGACTGTTAACTGTGTCAATTGGTTGGCTGATAACGGGTACCGGATCGACTACATACTTTAGTTATCATGAATTTATTCCCTTTTGTCAATTCCGCGTCGCATGGCTCAATTGACTTCCCGTCTGCAATGCCTGTTCGATCTCGAGTGTTTCGCACGGGAACTCTACCCGCCCTCCTCCATATCTGAGTATGGAGTCTGCTCGATGTCTGGACTCTCAGCCTGACGATATGATGCTCTTTTCATTCGTAACCCTGACACCCAGTTCTCGACCATCTTGATCAGAGGTACATAGTAGTATAGGTTTCCCACAATTACCGCAGAGCTCACTTCCCTTGCCATCCAGACCACATAGTTTCTGTTGAAGTTAATTTGCAACTGGTTGTTATTGTTGTAATGTTGCCAGACAAGTAAGGCGGACCGCGCACAGATGCAAGCAACTATACTGAAGATCCCGATTCCGAATATCGCAATGATGAAGAATCTCCGGAGATGGGAAACTTTGACTTTCCATATCATCGGAATGGGTACCGCAAGGACAAGGAGATCCGTAACCGTGTTGACAACTAGGACGGTGATATTATGCGGAATGAAAGTGAAGCAGGCACGGTGTCCTACGTGAACGGCAGAAATTGTGAGCTGTCATATTTTTAGATATAGAAAGGAACTCGAACAAGATAAAAAGTTCATGTAAGCTAGGTACCTACCATCAGACATCAAAGAGGGTGTCCAGTATGCTTCGAGAGGGTGACACCAAGCTGCCAGAAGCAGGATAATGATTGAGAAGTAACCAATTACCACGATTCCTGCTACGACCTTATTGACGATATTTGTTTTTCGATTCCGCCTAGCATGAGGAAGTGCTGTTAGCTGGGCTGAGCTGAGCTGAAAACGTCTAGACCGTCGAGTTTCAAGCATGTTGGGATATCACCAAACTTACGTAAGGGAATGGTAGACAAGTAGCAAACATCCTTTGACCAAGTATTGTGTCGTAACGTTGCAGATTTCTCCAGTCCATGCGAGGATACCGTATGTTTTCCAAAGCCTTGTCGATTTGGGGTCTAAATCCAGCGATGCTGGTGAAATATTTCGACTGAATCCTGGAAGATTGTCGAACCCATAGCGACTTATGTTCAGCAATGACAGCGTGAGAGTTAACATAAGCTAGGTCCATTTGCATTTACCACATTAGCTATAGGGCTCCATGAATACCGTCGCTTCTTTAAGATGTAGAGGGGTTTCTCGTACCAAGGCAAGTAGCATCGACCAGTCCGCAGCGTCAAATCTCAAGCCTTTCCTTGTTGCCCTTAGTATACTACTCCATATTCTATTAGCTAACTTCTTCAGCAAACTCGAACTTTAGGATCGTTCTCTCATACTATCTACCGATTGCAACGGTAATCGTCAGACTCCACCATATTGCTACTTCCGGCTCCAAAGTCGTATTCTCTCGATTTGCCGCGATTGTCTGCGCCGAAAAAGACCCTGTCATAGTTTCCAGCAGGCTCTATCCCCGCCTAAGATAACCGGTATATGTCGTCTACGGGGTCAATCGTGAGTATTGTGGAGGTCTAGTCGGTATTAAAGGGTGCGTTTGACACATTCCCACATTGTATTCGGATTAGGAGGTTAAATTTAAAGGGAAGTCCCTCTATACCAGAGCTACTACTATACTAGTAGATCGATTGAGGGGTGGTTTCTCGAGTTTGGAAAATTGGAGTGCTATGGGTTTTAATACCCAGGGGCATACTCGTATCGACACTACCATAAGTAGGCATTTTAGCTGCTGCTCTACAGTTCCAATACGATGTCTCGGGTAGCCTCCTAGCTTTGCGGGGTCGAGTCTCCAATTCGCAAAGCTTATTCTATCTTTTAGTCCGCAAATGGCAATCGGATTGCTTATTCCCATTTCCGGGAATATTGAAAGCTTCCAGAACAGGAGTATTTTTGTTTTTAAGACTAGGTCTTAAAGGTCTGCCAATAAAACGTGGCATTTAGAGTTCGAAGTGCCCTTGGCCAATTGGTCTGATCTTCACTATAGACAGCAAATACAGGGGCAGACTTCCGTGGTGTTGAGATTCAAGCTAATGTGAATCAAATGCAGGTATCTTTTTAAGACAATGATTCACCGACATGCACGAGGGCTTCGCTATTTAAGTTAATATCTACCTGGGAAAGTTTATTGGCATAGATGTATGTACGGTTATATTAATATGTGTCTGCAAAAGTATTTATATATACACAAATGGCTTTTCTCGAGATCTTTCCACACCCAAGAACCTCAAAGTATCTACAGAAAAATGTGACTTCAAAAATTATACAAGGGAAGTTCCGCCTTAGTAATAAACTAGCGACGGTTTCGAATCTTTTCTCGCTTGGTAGTTAATGTATCCCCCGTCGAATAAGGTTCTATCGAAGACCTTCAAATTGGCGTTACTCTAACGGGAATAATTAGGCGACTAGACGGAAGGTTGAATTAAGCGTCTACAAGCACTGGCTGTAGTAAGGGTTCGAGTAGGTGCAAGTTCCCTGAGCGCAGGTGGTCGGTCCGGTCCAATCTAGCGAAGAGGTTAGTTATATTTGCATTTTCGGTGGAAGTGAAGTCTGAAATTAGACTTACTAGCACCGCCGCATTGGCCCCAAAGCGGAGAGCCTCCGGAAGATGAACCGGTTGTGGTAGCACGAGTGGTGGTTGTTGTAGTACGAACTGCGGTCGTGGTAGTAGCTGGGGTTGTCGTGCGAGCGGCCGTCGTTGTGCTGCGAGTGGTTGTCGTAGTCACTGGGGTTCCGAGGTTATATCTATTCGGTTGTTAGTACTATTGTTTACCTATTTAACCGTAGATGGATCAGGTAGTTACGAACCTGGTCTTCAAGTGTCTCCACCAGTCACGCAACATCCAGCCATCGAAATCAGTGATGACAGATGAGGATCCTGCCAACATGATGAAGTTTGAGACGCCGGTCGGGGTCCAGTCATAGAAATCTGGTGACTTGTATTAGCTGACGGCTTGCGCAGAAGTTCAACTCTAGTGGCTAGCTTACCATCCAAGGCGAATGTATGTCCTATTTCGTGGAGGAGAATATGGATGTTCTCGGAGTTCAATTGGCTCAAGAAATATTCTGTTCCAATTCTTTGACCCCTATATCATGACCAGTTGTTTAGCGATATACTCTCCAATTTAGAATATCAAATTTAAAGCTTACCAGTCACCACCGGCACCACCGCCAAAGCCATCTGTGAGCCACAAGCTCTGGTCATAATGGCGAGCAGCCCCTCCTGGGCACGAGTTGTAGTTTCCATCTTGATGGAAGAATCTTCCGCATCGTGGATCGCACTCAGGGATACCGCCTATAATCCGAAATTTAGCACCCGGATTCTCAACTCTTCCTAGTCCATTAAATTCAAATCCTTACCAGAGTCCTTGGTAGTGTAAACGTCATATCCGCTCGTAGATCCCTGAAGCTGAGCAGTGTTCCTGACGGCATATCCAACAATCTTGACTGGAACACTAGAATATGGGAAACCGTCGAATCCAACAAGCCAATCGATCCATTTCTTCACTGATCGCTGCAAGGCAGTCAATATCTGAGCTCGCTGAGCCTCGCTGAGGTTCTGAGACGAGTCCCATCGAACGCAGAAGTTGAGATATCCTCCGTTGGCTATAACTTGATCGTAGCCATAGTTCTTGAAGCCGAGGGCATTGCTATAGGTTGCCACTTGGTGGTCCCAGACTTGACTGAGTGGTAGAACCAAATTTGAAGGTCTATCCGAGAGTTAGATGTCAGCTCGTCATGCATGTAATATTAATCTTTTTGGATACTAAGACTTAATGACATACGGGTTCCATGTTGTCTGTCTCGCCACAATCTGCTTTGGCATAGCAGCGGCAAGACTTGCCAGTCCCAAAGTAAGGACAAGGGAGTCCTGTAAAAGACGACTGAAATGCATTGTTTCAGATTTCGATTGTGTGTGTATATATATATATATATAAATATCTTTTTTTAGGAAGATTTAAAAGAAATTTCAATAATATCTCAAGCACAGCTAAGAGAAATAGATAATGTAAAGAATGTGAAGGGGAACAAGTGAAATAAGCCTCTAGCTATAATGAAAATTTAATGACAATGAAACTTGAGAAGTCAGAGGGAAACCGAGGGTATCGTGGTCGATATAAATACTTACTTGACAGCCTAGCGGATATATAGAATCCATGGAACAAGCCGAAGGCCATGTTATTTCGATGCAAGTAATTCTAGATTAGACCCAAGCCAAGATGCCGTGATATTGCTTGCCCCTCCCGCCGAGCCGGGCATCTTGAATGACGGGATCCGAAGTCTGGCAACCATGGTATCATCAGGAGTAGTCGAGTGGAGGAATCTAGTTTCTCCATGGATCCACCGACGTGCCTTGGTTAATAATGTTCAGGATAAAAACCCATGGCGAAGAGTAGCAAAAGGATGGAGTCTAACGACTAGTGGGAGTCGCTTAAACTAGCTGTTTCCATGGATAACTATCGTTTCGAATATTTCAATCTTTGGTAAACCAATCGGCTGCCGACCTGATCCTCATCCGAGATCTCCTAGGCCTATGGAGCCATGGATTTCAAACAATCGCATAAGCCTCATAGCCAGCTTCCATCGGATATTCTGGATCTCTGCCGGAAGTAGAGTTGGAAACTTGTTGATTAGATCGATTTCGGACTGTCACGCTCCGAGGTCCAAACCAGAATTGGGCCTTAATGCCCGACGGACGGACCAGAAAATGGCCCCTTTCTCGGCCTGGTATCCTTGAAATAACTTTAAAGTTGAAGCAATATCCACATATCCAGCGTTTGTTCGAAACGTCAGAGGTACCGAAGGGACCCAACTCCTGGTTCAAAGTCAGGAACCATCTGGTCTCACCATGCTAGTTTCCCCACGATTTCTAGCGTGCACATGTCTTTCGGGAGGACGGTACCGCACTTTCCCTCCTTTCTTTCTTTCCCGCGTGGTATTTCTTCAGGAACTTTAGGCGGCGTCAGGGCAAAACGAGTGCAACCGGTTTGGCTAAAATTCCCAAAGTGGTAATGTGTGCATATACGCTCGCGCCCTAACGGATGCTCGAATGTCATATTAGTGCAAGATAGCACCTAGGTAGTTAGTACTCCAAAAAAAATAAAAATTGATAGATATGTGAGTTAATATAGCTTGTAGTTGAAATAGTCCAAGAATTAATATTGGTCATCTATAGTTTATCTCCCACCGGCTTTCTCCATTGCATCAGAAATCCTAATATCTCGCGACAATTCCGTCCGAATATTAATGTAACCAACATCATCCAGAAATTGCGTTGTATCTGTTGTACCAAACCTTCCTAATCCGGTCACAACACATTCCCATATTTTCATCCCTGTCGAAATCGCATACAAAGATTCTTTCGCAAAAGAAAACTTCCAACCCTGCGATGCTATTGGTAGCCGCATTTGTCTGAAGCCCATAACCTCCAGGCCTCTCCACAACTGCAAAGCTCAATTCCTCCAGATGAACGTCATACGGCTTCCTAGAGTCTGGGCAACTCCGATTGCCCGTTTATACTATGGTAAGTTCCTAAATGCCTCTCTTATATGACGACATAATATCGGTGCTAACGATCTGGAAATCAAAAACAGGCACGGCAACTCGTAGTATAACCACCTCGTCCCTGCTCGCACCGGAAACCGCGCCGAATGTTTTCAGACGGACGGATAAATCTGCTTCCAGACTCCAGGCTTCCTTTCGGAGGACGGTAGCTACTCAGGCTGCTCCGGAATCTGTAACGTCTGAAGTGACGTCCGAAGTGGTAGCTGAAGTAACATCTGAAGCTTCCGCCGAAGTTAAAGACTCACATACGCTACCGTCACCACCACCCCGGAACCCCAAAGCAGCTCACCTACCATATCAAATCGGGAAATCCGCAACTGGAAACCTTCCTGTCTACCAAATAAAAGCGGCCGGCCGGATAAAATCGACAGAGATAAAGAAAATAAAAGGAGATCTGAAAGCTCTCGCAACTGATCTCAAGAAGGCATTGAAGTTGAAAGACCACGAGATACGGTCGAATGAGCTTACTTCAAGGATCGAGATAGCGGGCAAGCGGGGAATAGATGTTAAGAATTTTCTGAGAAACCAAGGTTTGGGAGAAGATTTTAAGACTTTGACTCCCTCCCAATCTTAACTGGGATCTCGAGTATGTATATAGCTCTCATGCCGGGAGTAGTTGTATAATAGAATGATCAATACCAAGATCTAGCAAGGCCAATTGAAGTGTCATAGTAGACGGGAGTAGAGAGGGGGGGGATAAAAGATAATATTAAGGTGAGAATAATTACAATACACATGGGGACCTGCCAGTGACAAGTCTTCTCTCCAATTACAAGTTCACGTAACCAAGAAACGAATACAACTATAGATAGGATATGTAAGTACAAACAGCGTGACCACGCGACAGCGACAATACACTAATATGAAGTAGCAGCAAAAAAAAAACAAAATCGAAGTAATTTGGGGGCGCAACAGTAAGTTTTCAAGCTTTTTTTATATAATGCCTTGGAACCCTTATAATTATGCCTTGCAAAATTTCTTTATGCTTTCAGGCCTAAAGCTTGACCTCGTTATGTAGATGTCATCCCCCTTTTCTTTAATCCCTCCTCATCGTCTCCACCTTCACCTTCCTTGTAATCCTTCTTGTCATCCTTCTCGCCATCCTTCTCGTCATCCTTCTCGTCATCTTCAGGCGGCGGCGGCGGAGTCTCAATATCTGGTGGTGGCGGAGGTGTCTCTTCAGTTGGTGGTGGTGGAGGTATCTCCATAGGTGGTGTTTCGACGGGCGGTGGTACCGGTGGAGGCGTCTCGACAGGTGGCGGCGGAGGAGGAGCAGTTTTGTCAAAATCAAAATCGGGGAGCCGATCAGATAAATCATCAAGCCACCGGCTATCCGGCCAAAAGGAGAATTCAGACGGTAACCGGTAAAACCATGGATGGAAATTCCATTGCGTCTTGCCCCAGTCCGAGCAGCCGTAGTAGATCGGCTTACCCTTGATGCCGACGAGACCTCGCCAGTAAAACTTCTTCTTACCTTTGTTGTTGTTACAAGAAGGGATGAAGTGGGTTTGGAAAGCTGGCATGATTCTTTAGAGAGGGAGTAGGCATCATGTCAGCATGATATTAATCAGAGTTAGAATTAGGGGATCGATTCAAAAGGTACTCACTGTGAAGTCGGCTTCCCATCAAAGAGCCAAGTCGAAAATGTCTGTATCGTAGTACTGCTATTTGTTTCACACGGTCTCATCACGATATCTCCAAGCTTATGATCCTCATTGTATGGAACTGGCCTCTCGGCCGGAACCAAATAGGTCATACATAATTTAGAATGTGCATTCTGTATATATCCCTGAAAGTAGGAAGGCCTCAGCAGAGCCACCCTGTTGAGGTTGACAGACCCACGAAAGTTCCACCGGAACGGAAGGGTAGGATGATTGATTCCCTCGTGCTTACGACAGTCGCCGGTAGTACACTGGCAGTCTTGAAGAGTAATTCCGCCTTTCTCAGCATCATCCGAGAGACAAGCGCTGTAAGTCGAAACACCGAGTTCTGGAGCGGGATAATTCAAATGGAAAGTTAGGTTTTTCCCTCGATTTTATGCTAACTTTGACATCTCTTGAGCAAACAGTATTGGGGAAATAGACTTACCAAGCATCCCAGACCATGAATATGGCCATGACTCTTCACTTTGTGCACCCTCTCTTTCGAATTCTTCGTAGAAGCCGCTCTGGCGTGCTTCTAGATTCACGTGTGCACTGGTTTTGAAAGCTGGGTTTATAACATGGGACTGGACCTTGTTGATTACTAGAAGTACTGTAATGACCGGTACTAGCCGGTCTCTGATTCTGAACCGCATCGATTTGATGTGTCCCTATTCTTATCGAGGAATTCGAAATCGAAAATTGTAACAAATGAACGGGCCCAATATGCTTAAACGATTGCCAAAAAGCGGCCAGTTATTTTATAAAATTTAATAACGTTAACACTGCAACTTTTTGACCTTTATTTACTAGCGCCGCGTTTTATAAATAAGGTCACTATCGAGAATCTTTTCTGAAAATCCCAGAAATCTTAGAGGGGGAACATGGCATATCTTTATAGAGTCTCTGAAAAGTCTTTGCGCCCACATTCGAAAGCCCTCTGGCACCCTATGCACACTCCACTAGGCTAGAAGCTTCTTAATCTGGGCGGAGCACTACAGACTCGAGCTGTGATGTAGATAAATATAACGTTGGGCCATATGCCGAGAAGTATCAAGTGCCACCAATGCAATACTTACACGCATCGTATAAGCGTGTGAACATTTGAGGCAGCTATAATTTGGATTTATGTTATAATTTGGATTTATCTGGGTGAAATATTTTTCTCCTTATGCTGTCAATTTCGAAATTCATCTGCAAAATCAATGGCATCTGCTGTGCGGATCTGAAATCAAAGTGGTCTGCGAGTTTCAGTCTTCTAAGTTTTGTTGGATTATGCTACCAAGTTGTGTTGTGGCTTAAATTCACTAATATAATGGCGTCTCAGTACTTCCCATGTAACCAGTCTCGTGACTAGACTTTTTGCGGATGCAGATGCTTAGGATAATGTCTTCTGCGTGGGTCTTCTGCAACTTCGGATGAGCCCCTCACACCGCATTTGTTTCATCTCTAACTTTGCATTGGATTCGCATCAGTTGGTGTGATATCATAACTTGACAGCATGTGCACAGATGTGACTATTTCAATTACAACATTAAGCTCAGGAACCTCATAAAACCAAATTCATTGCTCCCGACTGAGTAGTCAACCCTCTAGAAAGTAAATTATAAACCTTCCTAACAATCCTTAGCCATACGCAGAAGATTCTATGTGCATGCATCTGGCTAGCAAAGCTATACAACAGAATAATTAAAGCCCCCTATTCCCCAAGAATTTCGAGGGCGAAAGGGAGCAAGAGACCATAAAAAAAGACCTAGAAAAGAAAGTCTAACAGGTGGTAAAAAATAAACCAAAGGCCAAGTAGATAGAAGAAACAAAACTTCAAATCTAGACAATATTGGGACGTTAGAGCTTCGCCCCTTCCTTCTTTCTCTTCTCCCTCTCCTTGTCTCGTAGCAAGCGTCTCAAGATTTTACCACTTGGACTCTTTGGAATAATGTCAATAAACTCCACGCCACCTCCCAACCTTTTATGTTTTGACTTGTGATCAGCCACCCACTTCATGATCTCTGCCGCAGTCTCCTTCGACGCTTCATAGCCTGGATTTAAGACCACAAACGCCTTTGGCAACTCTCCAGTTCTCTCATTGGGGACGGGGATAACAGCACAATCTGCAACCTTTGGATGGTTCAACAGGTGCCCTTCGAGTTCGGCCGGAGCTACTTGAAAACCACTAATTTTTATGAGCTCCTTGAGGCGATCTACGATGAACAAGTGTTGATTCCCAGATGATGATTTTTTGACAATGGTTTCGTCGCCGGTACGAAGCCATCTATGACCGTGCTCGACGATGAAGGTTTCGTCGTTGGCCTTTTGGTTGTTGAGGTAGCCGATGACAACGTTGTCGGCACTGACGAGGAGCTCGCCGGGTTCGTTTTCACCGACGTCCTGGCCTTGGGCATTAACCACGCGACATTTGATACCAGGCAAAATGCAACCGGATGAACCGTGCCAAATATCGATGCCAGAGGTAAAAGAAACGACAGTAGAGGATTCAGTCATGCCTATAAATACCAAATTGTTAGTCTGCTCAGCCCTCTAAAAAATTTGGCTAATTTGCTAACCAAACGGATTTTGAAGGAGACTGAAACTTACCGTATCCTTGGACAACCTTCATCCCCGGGTACAACTTTGTCATCTCCAAGCTGAGTTCCTCTGTCAAAGGAGCAGCGCCTGTCATAATGTACTTAACAGGAGAAAGGTCGAATTTGTCCAAGATGGCCTTGTTCTTGGCCATAACAATCATGAGTGGTGGCACCAAGAAGAGGAAACTGAGCTTGAAGTTCTGGATACATGTTAAGAACGACTGTAGCTCAAATTTGGGAAGAACAACAGCTGAGTTTCCCATGAAGGGTTCCGTCTGGTTGATGACTACTAAGGCGTAGATGTGTGATTGTGGAAGAAGCGCAAGGACTTTTGTAGGTTCTCTGGAGTCTCTGAATGATTTGGAGTATTCAGCCACTTGAAGAACATTTGTAATTATGTTAAAGTGAGAGATCAAGACTCCTTTCTATTATAGCGGTCAGCCCGTAGTTGTCATTAGCTTTATGCTGAGAATTCTAGAAAAGCGTTCAAAAGAGGCGAAAGGTAACGTACCGGCAAACCACTCGTCCCAGACGAGTAAGAAACAAATGCAACCTTTTCTCTGGAACATCCTTTTCCCCACCTAAGAGGCTCAACCTCCTTCAACTTCTTCCCTTCTTCAACAAGATCGTCAAAGGTTCGGAAACCCTGAGCCTTCCTTCGCATTTCCTCTGTGGTCACTACATCAGGGATAGGAAGCAAGAATATGTTCTCCTTCGGAATTTTAACACCCTCTGCATTGGCAGCCTGGATAGCGGTATCGAGAAGTGGTACACAGGTGAACAGTACCCTCGCTTTCGAATCCCTCAGCTGATATGCAAGTTCATCGGCATTGTAGGCAGCATTTGCTGGACTCGTGATGCCATTGACACGATGGACTGCATAGCAGAGTGGGACATAATCGATCTATTGGTGCATAAAATACAGGTTAGCGTCCATCACCCCCTTGCTTCAAAGCTTCGATATCCATATCCGCATCTGGGTACATTTCTTTTATCTCGGGGTCTATTTTTGCCCTTCTTTCATTCTTTCCCCAACTTACACAGTTGATGCTGTAGACCCCCACGACTCTCTCCCATTGAGAAAATCCAGCAGCTTGGCCACCCTTGTGGATATCGTCAATCTTTAAGACATTCTTGATAGCTCGAGCAGCAAGCTCGACTCTTGAAGCGACTTCGGTAACTGAATATGTCTTGCCGGTAAGACCGCAAACATACGGTGGGTTTGATTTGCTAGGATCTGCACGTCCGTAGGCTGGGTTGAGTACGAAGTCGCCAATTGGAATGTTGTCTGGACGGTTTGGCAACTGGGGCACCCACTTTGGTGCCTCGTACACAATCATCTTGATTGATGTTTGTTGGCGAGGGTTCGAAGTTGAAGAAAGAGAAAGAAGTGTCGAACCGAACAAATCAGAAGACAAATAAAAAAGAAGAAATTGTCTGTGATAAGAAGAGAAGATGAGATTCTCTAGAAATCACAAGCTGGGCGGCCAGAGATCGAATTAAGAAGGTTGATGCTTTCCGAGGCAGCTACTTGGCACCGCAAGGGAGGTCGGAATTGAATCGAGCGGGAGCAGAGCTTGGTGTTGGAGTTGTTGCACAAAATCAGGTGATATCGATGGCCAGAATCCTTCTAACTAATGAAGGAAGGAAAATGGAAGTAGGGAATCAAACCGATTGGAAGGGTAAAAGCGAAGGGTTTTGGTCTAGTCGTTGAGGTTGAAATTGAGGTTGAAATCGAAGCTAAGAGGAGGCGATGAGGTTAGACTAGTGATGAGGTTGAATACATTTCGAGCAGCAGTGTTTCTATTAAATGATTCCTCCAAAACATGCATCGCTAACAGGTCCTTCAATTAAGGCATGCATATGCCCCGTCAGCAGACGTCAGGCGCCCTGGGCCTGGGCTGTCATGTTGGCGGCCAACTTGTTCGACTTTCAAATTCAACTTCAAACTCAATTGTAGGTAATCACATCAATGCAAAGGCAATGGCCATGATAAGCTTTTTACCAGGGCGGCTAAAGTTATAGCTAACTGAAGCTGCCGATGGTATACAGAGCAGTACTTCATGACATTACATAACGTCGACTCGACTGGACTCGACTTGAAGGCACTCACCTAGCCACAATATTTAATGCCAAACTCTGTGCGACGGCCCTTTTTCAATTTAAGGTTGGACACCAGTCTCCTCTCGCAAGGGAAACAAATGAGGAGAAGAAGGAGGAGGATAATGGGCAGCCACCGTCAAGTTCAAGGTCCTGCAGGGCGCGGCCAGGTGCATATATATATAAAGCTCTTGCCCCCCATCCCACAAAATTAAACAATATCCATGAATCGTCCCTTCCCTCGGCTTCGGGAACAACGATAACTTCAAAAGGAAATAACGGACTACCCCCATCGGCTATATCTCTAATCTGAACTTAATATACCTAGGTATCAGGAGGAGGAAAGCGATACGCTTACACCCTTAAGCATTAGGAGCAAGGCAATTCGCTTACACCCTAAATATTTCGAGGGAAGTAATTCGCTTACGCCCCAGACATAGGTAGCTGTGTGGAGCAGACGGAGGAGAAAAAGGGCTCTCGAAGGGAAGAAAAAACGAAGTGTATGGGTTTCCTAATCCCCAATCTGGGTATATTGGCCGGGGTGTCAACCGTGGCTGCAGCAGGGGTTATTCGCTATCTAGCCCATGCCCAGACGAATATCTTAATGGCGGCAAACACGACAGGACCCAATGTTGGCTACACGTCTGCCTGTCTGCCGTGGAGGGACTTTAGGGCCGTCGGAGAGGGATCACGGATGCCATAACTCGACTCTTCGTTCGTCTCGTGAGCTATATCGAGACAAGGCGCAATATAGGTATCGATCCATACCAGAAGCATGGGGTAGCTTTCTCCACTCTTGCTCCATACACACTAACACCTCCAACCCCAAAGTTTCCAAGACTGAATACCAAGAGCTAGATAAGTGTCGATGCTAACGCCATTTCGTTCCCTCCCAGATTGTGGGGTAACGAGCGAAAAAAAAGGTTTAAACCTCTTAGGTTTTAATTCGGGAACGGAAAAAAGTTCTCCACGTGAACCACCTTTTCCTTCGAAAGCCGATCTGGCGGTAAAAAATTCAAGTCAGTCACCTTTTGAAAAAAAAAAGGTTGACAGAGACCAGAATAAACAACAGCCGTCTACGTCTACCGTACCGGATGATTTCAATGCTCTGGTTTTTGGGAGCCGGTTGTATGCATGAATATGCAAACCGACGAATTGGACGTAATTGCGGCCGGGGCGCGAGCAGATCAGCGACGTGCAGTGCAGTGCAGAATCAATGCAGACTCTATGTACGTTCGAACGTTCGCGGTTCCGTTAAAAAAAATCAAAAAGGCCAAAAAGGTTCGGAAAAATTGAATCATATTTAACCGTTCCCTTTTTCAGCCGAATTGAAGCGATCCAGAATCCCTGCAGCTCGGTGATATCATATATAACCTCCATGCTCCAGGCAGTAATTCTGCAGTGTGCTGTGCTGCGCCAAATCGAGGAATCTTCAATTCCCATATGCACGCGCCAAGTAGGCACGTTGTAAACGGAGTTAAGCGTCAACATAGACAATTCCACGATCTCGATGTTCTAACAAATAAGGAAGTCGGATTGGTTCGATGCGGGTGGCGGAGAAAAGAACCACGTATGCGAAACTGTAAATTTCAGCCTCAGATGGTCAGTATTTTCGAGTTTTCGATCCCATGTCAGCATGTCCAGAATTGAAATGACCATGTAAGTACCAGAAATCGATCCTTCTTTTTTGTACGACTATTGTCGTCTGATCCAGCCAGCTGGAATCCGGTCCATCCCAACCGTCAGAAACCTTATATATTCACCAAATTCTGGCGTGGTCGTACCTTCCGCAAGGAATTAATACGCGCTAGGGGTAGCACTAAGATGGATGGATATATCGGCTCGAGCTTTCGACAAAACTTGCCTGGCAGGCAAGTCTCAAAGCTTAACTCCTTTAGCCTACTAATCATCTAGATCTCCCGATAATCGTGAATCGACGATTTCCATCTTGCATTTAATGGTACAAATGTGATTCGCGATCGGTTGGGATCTAATTCTAAATGCGAGACACGGCAATGCAGTGGTATTGGCTGGATACTCAATCCGTATGCATGCCGTTACGCGTATGTATGTACATGTATGTTACAGTCATCGATGGTATATATACCTAACGTTACGTAACATACCGATCGTGAATCCATGGGTTAAGCTTATAAGTCGAACCTGGCGATCGGTTACTTGGTTACACATCCAACCAACCGGAGTATGCCAGACTACCATGCAGGTAGTTAACTAGTTCTGGCCCCGATCGATTTCATGAATTCACTTTAAACCTTGCATGAAGTGCGTACTTGCAAGGGATAATCGAGATAAGGATCGAAAAACTAATTATAAACTTATCAAGTAAACTTTTGATATTGACTGCAGTCCACCGCTTCTATATAGCTCGAACGCCTAAGTAAATGCTAAAGACATGGCCTTCTAACAACGTCACCTGATATCAAGACCTCACGGCTGACCAGTAGAACTTGCAACAGTCGCTGCTGCAGAAGTCTCTTCGAACACCAAGGCGACGTGACTAGACACCAAAATTAGTATCTCAATCCATATCAAAAAAGTAAATGGTAACATCGGAGATAAGAGAAAAACTTACTCGTCTCCAGCTGTGATAACTCTGCCATTAGAATCGACCACAAATCCTAAAATCCCATCGGAATGTCCTTGCCACTTAAATTTCTCCTCTCCACTCCTGCAGTCCCATCTCCTAACGGTTCTATCCACCGAACAACTAGTCAATAACCACCCCCTCTGCCCCTCCTCAAACAGTACCTTCACAACCGAGTCCTCGTGCCCACTGATTGTCCGCCTAACTGCCCACCTCTGCGTATCATAGAGCACAATAGACCCATCCACTGACGCAGAAGCCAATAGCGGCAAACTAGGTGAGAAAGCTAGCGATTCAATCGAATCACTTTGTGTCGACAGAGTAGCCAGGATCTGAGCACTCTGTGTCCCCGCCGTCGCACTACCACCTCTTCTTGCACCTGCACTTCGTCCACCAGTTTGCGTTCCAGCAGTTGGTAATGCGACAACCTTACATTCGCCCGTCGACCCACCAACAACAACCACAGTCCCTGCCGGGTTCGCAGCAACAGCATAAAGCCCGCCGTCAACATTAAACCTGGCATCATCGTTTCCAAAACTAGCGAATACCTCGCCGGTTTCCACGTTATGCACAAACAAATTCGAGTCTTCTGAAACAGTCGCAATTAACTGTCCGTTCTTCGCAAATGTACCGGCGGTACACGATGCGGTATGGTTATAAAACGCTTGTTTGACGAATAACTCCGATCCAGGTGAGTTTGCATCAATCTCATAGATCCAAACTGATCCATCGCTTGCTCCTAAAGCGAATACGTTGTCTGTGGGGTGCGCAACCAACCATGCGATCTCTTCAACTTCCTGGACTTCTGCGATTTTCTTCCACGAACTTGATTCGGTGGGGTTTGTAGCATTGGTGCATTGTGTAACCATGACTTTTCCGTTCATACCAGCAGAAACCAAGAACTCTCCGGAGGCAGTAAAAGCGACAGAGGTAACCGAATCCCCATGGCCCTCAGATTTAAAAATAATCTTCTGCGACTCTCTTTCCTGTCCTCTCTGTGACGTCTGTCCGGCTGTAGGATCCGAAGACCATATGTATGCAATATCATCACCTCCTCCTGTAGCTACAATCCCGGATAACCGTGGGTTCAAAGCGATAGAGTAAATTGAATCTGTATGGTGATCGAAATGTCGGGCCGAATCATTGATGAGATCGATTTCGATTGATTCACCGGCACCGGCTCCTCGGTATGCTGTGGAACTTTCTTCGCCCTCATCGTCCGAGAGGTCTTCCATGGGTTGGTCATCGTCTGGGATAATTTCTTCGAGAGCTTCGTTGTTGTTGATGAAGGATGGCTCTTCATCGGCTTGCTCTGTAGAGGGGTCATAGTCGTTGTTCGAACCGCTGTCGTAGGCGGCGCGGGACCCCGCTGGGGTATGAGGATGTGGGGAAACCATTGAAAATTAACGTAAATCAGAAGGAAAGTAAATGCGACTGGTCTGGTAGTAGAATTAATATTATAATGGATGAATGGTGATGTTGAGCTTTAATGTCCACTGGGTTTTATATGAAGGAAAGTTGAAGCTTGGGGAGAAGAAAAGAAAAAAAAAAATCTTAGAAATCAAAAAATGGTTTGGCGGGGCTACCGAAAAAGAATGCCGGCGAATCTTTGCGCCGACGTTTTTGTTCGATTTGATAAGCAACACCACCAAGACAGCCCTTGTAAAGAGTCACAGTTGCAGATAAATTTATAAAATGTATCAGAGTACGGAATAAGAGTCTTAGATCTAGATAATTTCTCTCAGATAAATATTTTAAATATGCTACATGCAATATAGTGCAAATGCTTTTGTAACTTTTAGTAACTTTTCTGCACCTCGTCCAAAAATCGTAAGGGTGAAAGTCAAATATATATATGCAAAAGGTGCAATGAAAATGGTTAGAAAGAGTTTATACAAGAGAAGATGCAAAGTTCTTGATGTCGGATAATTAAAGATGATGCGATATGTGGTATATCGTGATTCTCGTAGCATGGCTTTAATCCTCAGTAAGGTCTAAATAGGGCCTTATTAGTATATCTTGGGATGTCGAGTATGTTCGAAATAGTGGCTAGTTACTCACCTCCGTACTCCCAAATACCTCGTCTACCCTCCTTTGCTTCTTGCTCCTTCTTGCGAAGGTTGTCAAATCTGTCGGCATATGCCTTCTCCCACGCCTTGAGCTTCTTTGGGACCATAGACATGCCTTCTTCGATCATGGCTGAATTAATATTGTCCTAGAAAGGGCCCAAAGTCAGTTAGAAAGCCTTTTACTACAGCTCCAATATCCAGAAATGGTATCCTTACATCAACAGATTTCGACCCATCCTTAAAGAGTGTCAAAGACATTGTGCCATCCTTCTCGATGAAATCAACATTTCCAACCAACTGTTGGTTCCCAGTAATCTCCAAAAGATAGTGCTTGGCATCGTTGGCATACATCTCGGAGCCAGGGAATTGGCAAAAGCTGAGGACTGCGTCCACGGCCTGCGCCCTGAGCTTTGTGGTTGAGAATTCAGCTTGTGTAAGGGGACGAAGCGATGTGAACGGGACAGTCTCAGAATTGCCGTAGTCGATGTATAGAACGTCGGCTTTCTTAGCTTCCCTGTCAACTCGACGGACTTTAGCACGATAGAACTCGCCATCCTCGCTGAACTTGGCCGCAACGATGTCTCCGACTTTTGGTGGCCCGGAGAGTGGTGTAGCATTTGACTTGTTCAAATGGAAATTTCGGAACGAAGCCATCAACTTCTCAAGTTGGTCGGTACCTATAGCAAAATTATTAGTCGATTGTAGACTACAATGTGCAAAACTGTTTCTTACCAGAGCCAACCAGCTGAACCTTCATTTTGCCGCTCTCATCAACATTAGTAACAACCACATCTCTGTAATCTTGCCTCTTGTTAAACGTTGTTGTAGTATCTTCAGTGCTGCCAGAGGGCTCGGCGGAATCATCGGCATCATCCTGGGGGGTCCAGTTTTGCCATAAGTTCTTTCGGGCCTCTTTCGCAGCCTTCTCAGCAGCAAACAATTCGGTTCCATGGCCGCTTTGTTCAGCGGAGTAGGCGTGAACAGAAGCGAGGCCCTCTTCAACCAATAGCTTCGCCAGGTTTTCTCGGTTTACATACATGGTACCGATGAATCCATTGACTTTATCGATTGCCTCGACATCAATCTCAACATCACGTTGGTAGGCACGCTTGCTTGTGAACTCAAGAGCCTCTGGTCCGAAGGGCTCTGACTTCTCGGATGCGTTCCTAGCGGTACGTGGTGCCCTGATGCCCGATAGGACAAAGGTCAATTTGACATTCTCCTTTGGAATCAACAGCTTGAAGCGGGATCCAGAAGCGACGAAGTCGACAATGGCGGGAATACGTCGTTGTCGGCTCAAGAAAGAAAGATGTGCCTTGGCCTTTTGTTCGGATTCGGAAGCATCGACAATGGGCTTAGGAGCTGGGGCCTTGAGGTTATATTGTCCCTTTTCTTCCTTGATGGCAGTCTCTTCGGCGGCTAGGAGTGCATCCCAGATTGGAGAGCGGTCCTGATCATCTCTTCGGTGTCGAATGACGGACGCTAGGCCGTTCTCGATGAGGGATAGTGCGATGTTCTGGCCAGCCAAAAGCACGGTTGCCATTGTACGTTCCTCATAGTCCTCGTTACCCGGACGCTTTCCATCGATGGTAACATGAACGTGCTTACCGATAAGTTTCTTTCGAAGGAATTCCTTGGCCTCCGCTTGCCATCGCGTGGGAACCTTTGGATCAGTGTGTCCAGTCGGTCTCGACGGAGCCTTAACACTGGATAGACTGAGCTTTTTTTCTGCTCCAACCTTTTCTCGGACCCAGATTGTATCAGCGGATTGAACTCTTGAGACGACGCAGTCAAATCCGGCGTCAGTCTCGGTCTTGACAACAAATTTCTTCCACATATTTATTTTCTTTGCTTTCGCCCTGGCTTCCTGGGCACGAAGATTGGCCATTCCAGCTCCAAGCATGCTACTATGCTGATCGAAGCATCTAGCCAATCCGTCCACCAAGATGAACTCGGCAATGGACCCTTTAGGATGAATAACATGCCCGATGAACTGATTTTGGGGAGACAATCCCACAAGTTCAACCTTGACCGTTCTTTGTAGAAGTCTGGCCTCAACGAAATTCTTGGCCTCGTCACCATATTCTTCGGCGGGGGTCTCGGGGCGACTCGACTGTGGGGCCTTGATACCAGCGACAAGGACAACGATCTGTTGGTGTTCCTTGGGAGCTAGGAGGAGACGAACAGCGATACGATCTCCTGCTATGACACGCTCGACAACGGCTAGTTCAATCCCAAATGAATCAGTATCCCCTCCGTAAAGTACCAGTCAGATGCATGTATGTATAGCCTACCTTCAATTTGTTGGCCCTTCCACTTCTGAAGGAAAGCGTTGGGGACCGGAGGAGCTTCGTTATTGATGGCAATATGACCATTGTCTGTCTGGCTCCATTGGCCCTTGTACTCTAATCTGGCCTTTGACTCCAATGCCTTCAATTTCTCGACAAGATCCGCGTGCTCAGATTGTTCTTCTCGTTTACCTGTATAACATTTCACAGCTATCAGTAACGTTCCATTCCGTTCCGTCCCCAGCAACGGGTAGCGGCATGTATGCAGAAGATTAAAAATAAAATAAAAATAAAAACGGGAACCCACCTGCATCATCGCGAACTTTAACCCAACCCTCGGCCACGACGTACTCGACGATTGACGGACCGTTGGGGACAACAGCAATGCCGTACTCCCGACTGCCGGTTGGAACGGTATACAAGACCTTGAATTGAATTTCACGACCGACCAGGTTTCTACGAAGGAACTCTCTGCTGTTGAATGCGAATGGCTACACACGCCCAATTCGGGAGCACCATGTTAGCTTCATATTTTAACCCAATCAAGAAACTGAAACCAGCATATATCTCCTGCGTGATTAAGGGACAGATTCCGGACGTACCTCATCTCCCTCCCGCTTCAATCGAGGAGCTGTCACAAATGCCAGACTGAGCTGTCGTTCTTTTGATGTGTCGCCGGGAGCAGTGCCCTTGGGAATGAGAACAAGGGTGTCGCCCGACAAGACGGACTTTACAACGGCGGCCGTCGACATATTGGATCAATTGAGTTCTGGAGTGCCGTGCCGGGTAGGTGATATGGCCCTGGAAGAAGCCGCGAATAGGGAGGACAATTGAGATATTTCGGAATGTCAGAAAGGAAAAAGGATATGATGTTTCGTGTCTACGAGTGGTAAGCAGCTGGGTGGTGTCGGACGTGAGGTTGTTAACTTGACATGGTGTTCTCCAAGCTCCACCTGTCAAAAGTAGTAACATGGGCAAACATCGCAGCTTAACTTGGAACATACGTGCTCGCTACCTAACTGCTAGGCTTCCCCGGATATATGATCTCAAGACATCAACGTCAACGAATACAGTTTATAATATATCTGAAGCTCGCATCGACGACTATCTACTAACAACGCTTTACTATCTCCGGCACTTGAAACCGACCTTCATGATCTTCAATCTTAACATTAACCACTGGAAGTCGGTTTGGTCAGATCATGCCGAAGATCAATGCAATCTGCTAAGTACTATACTTATCCACGAGTATATTAGTCACTAGCCACTCTTCAACGCCCCGCTAAAACAAACGCCTCACATATCATACCAAGGAAATGTGATCATGATCCATCAAAGTTCCTCCCAACAGCCAATATCGATCTATCCCAAACGACGCTACAAAGTATCAAATAGCTACCGTTCTCAACGGAGTCCAAGCTCAGGCACACATCAAGCTTGCGTCAGCAGAATCTCTTTGGGGGTTGGCCGTTGGTTTCACGCTAACATTCATCGACCGACGCCTTTCCCTCCAATTTTGCGCAGCGATCTTTCTTTTTTATCGTCAAAACCACATGGCAAGGCGAAATATCCCTCCCCAAAAAAAAACCATGACCCGGGACGTTGGGATCACAGATACAATCGCCTCGGGGTAATCTTAGGCTAGTTTATGCCTTCCATTCGTGCCTTCCTTCCTCCCACGAAGCCTTTTCTCACCAAAGAGAGAGGCGAATGGGTCGTGGCTTGTATCAGATACCCGGGTTTCATCAACGCCTCAAAAGGCCGAGATTCCCAATGTGGACACTATGCCGACAGATACTCGACATCGGGACTTCTAGGATCCGATTGTTTTCTCTTCGAACGTCTCAAAATAGACAAGAAGAAAAAGGAACTATCAAATATTATTTGACAATCATTTACAATTATAATATAAAACGCCACGTTGACTCTCGTTAATGCGAGTATGTCCAGCATGACCAGGTGAATATGAAGGCCCAGGCAGAAGGGGGAAGAAGAAGAAGAAGAAGAAAAACCAAATATGAAGTTTAGCTCTCCTTCTACGGATGTCGGCAGTACCAATCAGTGAAAGACTTAGACGACGACGAGGGTAGACTAACCCCGAAGGCGATGCCGACACCTTTTGGAGACTTTCCGTTTCGGTCCGGAGGGCATTCAAATGCAAGTGTATACGGCGTACATGCGTATGCGTATACGACAAAGAGAACACAACCTATTAATCTCGCCAACTAGCTCGAACGACTCGACCAGCTGAGTGGCTTGCTTGCTTGGTGGAAAATATAACGGTTTTCTTTCCACTAACTAGGGCTTCCTGAGACTCTTGAAGCCATTCGGACGCCCTTTCGGGTTCTTTTGTGAGACAATGCTCGGGGAACTATCTCCTATTGACCATGAGTACGCGAGTCCCTGGGGAATCAACAGGTATAAGATTCTCAATTCGTTAACCAACATAAGACCCCCCCCCCCCCCGTGGTAAGGAGTTCGACGAGTCAGTTGGCTATCTGTTGCGCGAATGAGACGGCTCGACAAATCAGCGAAAGAGGACTAATTGAGATAGGTTCCTTCATGATACAGGGGAGACGAAATACACAAGTTGTCTACACATCTACCAACATCAATTGTTTCTAATTTCCACCAACATTCAACATGACTTGAGGAAATCATCCCTTCCCCCTGAGTTTCTCAGACGGAAGAAAAAGAAGCTATCTCCAAAAATAAAGTCATGATTCCTATTCGGAAAATGTCTTAGAAGGCCCAAAAGGTTAAATCTATATCGGAACAGACACATGGAGGAGAGAAAGCAAAATCTGGCTATTGCATCCGTCGCTTAAGTGGAAGTGTCGCAGTGTCGAGGTCTTCCACATAAAGGACCTGGACCCTGCGTTTGTCGAGCTAAGTACCACGTGCCATTTGCCATCGGGATCCCTAGTTCTAGACTGGCATGGCCCCAAAAAAGCCTGACTATTCTGGGATGTTGATTGTTACATGTTCGTAGTACTACTTTGGCCCGGTGAAAGCAATATTCGCTCGTCCTGAGAGGAAATACTAGGAAGTACGTGCAAAAAAACAATGATACGATAATATCTTTGGTTTCAAACCACTAGAACCTTGAGCTTATTACCTCGTGGTCCATTCGCGATATTTATCCATCTAACAAATTAATGGTCACGTTGAAACCCTACAGGCGTTCGTTTAGGCACTTCTGGCTGTGTTCATGCCGGTAGTATTCGTCTCGTCAACATTTCATCTGCACGACAAACCACTTTTTCGTATCATGAGGGGTAAGTCTGATATCGCATTTTCTACAATCAGCACAAGTGTTAATTTTGGCGGGTGCCTCTGTCTTTTTTTTCTTTCTTTCGTCTTTGTAAGATCCAGATTTGACGGTCTGACTAGGATCTTTAGATGCACTGCATGTTATTTTTAATTCCACTGGACCTTCAAAACTTTTTTTTTTTATACGAAAAAAGCGGGGAGATTGGACGACAATGTCTGAGCTTAACCAGGTCTACGGTCCAGGTGTGTGTGTTCCCCACGAGAGAGAGCTCTTTGCACGAATCGCTTCAGCTAGAACGACTCGGGTGAAGAGAACCCGACTGCAGCTCCCAGAGCTTATCAATCCGACGAAGGACCAGTAATTTGGGAATTGGCCAAAAAAAACCGTCATGTGAACCTTTTTTTTTTGCAGGCCAGTTGGCAAAATGCTGTTGCTGCTGCTGTGCAATGGCGACCTTTTGTTTCCATTTCGCTGGGGTAGAGTTAATTAGTATGAGGAAAGAGCGCGAAAATGGTCGGCCATGCAGGCGTATTATTCCGAGCAAATGCATTCCGAGCCATTGATGTTTTTTATTTTATTTTTCGAAGATAGCATTAGCCATTGCCAATTGGAACTGTTGGATTCGAATGGTTATCGGACGCTGTGCGAGGAGAACGGGCAATCGACTAGTCCTATGCATCCACCCAGAAAAGAAAGAAGGAAAGAAAGAAAGAAAGAAAGAGAGAAAGATGGGAAAAAGTCAATTTCGACACCATTAAAAAATACGAATCCTCAGATCGAGATCGATAGCTGTCTATTATAATACTTCGGTCGGTTAAAGGCGAAAGCAAGCAGGACAAAGTAATTATAATAATAAAAAAACACTTGAAGACCGTTTTTATTTTCTTCTGTTCGTTTTTATACAAACGCAGTAGATCGATCGAGAATACTTGATGATCTGATCGGACGATGAGAACCGTTAGCCAGTCCGTGCGCCGGCGAGTCTAGAGGGGTACTATGCCATGCCCCTCCGGAGAAAGGTTTTCCTGTCTGTCTGTCGGTTTTGTCTGTATGTAGATTGCCACATGATGCTTAATGGACGGGGTGGCATGATATCTCCAACCTAATTGAAACTAAGCGCCTTTCCCTCGCACGAGGGGAAGGGGAAGGGCGTTCGACGACATTTTCGAATGGCACAAAGAATGAATGCCAACAGTTTGTTTCCCGATAAAAAAAAAAAGTATTACGGAGTATTTGGTCCATTCAATTTCATTTTCCAAACCGGACCTCGGGCGTCTTGTTCGTTAGTTCGCCTTTTTTCCAACGAGACACCAACAGGCGTCGCTGTTTTGGAGCTAAAGTAGCCCGATGTTGGTGTTTAATTGGATCCTAACGGCGCCGTCCCGAGAAAAAAGAGAGCTAAATGGGAGATGATAGGGCCAGCTGACGAAGCATTAGCTGATGGGTATTAAGATCTTCCAGAATACTTCCATTCCAATGGCGTTTTTAGTCTCTTTTTCAGATGCATTTCAGCATACTAACATCTTTAATTGATATCGACGGGACAATTGGAGGTGTATACGGGAGTACATGTATTTGAAAAAAACAAAAAGGCGGAATTCGAATCTAACCAGCTACACAGTAGGCCGTCGGTATTAGCCCACGAGCCGGGATTCTCCAAACCGTTTGATCGGTTACCGCTCGAGCCCTTTTCGGGTATGATTTGTTGGAGGCATGGGAACTCTCTCGTCGCCCTTTTTTCGAATTTGAAGATCGAACATGTCTCTGAATCCTAGTTCAACAGAGCGCGAGGCTAGCCTTTGAGGAATGGAAACTCGAATATCAAAGAAGATTGTCGTCGACTACGATAGGTGGAGCCGTGCGTGCTACGAAGTCCAAACTCTACGTGACACATGCTGATCCAGGTACAACATGCCAATCAATCGCGAGTAGCTGCCGCAGGTTAACTACACGCACTCACTCGTGGGTGTCGTGTCTTTCGTTTTGATGTCTTCCCTTCCCTTCCCCAAGGTTCCAGCGTCCTGGGAAGGATATCTCCGGGGGGGCTCTTTTTTTTTTTTTTTTTTTTTTTTTTTTTTGTTTTTACCAGCTCAGACCGGACCTAGCGCTGTATGAGAATTGCAAATGCTGGCTTTCTCCAGATCCTACAGCAATTTCGAGATTCGCGAAGGCTTGTTCATAGATGATCTATACTATCAATCTCTAACGACGGCGTGCACTTGCGAAAGTATGATGAATTAATTGAAATCCCGTCATCCCCCAAAAAAAAAAGGTTGAACCGGACCCCAAAGGATTGTTTTCCTGTTCCTTCTGCCGGAGTACGTAGACTCGCGAAACTTCGAAGTTCAGGGTCAACAAGATCGCAAAAGACTGCTGCCATCTACCCCGAGTGCGAAGAGATCAGCGCTGCAAGTAATCGCAAGAAAAGAAGAGGAAGTATTGTGCTGGCTTGTTCGCTTGCCTGGCTGCTTGCCTAGG